AATAGGAGAAAGGACTTATTTGCCAACCCAATAAATTGTATATTTAAAATTACTCAAGCCAACCCAATACATTGTATAAGCTTGAGCAATTGTAAATCTCAGTACATAAACACAACCCACTTAGCGAGTCTGGACTTCTACTGGCACTGTCTTGAACTGTTGTTGTCCAGTTTCGTTTATCCTGGTTCAAGCATTCCTTGTTCTGGGTGGTCATTTTTATCATTCGGTAATGCTCCTCTGTCATGGCTTCTTTCGAGACCTCAGACTCGTCTAGAAGAGTGGATAGGAGGGGTGCTATGTCATCACCCCTACGAAGTCTTCCGAGATAAAACGGACTCTTTCGTCATCTCATCGGTCGTGCGGTGTTGTTTCGACTCCTCGTATTTCAGTATGCGAAATAAATATAAGAATAGAACTTTTCATATTTTTGCTATTTTCAATTAGTTTAGTAATGTTAGCTCACAGAAAGAAAGAAAAAAAAAAACTAACATTTTTCTGAATTCAAGAAAAACTTTTAAAATCTATATTCATCCTTGTATTTTACTATAACCCGATGGAGGAATGCCGAGACCTCTTAAGGACAGAGGGTTCCTCACCAGAGAAAGTTTTAAAGGTATTGATTCGAACAGTTAACTTATCTCGACTATTTAAATATTTGGCGCGGAAAAAAAATTGGATCAACATAAAAAATAAAAAGTTTTATTCGTTTTCGGGAGGAGATGATACACCCAATTCCTTAAATTGAATTTCAGAGCACTGTTTTGGGGTTTTCACAAAATTACCTGTGGAAAACCAATATGACTCTACTGGGGTAATGCTTTTAATGTATTCAGGTATTCAGATTAGATGTGGTATTAGCTATGCAGAAGTTTAAAAAAAAAAATTTTTTATTTCTTTATGACATTTACAACTGTATTAGATAAATAGTAAATTTGGACATAATTTATATAATGACATGAATACACTTGCTGAGTAACTACCCAATGGTAGCACTCTAATGATATGACTACATTAGGAGATCACGGGGCCATCTTCTTTTCAGACGCCTCGGAGGGTTATCAGGAATTGAAGAGGAAGCAAGGTTAGAAACGAGAGGGTTGGGATGATTCTGAAGTTTATTATGGAAGGATAGGTATCTGGATTGGGACAGATATGAAACATAAGGAACATTAAGATCTTTATGGATAATTTTATTAGTGACAAAGTAAGGAGCATTGAGGATTTTATGAAGGATTTTGGATTGTAAGGATTGGATGCGAGAGGAATTCGATGGTTTAGTGGAGCCCCATAGCTCAACTCCGTAAGTCCAAATAGGTCTTATTATAGTCAAGTATATGAGTCTTTTGTAATTAATGGGAAGTTTAGAGTGTTTGTCTAGTAAGTGCTGAAGTAATCGGAAACGTCGAGTGGTTTCTTGTCGTTTCAGTCTAGCATGAGGATTCCAAGTTAGTCGTTTGTCCAGGTGGAGTCCTAGGTATCGGATTTGCTCAACAGGGATAAGTGGAGTATTGTTAAAGGAAACTGTAGGACAGGAAGTCGTTGGTTTACGACTTAAAAATTTTAAATTTCATTTAATCATTAAAAAAATTGCATTTTACCCCATGTAATTTTCAGGTTATAATTGGGAAAATCAATCAGCTTTGTGCCTCTAAAATGCAAGTAAAGAACAAAATAGCCCGTTAACGTTTTGCCAATTCAGGCATCATCAGGACAGAAATTCATGGAGTGATTTGTTCTTTTTATATTTTTCTTTCCTGATCATGCCTCAATTCGAGAAACGGCAAAGATTTATTATGTTAGTTATGTCTCTGCATTTCACAGACATAAGATTGTGTGATAGGATTTTTCCATTTATAACCTAGCATCCAATTTCAATCTGTGGGTGAGGTTTACTAGTTTATATTGATATAATAATAATAATAATAAAAGGCTTAACGAACCCGAAGGTTCGATGACGACACCACCAATCGCTTATTACACACCTCCCTCCACCGATCGCCTTCCAAACCCAGTCCCTTCAGATCGGCTTTAATGCAATCTTCCCACCTTCGCTTCGGTCAACCCCTCGGACGCTTAATATTCGGCACAGCAAATATTAATCTTTTAGGAATTCCTTCGTTACTAAGCCCAAAAACTTTACAAGCCCATTTGATTCGCCGCGATGAAATTACCTCCATTATATTACCCGGATACAGCTGACGCAATTCGGCGTTGTGTAACCGTCTGAACTCTCCGGTTAACTCATCCTTCTTCGGTCCGAATGTTCTACGCAATACTTTATTTTCAAAAACCTTAAGAATCTGCTCATCCCTTAATGTAAGCGGCCAAGTTTCGCATCCATAAAGAACTGTAGGCAAGATAATTGTTTTATAGATTCTAATTTTTAAGTTCCGGGACAAGAGGCGCGAACTAAGTAGTTTTGTCACAGAAAAATAACAAGCATTTTCCGCCTTCAGTCTAACCTTAACCTCTTCTTCAATTTCGTTTTTTCTAGTTATCGTAGATAGTAGTTTATATTGATATAGTTAATGTATATGATTTAGGATTACCATACAGTTTATTAATATATTCATTCGTCTCTTTACTATGACAGCTACCTGATTTGTGAGAAACGCCTAGCAGAAAGAATGAAGCAAGTTCGAATGCTCTTGAAATCAGAAATTGAGAAAATAACAGCAGAACAAATCTCTGCCTTTGAATCCGTTCGTATCAGGAGGCTATACAAGACCGGTATGGGATTACCAGAGAGAATATTTCTCGAACACGAGAAGGGCTATACCTTCAGGGAGAGAGAAAGGTTGAGATACCTCATGCATAACGAAATAGTTTAAGATTTTGTTAGAAATAAAGAACCTGCAACTTGCCAAAATTATTAATTTGCAATACTAAACTTTATGAACAGTGCATTTTTAACATGCTATTTTTTTTTGTCTTAACAGATAATTCCTCCATTATAACTTTTATAGATCCTCATTGTATGAATGTTATTTTATCAAATTCGTGAGTTTGAGTTAAAAAATTATGGAAAACTAACTGGCTGGGCGAAAACACATGAAAAGTCTTTAACAATAGTCAACAGTAAAAATTTTAGAAATTTTGGAGGGGGCCATAATATTTAGTTAAACTTTTCTTAGCGGGAACTTCCCAATAGCGAACAATTTTATAAACCTCTCCTCAACGAATTAGAAATAATTTTAAGGTGTTAAGATCTTTTGAATACCGGACGCTCTCTATCGGACACAGACGGGTTTGATGCAGCTATTTAGATTAATCAGTTTATCCATAACGACGTGTAGAAAACCAGTAAAGCTCATACAAGAACATCAATTTTCATTTTTATGTAAATATTTAGATAGAAAGAATGTTTATTGTTAATCAAAATAACATGATAACGATCTTACAAATATTAAACAAATAAATACGAATTTTCTTTATTAATCTCTCTTCTTATTTTTTTTAACATATACGACATGGACTATTGTCCGTCCGTCGATTCGTAGCCTTTTATTAATTACAATGTGTTTAAATTTATACCATGCATATTTGATATATTATTTTAAATTACGGCCAAGAAATAAATAAAAACATTAAGTAATATATAAAGTGATAAATTTCATATGTATACATCGAGAACTGTGGTTTAATTAAAATTAAATTTTCCGACAAAGTATTTCCTATACTTTAAGGCTTGTACTATATATCTATAAAGAGAGGAAAAATATTTACCGTTAAGGAGCTCTATCATATCCTCTAGTGAGATAGTGATTTTTGAAAGTATTGACAGTCTTATATTTCTTAGGATCTAACAAGCAAGGAAGTATGTGTCTTCAGGAGTATTAATATTACATATAGAGCACGTGTAATCTGTCGCGTCACCAGCGTTGACAGTTCAAATCTGTAAGTTTCCCTCTTACTAAAAAAATTATCTTAATAAAATCTGGGCTTGCTTCATTTGTTATATAGTGATTACAAATTATGGACTAGCTGGGCATAACCAGGATGAAATTCTGCCCTTCTTGCTCTTTGCAAAACTTGTTATATTTTATCATTTATTTTATTACACAGCTCTTGAATGGTCCGTCAATCCAGTGTAGTGGTACTTATAGTCAAATTCATTCCCAAAACTCGTTCTAACACATTCATAACGAACTACAAATCGACTCTGTTCAGCAATACATGTCAAGTTCTTCGATAACATCACCGCATCCTTTACCCCAGAATTCCAGTCTATGACTCCATATTATCTCTGCCTGTAGTTTCTAAATGGACTTAAAATTTTATCATGAAATGATTATTTTATCACCTCGATAAATAACGAACTAGCAAAAAATATATTTTTTTAAGCAGTGTCTGATCATAATTCTTTTAATCAACGAAATTTTAAGATTCGGTATTTTAAACCAAAATTATTACAAAAACTTGGTTTAATTTTTTCAGTTTACTTTCGGCTTTTGCTAATTGAGTGATGTTCATGAACAACAATGGCACAAAAATCGCACTGTCGGTTACATCACTTCTGATGTAACCGACCTGGTGATGCGATTCGAATTCCCTATCTGGTGTATCGTAGAATGCTATGATGTCTCCTTCCTTCAACTTTTCTTTTACAACGCAATGTCTTTTCGAGTTTGAGTGGCTTCGAGGGAGATGGTCGGTTTGGAAAAAAGAGAATTCGGAAAAAGGAGAAAAATTCTGGGTTAAAATGTGCTGGTTGGAAGTTGAGGACTTTAAAGACGTCGATGGCTATGGACTCCTTCCCTGTACGGGCCAAGTACCGAAGAGTTAGATTCGGGTTCTTCCAATCATCCGACAAGAGGGCCGCTCTCTGCTCGTGAGGGATGAAATGGATTTTAGAAAGTGGCTTGCTCGGTCCTCAAGAGGGCAAATCGTTTTGTTGGCCAGGAAGAGTTTTTTGTCTTAGAATCTTCTCGAGAATCTTCTTACCTCCGCAGAATATTTGTGGTCTAGAAATACAGGACGAATAAAAGAATTAAACGTTATATTATTCACAAATATTTCTCTAACTTTATTTCCTTCAACACAAGAAAAGGGCTCCTGGTCATGACATGTACATGGCAAGGGCTACCCCCATTATTGTTTAGCAATTATGACAGATTTTATACTTAATTAAAAAAACACAGCGAATTATAAAAATATATTGTATAAATTGAATAATTATTGCATGTAAAATTAATTATTGTGGTTACACTATCCTTAAATTTATTTGATTTTATTTCTGGTAAACTAAACTTTCTAAATAATTTAATTTAAAAATACAAAAATAAATCAATAATTAATTATAAATTAAAAATACATTATTATTTAAAAGTTCGAGGGATCATACTCATCTTCAAAACATCAAAAAAAGACTTACAAGACATAATTATCTTGTATTTTTTTGATGATCTGAAAATGAGTATAATCTCAATATATTATTATCTTTTTTTTTTTTGAAAATTTAAAAAATATTATCACTCAGAAAAAAATAACTTCATCTTGTATAGCTTCACAACTCATTGGAGAGTGAAGGAATCCCTCAGTCGGAGCCGCCAGTCTTCTCTGTTTTTTTCTGCAGCTTTCGAATTTCTAATACCCAACAAACTCTGAGCATCTACTGCTGCGCAATCCACCCACCGCATGCGAGGAGGACCTTAGAGGACCAACTCTTCTATGTCCAAATATTTTTTTCCTCTAGAAGCATTTTAGTTACTTCATTACTATTCGTGCCTGCAATATTTGTGTTTTTCCTCGATCTCCATACACCGCAGGTCCCACACATAGGTCTCATGATTCTTCTTAAAGTCTTTCTTTCGAATCTCAAAAGACCTGATTCTAGAGCTTTCGTCATCGTCCAGTATCATACTCATATGAATAGGTGAGGACGGGCTTGATCAGGGTCTTATAGATTCGTATCTTGGTGTTTCCAGAGATATTTTTATTTTTTAGATGTCTCCGTAGCCCTTAATAGCATTTATTAGCTACCATTATCCGTCTCTGAATCTCTGTTTGCATATTATTAGTTAAATTCAACAGTGTGCCATGGTAGATAAATTCCTCGATACATTCGAAGTTGAAGTCCCTCCTAGTATTCGCCTCTTTTAGGATTGCATAGCATATACTTTGTTTTGGAATAGTTCACCTGCAGTCCAAATTCAACGGATGTTTTTTGCGAATTTAAGAAGACGCTCTCAATACTCTGAAAACTGAAAACATCCAAATCGTCGGCATAAGCAAGAATTTGGCACGATTTATTGATTCCCGACTCTCTAATGGCACATTCCAATGCAGCATTGAACAGCAAGCATGCCAAAAAATCAGCTTTTCTGGGTCCCCTGTGGCTATGGAAATGTCAGATGTATCTCCGGACAATCTCCCAGGAAGATTAAGCAGCTTTCATGGTCATTATGGTCATTTTCGCTCTACTTTGTACACGCACAATCCGTATATGGGACTCCTTCATATCTCCTACATATCAGAATATGATCTATCTGATTTATGGTGATTCCGTCATTGGAGCTCCAGGTCGCAAGGTGTATCCTTTTGTGACGACACAGAGTGCTACGACAGGATCCTTAGCTACTGCAAAACTAACCAGTCTCTCTCTTTTATCTAAAAAAAGAGAGATAAAAAAACAACTAAGGTGTGTGCTTTAGACCGCACGAAGTTAAGACATCAACAAGGCGAGATTAATAATATGAAATATAAATTATAAATAAGAGCTCATTATAAAGAGGTTGAAATGTTGAACCTTTTCCTCGCTTACAATATGCAGGTCAGAGTTTTAATTTCTGAGATATTTTAATCCATATCATCAATGAAACTCGTTATAATATGGTTATAAAGATACAATTTTTAATAAAAGCCTATCACAGAGAGGATGAAATGCTGAACAATTTCCAGTATGCCGGTCTGATTTTTTCTGAGATATTTTAATCTATATGCAAAAACACTTCAATTAGCCGACTCCCCAAGCGTTCACATTAGATATCTGACGGCTCAATCCAATTCACTCTCCACAAAAATAGTGCTAACCGCGTCTCTAGAAGTTTTCTCTTAAAAAATGGAGTAATTTGCAATAACTGATATCTCTATTACTGTGATGTTCTCTGTCTCTCCTCTCCAATTTCATTGTATTAATCATACTATAGACTATTTTTCCTGCATATTCGAGGATGTGGATAAAAACCTCTAGTGTAAGCAAACACCATGAAACACATAAGTAATATTAAATAGAGTGCACTAACAATAACAAGAACAAAATATTAATTGTTCATTTGTACAAAGCTATTAAAATAAATGATATACACATATTAATTAATATTTTGTAACATATTAGATCTAATAACATATTAGATTAAACATAGGTCATGGATAATAAACAGCTCAATGATCAAGGAAACAGATATTTTTTAAGAATAAGATTCTCATCGAGCAAATTAAATGTATAATCATTCGCAGTTTGACAATTCTCTGACTGCCCTGACGATAGATTCTAGAGCCAAGTTATCTTGAATAACGCCCATGTGGTCGATCTCATCAAAAACTTTAGTTTGCACCCTCTCTTTCTGTTGTGTGATCCACTTTTTACAATACTCTAGGCTACGCAGGCTAGCAGTACCATCTCCATCTTCAAATTCCAACAATGGACTTCTTCGAAAACCATTTGACCCATAGATCAACCTGTAACAATGAGTGTAAACTTTATTACAATGTTCAAGTTGTAGAATAACCTAATGGTTACACTGAAAAGAAAGTTCCTTGAATATTTATTCACAAAACCTCATCGAAAGTAAGCAAATTAATTAAAAGTACATGTATCTTTTCCAAACTCATTTATAAGAATTTTAAAGAACCCATATGTCAGTACAACCAACATTTTTTTTTATGTTTGTACAATTTGTTTACAATGAAATTTATAAAAAAAATAATAATAAAAATAAAATAAATAAATAATTTTTTATTTTATTTTTTTTTTTTTTGGGGGGTGGTTCCTCCCCTTCCTGGCCTTTAAGGCTACACGGGGTCACCCCGAGCCAGGAGATGTCAGCGGGGATTTAAAAGACTCCCCCCGAAGCGAACTCGTGACTATTTTATATTAATTGCCTCATATATCAGGTTGCCGGACAACGGCGGTGCTGTGCACACACATTAGAACGTTTGGCCACCCCGCCTACATATGGGATCGAATCAAAGTCAAAAAGTCTAGGACCGATGGACAGCGGTTTAAGCTGGGCTTAGGAACGACCTACTGGATTCCAGCAAAAGGTTGACACTCCTAAAATTTTAAAAACACATGAAAAAAATTAGAAAATACCAACCTCCTGAGTTACTGAATTTAAAAACAGAAATAAATATAGACGAAAATAAAGATAGATATGTTAAGTTAAAATAGAAAAAAGAACATTAAGGTTGTAATGAGGTTACACTCAGCGGATTCATCGACTCCAACTGCCATTGGAGCCTCTGAGCCAACGGTGATTAATTAATTAATTAGCAAAGAGGCGCGCTGAATTCCATAATATGAGTTTTATTATGGAACTCAGTTTAGAAACTTATCCTTATATATGTTCTGATAAACTGATAAATGAAACTGTCATGCGGAGACTTAGGGTAGGTAACTTAAGTGAGGTGACCTAGAATATAAATACACGGGCTGCCTATACCCAATCAATCGGTTGGATTTCATTTTAACATGATTCTTAGACCTGAACTAGTTGCACTTAAAAATGAATAGCATACGAACCTTTTTATAGTTGCAGATCCTTCTCCATAAAAGCAGCGTACTTCAACACCGGGGGGTCCCAATTCAGTAGCGTATTCTCTCTCATTTAGATACATCTTCCAACCTGTTGGGTTGCCAATGTCACTATAAAATAATATATTCACCGGGTTATTATCAATGCATTCGGTTTAAAATGAGATCTGATCATTTGACATAATTCAACACTTACATAAAGAATTGTTCTAAATCATCTAATGTGTAATTCTTTTCATTAGTTGTAACAAGAATTTCATCACCCCAAATTTTTTTAACAGGTAGGAGGTATGCCATACTTGGCATGGTGGACAGCACCTCTCTGAGTATTGCAGGGCGCAATAAGAACACTCCCAAGTCATCTCCTTTAAACAAAATAATTTTTTATCATTTATCAGACGCCCGGCTCACGTTACTTTTCATGATAACAGCCCTGAGATGAAGACCTGAAACTTAGGCGCAAACGTCAACACAAGGAAATAAAAATAAATATAATTTATTTATTTTTACATTGTCATTTCTTTGACATCACAACCAACCAATCTTCAGTATATCTAGGACAGTCAACTATCAATCCACTACAATTGAAATAATTATTTATTCTATTCTGATTAAAAATTAACAATACATGGACCACACTGAGGACATCGACCCACTTGAGGTTGAAAAACCAAATATTCTGGATGTGGAAGTAGCTATCGGTAGGCTTAAAAGAAGAATGGTTCCTTGGATGGACAAGTTACATCAGAATTGTCCAATGAAGGGGGAGGACACCTCAGAGCCAAGCTGTTAGAATTAATCAAGCAAATATGGGAGGAGGCACGGATAACAGAAGCCTGGAACACGGCTGATCTGCCTTATCCTTAAGAAGGGCTCCATGTATGAATGTGGTAATTACAGAGGCATAGTATAGCACAGCACAGCATAGCACTTCTTCCGGTCGCCTATAAGATAATGACTAATATTCTGCTAAGTCTTATATCCGTATTAAAAAAACATAATGGACGACCAACAAGCAGGATTCAGGAGAGGAAGGTGTACGATAGATCAGACTTTCATCCTAAAACCGGGTACTTGTTATAGGATGAATATCTTTTCTATCATACTCCTTCCTCGATGGGAAGTATATCAGGACATACACGCCATCTTTGTCGACTTCAAAGCAGCCTATGTCTTCGTAGACAGAAACTTTCTTCCGAAGATTATGACTGAGCTGGGTATTTCCGGAAAGTGAGTGATGTTTACGAAGGCGTGTAAAATCCATCGTAATAACATGATTTTTTTTTCTTAGACCAATTGACTTCCACTTTTTAAGTCATGAGTCTTCTTCATGCAGCTTGGGACTATTTATAGGCGACAGTAGTGATCGTTTCGTTCTCTCAACTTCGAGATATCCAGGGAGCACTATCCGGACGCGATCACATTTCATCAGAAACTTTCCAGTCTTTTTTTTTTTTTTTTTGTGTGTGATAGATGATTATCAGCACTATACCCAATCCCCATCCTGGAGGGCCAGGAGCTATGGTGTAAGACACAGGAGTTGATCACCTCCCAATGAATCTCAGGATGGGGACGTTACCTTCTCCATGCAGGAATCGAACCCGCACCGTAGTGGTCTAAGTAGTCGGAAATTAATTAGTTTTAATTTATTATTAAATTTTTTGTGCCAATAATTTGAACGGTATTTGAAAACTTAATATAAATTATTTTTAGCCACCTTAACTCGCTCTACCACTCGGCCCCCTAATGACATGATCTGCGTGGACTCTAAGTCATTCCCGAAATTTAGACAGATTCAAATACCTCAGCTCCACAATAATCTCAATAGATGGTCAACTAACAGAGATAGACCAGCGAATAACAAGTGGGAACAGAGTTTTCTTCTCCCTTTCAAGGGTACTAAAATCCAGAAAACTAAAACTAAGGGAGTACAACTCCGTGATAAAGCAAGTTATGTTGTGAAACCTGGGCTCTAACTGCCACACTTGAAGCAAGAATTGAGAGATTAGAAAGAATAGTTTTCCGTTCCATAACAAGACATATCTAGAGTCAGAACCTTAACACATGGAGGAGAAAGAACAATAAACAACTGCTAAAAGAAACTGGTCAGTCTGGGGGTTAAGATGGGCGGGGCATGTGGCCCGAAGCAATCCATCAGGGCAGCTTTACACACCAATGAATGCCAGAATAGTAGGCAAGAGACCACGTGGAAGGCCAAAAACCAGATGGATAGATACGATAAACGAATATACCGCTGAGCTTCATGCCACAAACTGGAGAGCAGTAGCCCAAGATAGGCAGAGGTGGAGAAGGCTAGTTCAAAGATGTACAAAGTCTGTAGAGACAACCGGAAAAAATATATATGCCTAGTATCTTACAGCACTTTTTTCGTCAAAACCGTAAGTACAACTTTATATCAACGATTTGTCACATTTTTACAATTTTCTCGAAAACAGCTCTTACTATTTTATATTCGCAAGGTCAGTGTTTAAATCATTAAGTGTTTTTTATTTAAAGTAGGTTTTATCCTAATCAGTGCAACCAGACAGGGCTTAAATCCCTAATTTTCAAAATTTTCTTACTCTAAAGTACCTTTAATTTTTTTATTTGAAATAATTAACCATTTCACATAATAAAATGATATAATAAACGAAGAAAATTGATTGGTAACTAAAAGAGTAACAAGGCCAAAGCTCCAAAGCTATACGGAAAAAGCCAGAGCCTGTATAGGACTTTCATATTGTTAGTTCAATTTTTATAAATATCACTTATTCATAATTTATTTAAAATATTTCCATGCAAAATTATGATGATCTACTAATATAAACCTATTAATACACAATATTTACTAGAATTAAATTATTTTTTTCGCAAGACATGGTTATATTTTACTACTGGGAGGCTCTTCAGCCCGAAAATCACCTGCCCCGAGAGTGCACGTTATATATATATTACATATACATATATATATATATATATATATATATATATATATATATATATATATGAAATATATGTTAATAAAATTTTATTTATAATGATATACTATTTACTCACCGGAAGCAAATACCTTCAAAGCCTTCATAGAACCTCCAAACGGTGTAGATAGTGATATAAACGCTTTAATATATTTGTCTTTCCATATTTGAGATTTATTTATCAAAAATTTATGAATCAATAGACCGCCCATACTATGGCCAATCAATATCACCGATGAAGTATTATTACGGTAGGCATTTTCAATTAGTTCTTCTAGTTCCTCAAACCAATTACCTAGTTCGCCTGAGAAAAAAATTATAGCTATTTGTAAAATAAACACATTAGTAATAGTATTGTAGGTTCTTATTTAATATGAATAAGGTATACCAAAATATATTCTACTAAAAAACTGTTAAATATTTTTGTGGCAAAACAAGTGGGAACAAAAAGAATCAAAATTAAAGTAAATTAAAACCATCTCTTCGAAATGGAAATCTTGTCACCGATTATGTAGAAAAGAAGAGACAGCCCTCTGCAGATTAAGAATTGGACATTTTGAAATCTCGCATGCCTACCTACTAAGAGGACTTAATCCTCCGACCTGCGAAAGCTCCAAAGGACAGTAAACCAAATATTCAAGACTGTTAGGAAATTTTGAATAGGATTAAATGAGGTTTTGGAAAAAATTGGACATGAAACAGAGTCTAAAACAAAATTTACAAGAGAGAACAGTAAGAAAAACATTAAGGTTCTTAAAAGCGGTAACATTCTGTATTAGAGTTTAATTTGAAGGTGTTACCAATGAACCTATAGGGTAGAGACAAGAAAAAAATAAATACAATTTTTTTTAATGAATTTCGTGGTTTTACGTCGTTTTAGGTAAAATCAGATTTTTTTTTAAAAAGATTCAATGTGATATTTTATTAATTTAATTTTTTTAAATTAATCTGATCAACAAGAAATATTCTTTTAAAAATTCGTGTATTTTCTTAAATATTTTGATCTCGATTATTATTATATTATTGCTAATTAATTGTTTTAAATGAATATATTATAATGCCTACAATTTTTACGTTTATTTACGTATATAGATGGAAATACGAATATACCCCAGTGAAAATTTTAACCATAGATAGCTCCCTCTCCTTAATGCGTTTGACGTATAAATGATACCAGCGAAACATGTTTATTATATATAAACCTATATTGGATATAATTTCAATCTAGCTCATATGTGAGGAACCTTTTTATCATCAGAGGCCGCAGTAAGGTTAGGCAGTGCTAATGGAGGCCGCAATAATTATATATATTTTACCGTTGCTATTTTTATTTATCAGTAAATACTCACACCCACTTAGATTTAACTTAATTATGTTAATTTCCAAATGGTCATTAAATATTAATTATTTATAGCATTAGATTAATAAACCGCGCAAAAATATTTGAAGGCCGAAACTAAGACCGATTCCGCGGTTCCCCATCCAGTTAAATAAAAAAAAAAATATTTTAAAACCTAAACTCGTGATAAGATTAATATAAATATTTCATAGCAACCATAATATCTAAGAGGCATTTGGCAATAATTACGATTTATATCGCGAAAGAGACTACATATCGACAGCACTAAACCGAAAACTATATGCAACCGGAGTATTTCTGGTTGTCGCCCAAGCTTTCGACAAAGTATGGCATCAGGGGCTTCTCTTCAAACATAAGACCATACTTCCACCAACCTACTACTTAATTCTTCACTCCTTTCTCTCAGACAGATTTTTCTCCGTTCGACACGGTTCAGGTCTATCCTCAATTCGACCTATTTTAGCTGGCGTACCTCAGGGGTACCTTAGGGGTACCTCAGGGGTACCTTAGGGGTACCTCAGGGGTACCTTAGGGGTACCTCAGGGGTACCTTAGGGGTACCTCAGGGGTACCTTAGCCCCACTACCCATAGACACATGACATTCCTCAAAGTGTCAACACACTTACAGCAACCTACGCAGACGACACAGCTATCATTACTAGACACGATAATCCTACACAGGCATCACTTAACCTACAACATCACTTACAAAAAATAAACGATTGGTGTAAACTATGGAAAACTCAAATACATTATCAAAAGTCACAACACATCACATTTACTCTAAGACTAGAAACATGCCCTGCTGTATACTTAGACAACATACTGATTCCACAAACAGATAGAGTACAATACCTAGGCCTGACGTTTGACAGATGAATGACATGGGGTCCACATGTAAAGAAAAAACGTGCATCATTAAATCACAGATTAAAACTATTGCATTCATTATTAAGACGACATTCTAAATTAAAAGCAAGACAGAAATTAAATATTTATACATACCTATTAAAGCATCTCTGGACTTATGGACTACAAATATATGGAATTGCAAAACCAACACACATAAAACGACTTCAAACTTTTCAGTCTAAGATACTACGATTAATTACCCAAGCACCCTGGTACGTGAATAATAACACTTTACACACTGACTTACACATGCCAACGATCAATGAACACATTAGGGTATGGAACACCCTCTTAGGGTATGGCTTCTCTACACATGACTGCATGTACATCATCAAAAGAAGCAATTGAAGAACCTCAGCCTCAACCAGGTACATCGTCACAAGAGACAACTAAAGAATCTCCATTTGTATGTCTTTTACACCCAATAGTGATAGTAGAGAAGCCATACCCTAAGAGGGAAATCGTCCAGTGCCACAATTATGCCAGGTATATGGCCATACCAAGACTTACTGCCATCATTTGCCGCGTTGTGTGAAGTGTGGAGATCATCACAAATCTGGTGAGTGCACAAAACAGAAACGAGATACTGCAGTATGTGCTTTTTGCCTTGAAGGACATCCAGTGAACTACAAAGGTTGTCAGATACACAAAAATATCAAATCAAGATGCCAGAATACTCGGAACAAGGAAGAAAGAGAAAGACCAAGAAGAGAAGCTTTCAAGATCATAGATCCGAGTGTGTCTTTTGCACACCTGCCAGGAGGTAAGAATGAAATATCTAATTGTAACACCCTGCCGCAACAATAATATATACCTCAACCACACACTCAGCATCCTATTACTCAAATTTTGTCTAATCCTCAGCAATTCTATCAATACCATATTCCTCCTCCATCAAATACCACAGATCCCACAAGTTTACTTACATCTTGCCTCTCCGAATTCAGATCACTTGTTACTCCTTTGATATCCCTTCTCACCAATCTATCACATTCTATCACTCCTCTCAAAAATCCTTAAATGACTTCCAATAAACCTATATCCATTCTCCTTTGGAATTCGAATGGTGTTAGAAATCATACAGACGAACTATCTGCTTTCTTACTTGACAGAAACATTGACATCCAGAATATCATCCAACCCATACCGCAAAAGTAGAAGAATTCCTCTCTTCACCGATTCCACTCTCGTTACCACCTAAAGCAGTTAATCCATCTGAGGTCAAATACCTTTTACGCAATATCGCCCCACAGATCCTTCGACAACTTCCATCCAAAGCTATCATATTCCTTACATATATTTATAACAATAATACTTTATTTATTCTGGGACGAGTCCCTTTAGAATAATACAGAAAGACATAAATATGGGCTAAGGAGCCTCAGAGATACATAAAAAAAGAGATAGAGTAATTAAACAGTCATATTAATAAAATTAAAAATTATAAGTTACTTTCTTATTTTAATCAGTTAATAATTAAAAATTAAATAAAAAGGATGAAGTAAACACAATGAAGAACGAGCTAATAATTTAAATACATATTTAAATTAGTATATATTTACAATTTCATGGGGACTGGATGGATAAGAAATGATTGAACAGACGGGATTTAAAGGTAGGAAGGGTATTAGATTGTCGATTGTGAGAAGGGATGGAGTTCCAAAGGGATGAGGATCGGATAATGAAAGATCTGTCGAAAGCAGCGGTTGAGTGGGCCCTAATGTATAAGTCAGAAGACCGGGAACGAGTATTACGGGAACGAACTGAGGATTTGAATTAAAGGAGCACAGAGATGTATGAAGGACAGTGTGATTGGATAACTTGAAAGAGGAAGGATGTCAGGAAATATTTACGACGGTAGGAAGGATAAAGCCACTTCAACTCTCCATAAAAATGGGAAACAGAGGCGTCCCTTGGTATCCCGAAGCTGAATCTTACAAAGCAATTTATTAAACCTTTTAGTTTCGCCCCGAGATCCCCAGAGACGCCCCCATATACCGAACAGCAATAGTCAAGGTGGGGGAAAATTAAAGAAGTGACTAGGAGCCTACGGGTTTCTAATGGAAATAGGTTACGAGAATAATTTAGACGTTTTAGAGTGGAAATGGTACGGCGGGAAATATTGGATACATGGTTTTTCCAGGAAAGTTTTTGATCGAAGGTTATTCCAAGTTTTTTGATGATGGGGTAAAATTTGATGGGATTATCATGCAGGAATAGAGTTGGAATATTATGAACAGTTTCAAGGAGGTAATTAGAGCCTATTAAGATTGCCTTCCTCTTTCCCGCATTCAACTTCAACTTGTTAGTTCTCGCCCAGTCACAAATCCTATCCAAGTCTTCTTGGACTACTATATACTGGAACCGATTTGAAAGGAAGGATTAGAACCAACGCAGGGCACTGTTCGATAGAGGAAGATTGTGCAATTTCGTAAGGAGGATATTATGGTCAACTGTATCGAACGCTTTGGAAAAAAAGGATGAGGATGGTAAGGTTTTGGTGTTCGATGGAGTTTTGGAGGTCATGGGTTATTTTAAGGAGAGCGGATTACGTTGAGTAACCAGGTCGAAAGCCAGATTGGAATGGGTTGATAAGGGAACCTTCTTCTAGGACGTTAGAGAGTGGATTTCGGACAAGGCGTTCTAACGGCTTTAAGAGGTTGGATAGGAGAGCAACAAGAAGAAAATCCTGCAGTGAGGTAGGATTGGGAATTTTAGTCAAAGGTCGGACTAGGGCAGTTTTCCAGGGGGATGGGAATATAGAGTTTTGCAGGGAAAAGTTGTAGATATGGTAAAGAACAGGAATAAGGGCAGGAAGGCTGGATTTTATTAGTTTTACTGGAATATTATCAGGACCATAATCATTAGTTGGGGATTTTAGGATAGTGGAAAGTAATTCATCATAGGTCACGTGGGAGAAAAAGTAGTCTTCAGGGTTGAAATTGTGATGTTTAATATCGAACGTAGGAGAAGAATCGTGAGTGAAGGATAGGGAATGGTCATTGAGATCATCTGGAGTCACCGGGATGGAACTGAGTTTATTGGATTACTGGTAGGTATAGATTACGGAGTATTTTCCATTTGGATTTGGAATAAGGAGAATTGGAAAGGGCATTATGAAAGTAGGTGGCTTTAGCAAGTCGGATTGTGGATTGGGTTATATTGCGAAGTTTCTTAAAAGACGCATAATCAGCTGGCGAACGGGTTCGACGACATTTGCGCCTTGCTGCATCCCTTCTTTACATCATTTCCTTTATTTCAGGAGTCAGCCAGGGTGCAGTGGGTCGACGTAAGGTTTTAGTTTTCAGAGGAGCATAGGTGTCTAATAAGGATTGTAGGTTTGAGGTTAGGGTAGATACCATAGGATCAACAGAGTCATAGGAAGATATGATGCCCCATTGGAAAGAATCACGGTCCAGTTATAGGTATTCATAGGACAGAAGGTTTAAATTACGGTATGAAACTATTTTGGGTGTAAATGATTTCACGGGTAGTTCGTATGTAATTTGGATCAGGTCGTGTGATGAAAGAAATGGAACGGAGAGGATTTTGATGTGCGAGTCAGAGATGTAGAGATCTAACCAGGTGTCGGAAAATTGCATGTGATGGGTAGGAGAATAAGGAACAAGGTAAAGATTAAGAGAAAACAGTAGGTCGGTTAGAAATAATTGCATCCTAAAAACTACCCACTTTCCTCTCCTATGGAAACATTTTACCATCGTCCTTTTCCTGAAACTAGGCAAACCTGCCAACAATACATCATCCTATAGACCAATTAGCCTACTTCCAATCCTATCAAAAAATGTTGAAAAGATTCTACTAAAAGAATCCTACCCATAATAGAATCTTATAAAATTCCTACCCATCAATTCGGATTCCTAACATTCCACTGTCCAACAAGAATTCTGAGTTGTCGACTATATATCCTCAGCCGTAGAAAAGAAGCAATACTGTTTGGGTGCATTTCTGGACATAGCACATGCTTTTGAACGGGTATGGCACGCTGGACTGCTCTTCAAGCTTAAATTCCATCTACCACAGTCCTTATATCTAATACTCCAATCCTACCTCTCCGACTGTTCGCTCCTTTCAAGTTCGCTATGGTAATGAATTCTCCGACTGTCATTTAATTGAGGCACGAGTTCCGCAGAGCACCGTCTTGTGTCCCTTTATATTCTTTTCACCGCAGATATTCCTGTCCATCCTGATACCTTCCTGGCAACATTCGCTGATGATACCACTATCCTTTCAACCAACTCAGATCCTAAAACAGCGTCATTAAACCTACAAATGCACCTCTCCCTGATTGAACGCTGGTGTGAGAAATTCGTTCATTTTAATTATAAACACATAAGCTTCACTCTTTGTCGTAAATCCTGTCCACCAGTTTATTTTACCACCATCCAGCTTCCTTTATCAGATATATTCCGGTATCCTGGCTTTCTCTTAGACAGAAGTCTAACGTGGAACCCCCATACTAGACTTAAAAGACAGGAACTTAACCGATGATACGGCCAACTACACAGACTACTAAACAGAAAATCTAAACTTTCTATTTTTTTTTTTTTTTTTTATTGAGTATTATAACAATCTGTCTCTTGGACATTGGTTATAGTTATGGTGCATACCTATATACAATCAGGCGAGGAAACTCCAGAAGAACCCTGCGCTACTCTCTCAACCGCGTATCTGGTACTAAAGCCAGCGGGGATTGATCGAGAGCACAAACTTTCTATTAAAAACAGTTACTGGCCTACAAGACAATACTGAAACTTATTTGGATTTACGGACTAGAACTGTGGGAAACAGCAAAATGTTCTAACATCAAACGCATTCAATCCTTACAGTCAAAATTTCTTCGAACAATTCGAACAGTTGTTGTTGTTTTTTTTGTCTTTTTGTTTTGTTATTCTTCTCCTTGATATCATATTTGCTGAATACCAAGATAGATGGCAAATTTATTGTGAGCCACAAATATGTACAACTAATAAATAAAATAAAAATTTATTTTTTTGTACATATAGTGTGAATGTTATCCTACCTCACTATAACTAATGTCCAAGTGACAGATTGTTGTAATACTCCATAAATAAATACAAAAAAAAAAGTATTTGAAGGAATTTAAGGATCGGACGAAGGAAATGTTCACTTCAACATCAAATTTGATAGCTCATTCAACAAAATCCATGTATGAAAAGGGATCTATCCTATCGTATTATATATACCAGAGATATCTATTTACGGTAGGGTAGAAAGAAGAATTGTGAATGTTCGCTCTTCGGAGACTCAAATTTCTTGATCTTTAATAACATTCAGCACACAATTTGATTTCCTTACTTGGACCTTTTCTGAAGTCGTAAGGAGCGGCGTAGAGATTCTTACTCCTGGTATAGCCCAGGTCGACAATGGCTTTGGTTAGAACGTTCAGGTACCCTTCGACCGGGAACCAAGATTTCGAATCCAGATATTCCACCACTTTTGGATTTCCGAAATCCGAGACCCTTATCTTCACTCCAGGCTGGTTATAAGTATGGTTAGAGAAATCGTCATAATTCAATCTGATGTTGTCTATCTGAAATATGCAATCCACCATAATGTAGATAGCTGCTTTAGTGAAAAACGAAATTCATTAAACATATAATTATTATTATACAGAAGCGATAACTTCTATTCGTAATAAAAACAACCTATTCGTATAAACTACTTAATATTAACAAGAAAATCTATTCAACCCATACAATTAGTTAATCTACATACTTCATAATGACTGTTATGTACATGAACTGTTTCCGCAGTTTGAAGTATCTCGAATCGAAACATAATTTAATCACAAAATACATAAAATAGGTGACCTACAAAAATATTAGGCTATTTGGCGTGACTTTCACTTCCAACATTTCAAAATAACTAGGTTATGTGGGCCAAACGGACCAATATTTTTGTATTGTATATATTCTTGATTTTCTGAAATGGGAATTGACGAGTTTTTAGTTAATAAAATTAATTAATTTAATAACAAAACGTGCCGTTTATGAAAATTTTTGTAGATAAAGAAGTAGTAGATTATAATAACACGAAACCATTCACGAACATTTAAAGGTTTGTTAATGATTTGATAAAAAGGGGTGGGCTAATACTATACATACTATTTGTACACTATCAATCATTGGGTGAGGACCGGCACTAGGATTATTTCTAGAAAGGGTAAGCGTAATTTTGTCGTCCCTTTATTTATTGTATGTTTTTGGTCAACCACAACTGGCCCACATAAAACTCGACATTTTATATCCTTATTTTAGCTAATGTATATGTGTAAAATAAATATCATTAGATAATAGCACAAGAATGAAATATTTAAAAGGGCCTACCCAACAATCGATGACGACGGGAAGCAGTTGCTTTACATCCAGCCATAAATTAAAGAACCTGTTGGTGATCGAATTACAAAATGAATGCTTCACTGTTGGTTTGTTGAGTTGAGCTTCCAATTGGCTACCTCCGAGTCCTGGCACTATCGGAACATCAATCCTTATATTAGTGAACTTTATCAGTCAAATAGACAACTAGAGATTGAAGATTCTTACCAAGAATAACTGGTACCAAGCTGTCATTGCATACCTGGGAAGATATAAAAATAAAATGGATACCAAGAATCAGTAATAAATGGCTATACCTAGCCATTGGATAAGATTAACAACGTGCTCACAACTGCTGAATCCTCCTTTAATTGAAAATATTTATCTTATCGCTCATTGAATCTCCGTGCGACAAGAATTGGATGCGCTGATTGGAAATGATAACATTTTTATAATGCTCTTTAACTACCAACCCGCGCCGTAACAAGGTTTTTATTTAGTTACGGTCGTAAATCTACAATTAACTGTATTTTTACAAATTGAATGGGGATAATAAAAATTCTGGAAATGAAAATATTTGTTGGTCAATGTAGCTATATAATTGTCAGCAAACATTTGCTATTCTGTTGTTGCTTATGTGGTTTAATGTATTTATGTAATTAAACTACAGAACGGAGATTATAAAATCAATAGATATTTAATCCTACAGGCTACCTACCTGTTAAGGTCGGAGTCGAGATTGATAGATTCTTCGGTCTACTGGGTTTGAAATTTAGGACGGTCTGGATACTTTGAACACATAGATTGCATAGTCTGTTAGCCGGATTATCAAAAGTTAAATTTAAAATGATGAAAGCAACTTAGCGATGTAAACCCTTGGACCTGCTCAAAAAACTTGTCCTGAGGCACCTGAAATTGAAAATCAAGAAACTATCCCAGCTTTGACGACTTCGCCTTCCATCGCCGTCCAACACCAACCATCCATCTCTACACTTAAGGATTATCCTCATGAGAATTCAAGAAATTCTCAATGTCAGCCTTGCATCATTAAGAAGCAGCCTCAACGTCAGGCGCCTCAAATATCCAATCCAAGCACAAAAGCTCTAATACTCAACCTCAACAGCCTCGTCAACAAACCCCTCCTCATCAGCTACCCTTAAGGGTCAAACTTCCGCCAGAGCACCCACACCCAGCTCCACTCGTTCCTACTCCCAAGATGAACCTTCCATCACAAGACAAACGTCGGGCCCATCCCCCACCCAACAATCCTAGTCGCATAGATTACTCATCACAACCTCACGATCCAAATCACTTCCCAGCCAAAAATCATCCGACATCAACTCTATCCTATCATCATTCCTGATAGATCTTCAACAGACTATCAAACCGCTTATAACTCTTCTCACAGAACTCCCTTCCGAAATCAAGTTTAACTTGCGATGATTACAAAGCCCCTAGCTATCCTCTTATGGAACGCTAATGGACTACAAAACCACCGTGACGAACTAGACATATTTCTCCATGACAATTATATTGACATTGCTCTCCTAATAGAAACTCACTTCACTCAACGGACACATTTCTACATACGTGACTACATCACTTATAGATCTGACCATCCAGACAACACTTCCCACGCTGGCTCTTGCATCCTTATCCATAAATCATTACCCCATTCCCTTATTCCTTCCATTCCAACAGATGCCATTCAGTCAACTTTTGTAATCCTTTCAACTCGTCCTTTCAATCTAACACTTTCAGCTGTATACTGTCCTTCTGGTAATTCCCTCTCTTATAGCCTACTTGAATCCTTATTTCAATCCCTCGGAGCGCGCTTTATTGCTGGAGGAGTCTACAATGCTAAACACCTACGATGGGGTTGTCAAACATCCAAATCCCGCGGTAGCATCCTATCACGTGTCTCTTCTTCCAACAGTTATTCAATCCTCTCGCCCACGAATCCTACATATTGACCTACATCTCTGAAAAAACGTCCCGATATCCTGGATATATTTATCACCTCCCAGATTTCCTCCTCCCAACCCATTATCAAATCCCTGGATGACCTTTCGTCAGATCATAGTCCAGTTCTGCTTTTAATACATTCAAACTTTGCTCCTAAACCTTCACCTCCTAAACTGACCAGAGGACGAGTAGACTGGGACAAATTTCGTGATGATCTGGAAGATAAACTGGATTTAAAAATTTCCCTTAAGAAAAAATAAGATATTGATAAAGCCATATAAAACCTTACTACATCTATAACAACGAGTATAAATTATAACACTTTTGTTAATAAAAGCCATAATTCAAGACTTTTATTAACTTGCCACAATATATTCGAGTCTTATTAAGGGATAAACACAGAGCAAGATCGAAGTGGCACAGGACTAGATATCCTTCAGACAAAACGTGCTATACCGAATTGACTAACAAATTAAAATCATAAAATATAAAACTCAACAATTACTTAACCTAACTGAAAATATTACAACAATTGACAAATCACAATGGACGACAACCAAAAAACTTCTGAAGTTTAAAGACTTTAATCACCCACTTCTTACTGAATCCCAAATCTGGTCCAAATCCGACGAAGAAAAAGATCAAATATTCGGTCAACATGTCTTCCAAATTTTCAACCCACATCCTGATATCCTTAATCCAACCCACATCGAATGTATTGAATCAGAACTGGATACTCCTCTCCAAATGCCCCTTCCACCTAAAGCATTTCATCCCACAAAACTATCCAACATCATTCACAGAATACCCTCCCGCAAAGCTCTTGGACATGACCTAATAACATCGCAGATCTTGAAACTTCTTCCTCGAAAAGCCATCCTATTCCTTACTTTCATACATAATGCTGTACTCCTATCCACATATTTCTCTGATCCTTGGAAAATATCTATTGTCAAAATGATTCAAAAAGCCACCAGAATATCCATCCTCTTACCGTCCCATATCTCTTTTACCCATCTTGGGAAAAATCCTGGAAAAACTAATCTTAAAACGCCTGTACCCCATCCTAAATTCTCATCACATAACCCCAGATAACCGCTTTTCCCAGTCTGCAGGTGTTCCTCAAGGTAGTATCCTAGGTCCTATCCTTTACACAGTCTATACAGCTGACATCCCAACACTGTCATCACCACATATGCTGACGACACATGTATCCTATCAGGTAATAACGACCCATCTATTGCATCCCAAACCCTTCAATCCCACATCATAAACGTTGAAGAATGGTGTGAGAACTGGAGAATTGAAATGAATTCCAATAAATCCTAGGTATCCAATAAATAAATGTATCCAATAAATCAAATTACCTTCACCCTTCGTCGTAAACCAATGACTTCCTGTCCTTCAGTATCCTTTAACAACACCTCACTTATTCCTGTTGAACAAATCCGTTACCTAGGACTCCACCTGGACAAACGTCTAACTTGGAATCTTTACACCAGACTGAATCGACAAGAAACAGCTCGACGTTTTCGACTACTGCAGCACTTACTAGACAAACGCTCTAACCTTCCAATTAATTACAAAAGACTCACTTACATGACTATAATAAGGCCTATTTGGACTTACGGAGTTGAGCTATCGGGCTCCACCAAACCTTCAAATTCCTCTCGTATCCAATCCATACAGTCCAAAATCCTTCGTGAAATCCTCAATGCTCCTTACTTTGTTACAAATAAAATCATCCACAATGACATTAATGTTCTTTATGTATCAGATTTGGTCCAATCCGGATATCTGTCCTTCCATAATAAACTTCATAACCATCCCAACTCTCTTCGTTTCTAACCTTGCTTCCTATTCAATTCCTGATAACCCTCCGAGGCGTCTGAAAAGAAGATGGCCAGGTGATCTCCTAATGTAGACATATTATTAGAGTGAGGTAGTTACCAATGGGTAGTTTCTCAACATGTGTTTCATGTCATTATATCCATGTGCGAATTAACTAGATATAATTTTTTTTTATACAGTTGTAAATATCATAAAAATAACAACAACAAAAATTATGGAAAAATTGCACCAGATATAATATATTTTATAAAAAAAAACTAGCCTTCTGTAGTCGATTTTATACCTATTTTCCACTCCAAGAAAGTATTCAATGCCTTAAATACAGTTTCTATGACTTATCTATAATGAAAAATAAAATGGGTTTAAAGACATTTTTCAATGTAATAAAAACTAATATAAAAAACTATCAACTTTCGCAAATTAGAAATCCTTGTAATCTCTGCTGCAAAAATACATATACAAACAGATATATCAACTTCTGGAATAATATTTAGTTTTAATGTTTTAAATTTAAAGAAATACCAATACGATTACAACAACACTATCGCACAAACTAATTTCAACAATATGTAATAAGAAACAGTGGCATTTCCATTCCATCTCTCTTCCACCAACTTTTATTCTTTCTTCTTTAGATTAATAGCCGGTACTGATTATCGAGACCGTCCTGTATTAATAAAATCCGTCTAACAGGGTTGCCAGAACATATTTACTCCTAAATGTTTAATTCTTATTTTTCTGTTATTGCAATCAATTTTTTTTCCTTGGTCGTTTTTTTTTTAAATCTATTTATTGAATAATAATACAATCAGCCACTGCTGGAGGGCTATAAGTATTAGGGCTAAGAGTTCTCATTCAAACAATATATACAAATAATAGAGAAATAAATATAAAAGGTAATTAGATAATACTGATGAAGAAAGTAAATAAAAGAAAAAAAAAGTAAACAATAACATTTTTTTTTTTTTTTTTTTTTTTTTTTTATTTCAATGGAATTTACAACTGTATTACATAGAGAATACAATAAGTAAATGAGAAATTTGTAACATGGCATGTACAACATGAAGAGAAACTACCCATTGGTAGAACTCAAATTAAAGTTCTATATTAGAAGATCCCGAGGCCATCTTCTTTTCAGACGCCTCGGAGGGTTATCAGGGATCGAGGAGGAAGCAAGGTTTGAAACGAGAGGATTCGGATGATTCTGCAGTTTGTTATGGAAGGAAAGATATCTGGATTGGGCCAGATCGGAAACATATGGAACATTAAGGTCTTTATGGATGATTTTATTTGTGACAAAGTAAGGAGCGTTGAGGATTTTACGAAGGATTTTGGATTGTAAGGATTGGATACGAGAGGAATTCGATGGTTTAGTGGAGCCCCAAAGCTCAATTCCGTAAGTCCAAATAGGTCTTATTATTGTCATATATACGAGTCGTTTATAATTGATTGAAAGCTTAGATCGTTTGTCTAGTAAGTGCTGCAGTAGTCGAAAACGTCGGGCGGTTTCTAGTCTTTTCAGTCTGGTATGGGGGTTCCAAGTGAGTCGTTTGTCAAGGTGGAGTCCTAAGTAGCGGATTTGCTCAACAGGAATAAGTGGAGTATTATTGAAGGATACTGTAGGACAAGAGGTCATAGGTTTACGACGGAGGGTAAAAGTGATTTGATGGGATTTGTTGGAATTTATTTTTATTCTCCAATTTTTACACCATTCTTCAAGGCTTGTGATATGTGATTGAAGAGTTTGGGATGCAATTAAAGGATCGTTATTAACTGATAGGATACACGTGTCATCGGCATAGGTGGTGATGACAGTGTTGGATTAAACAATAACATAAAATAGAAACTTCTAAACACAATCATACCTATATACAATATATACATTCACTCAGGAATCTCCGAGCCAGGCTTTTTCCCCCACATGTGGAAGGCAAAGCAAGACTCCAGGAGATCCCAGTGCCACTTTTCCAGCCGCATCACTAGTATTAGAAGCCAGTGGAGACTGAAAGAGCCACAGACGCTCGGGACAAGAGTGGAGAAGATGGCCAGGACTACAGAAGCATATTTACAAGAGGTCTCTGGGCCACTGCCGTTTTAAACTTCGTGGAGGATTGTAGGGATGAAGGGAGCTGGATAGGGATTGAGCTAGAGGATTTGAATGATGGATAAGGTTCTGGTGAAAGTTTGAGAATCTGGATGGGATGATGTCGAGGACAAATGGGATGTTAAGCTCATGTGGTAGGGTCTTATTTGTGACATAATATGGGGCATTGACTATTGTTCTAAGTACTTTGGACTAGAAGGATTGGATGCGTTTGATATTCGAATGTTTAGCAGTTCCCCACAGTTCAGGTCCGTAGGTCCAGATAAGTTTCAATATCAATCAAAATTTTCTCTCTATAATACGATGTAGACTAATTGAGAAGCATGGTTATTTAACCTTTTTTATATATATATATATAAAGAAAAACATTAAAACCTTGCACCCTAAACAAATCTCAAAGTGCAAAAAAAATCTAAATCTAGGTAGAAAATCCTAATTTTCACAGGATGCCTTAAAACTTTGGACGTCGGATAGCGTCGCTAAACCTTAATTGAAAACCAATATTATTTAAATTGTCATAACAATTGGGTTCCTGTGACACCTCAACCAATTTTATTTTCGATTTATCCAAAGCCGATGCGACAATACTTATGGTAGACTTTAACACCAGAGTTATTTTTGGTAATCATGCTCAAGTATGCTTAATTAACCTGATTTTTAAATTAAAAGTCGTTTTGAATCTAAAAATACAACCACTCCTTGAAAATTGCCGTCCCAAGTGCCTTGTATGTCTGTGCACAATTCGTAAATGTACGAACCCGAAAATTAAATTTAGAACAACTATTAGAAAAATTTTTAAACCTTAAGATTAAAAGATAGTGAAAATAAGAGTAAGCTAATTTAAAACAACAAGTTCAATCTTCGATCATTTTCGTCCCCGATTTTTTCAAGATCTCTTGCGATACTTTTTTATCAAAACATTCCTCCTCTCACAATCCTCTTGCTGCCATTTCCTCTTTAACATCTTCCTTTAAATTTTTTTTTAACCGTCCCCATTTCTTTCTATACCTTGGCTTCTGTAGACAAACTTTTTTGGAGATCTGTCTTCTCCCTTTCTCATTACGCAGCTTTCCATTTAAGCCTCCAGATTTCAGTATTATATAAAATATTTCTGAAATGCCATAACTTCTTTTTAGAAAATCCATCTCTAGGGCTAATAGTTTTTGAACATATTGTTTCACTGTCCATATTACGGCAACATATATGTACATCCCTTATAATCGATTAAAATATACATTTTTTTTTTATATGACTTTAATTAATTTCAGAGAAATATATTTATATAGATATGAGAATTTTTAGGATAAAATATATGGAAATCAGGAGGGAGAAAATGTCTTGAATTAAGAGCGTTTCGTGGATGTTTGCTTTGCGGCTGTGTACGCTACTTAATTAAATATTAGGTTACGTAATATTAGTGTTGCCCAGATGCGAGACTAAGACGAGCCTTAGCGCACTCAGTATTGGTAGTACACTTGCGCAAGAGTCTTGCAGTTACCTATTTGTCTATTTGTATAGAGATGTAACTGTTATTTTTCTTCACAAAAACGATTTGTTTTACCAGCCTTGGTCTTGGTCTTGTAACAGTCAGGAGGTCTTGGTCTTGGCCTTGCAAAGTGCAAGACAAAGACCGATTTTGAGTAACCCTACTTAATATTTACAACGTTCGAATCTGGTCTGGATGGGATACAATTTATTTTGCAGTGGTTCCATGGAACGAATCTCGACCTTTCCACTATGGATAGAATAGTATGCCAGAAATGGCGAGGGAGGTATAGAGAAAAAAAAGTTACTTTTAAGGCAGAGATTTGCCTCATCAAATCCTTTACCTTCGACCGTCACGCATTCAGACCTCCGAATGGCCGGGCTTATTAATTTTTTTGTATACTATCTCATTTTCACAACAACCTATTATGCTAATGTATTGTTTATTTGTATTAATATTATTAATTTATATTAATACTATTAATATTTCATATTAGTATTGCTAATATTTTATATTAAAACTATTAAAATTTCTATTTTTAGGATCAATCCATTTGAAATCATCCAGACCATGTTTTTTTTTTTTACCACTTATTCCATATTTATTTGTGAGTTAGAAACCGTAGATAAAAAAAAAGAATTAAGGCTCACAGTTTTTTTTATTTATTTTTATTTTTTTTAGGCTGAAAACTTGTGCTCTCGATCAATCTCCGCTGGCTTTAGTACCAGTGACGCAGTTGGGAGAGTAACGCAAGGTTCTCCTGGAGTTCCCTCGCCTGATTGTATATGCATGTGTTTATTTTTGCTTAGTTTTAATTTTCTTATTTTTTAGGTTATTTTATTTTATTATCTATTGTATATACTTTTGATTATTATTTTGTTTCTATTTATTTATTTTTTTTTTTGTATATATAGTGTGAATGTCATCCTACCTCACTATAACCACTGTCCAGGAGACAGATTGTTGTAATACTCAATAAAGAAAAAAAAAATAAAGGCTGAAAACTGTTTTGGGAAAGTTTATGGAACTCGGGTTATTTTGTAGATATCAGACCAAAACAAAAACTGAAATATTTTAGAGTATTTTTTCTATATTTATTTTTCAACAACACATCACCTAAAAAGAAACGAAAGTAGTTTTAAAAAATTATGAAAATAATAATAATAAACTAAAAAAGATATTTTAGGGCTGCAAAAGTGTAAGTCTCAGCTTTGATTTTTTTCATATGTATTCCCACCACTGTACTTCTTGTTAATGTAATATCAATCTTAAAAAGCTTACCCTTTTATAAATATGAATTTTCAAAAAGGCTCAAAATTCGTTTTCAGATTTTTTTTATATTATATATCACAAAAGGGACTGCGTGAAAAAGTATGAAATTGAAACAGTTTTTACCTCTTGATGATAGGGATATGTGAAACGAATTTGATCATTGAGACTCAACTGGTTCTATTAATTACAACATAACAAATATGGCTGCCTCGTGTGAGTCGGCATCAGCGTATTCTACATACTCTAACTGCGTTTTTGCAGATATCAAATCAAAACACAAACTAAAATTATTATGTTTTACTCTGTGTTTTTTTTTTGTCATTACAATATACCTCATAAATAGTAAGAAAAGTTGTTTAAAAAAATGGCAACTATAAAATTAAGACATTTAGCGCAGCAATACAGTAATAAAGAAAAAAGTCTCAATTTTAATTTTTTTTTTTTCACGTGCAGTCCTATCATTCTACTACTTGCTGATGAAATTTCAATCTTGAAAATCTTGTCTTTTTTTATACATGAATTTTCAAAAATGGCCAAAAGTCATTTTCGGCGATATTTGAATTTGAATGTCATAAATTGGACTGAGTGGAAAATGGTGAAAATTGTACATGTTATATCACTGTTTAATAAGGACATACGGAACGAATTTAGTGATTGGGACTTGATCGGTTTCATAGTTATATCATATCAAATATGTCTGCAAATTGCGTTATTCAAACGATAAATCAGCATATGAGATTGAGGCGTTGAATTGAATTTTAGTTTATCATTACACAAATTATGTTTTTACTGCAATGACAGCTACTATCATATCAACTGATAAATGTAAGCGCCTCAACAGTGAACTGGCACCTTAACAACTGTATTTGTGATTAAGGGGAAACATTGTTTTAAAAATCATTAATATGGGTGTGTAATATTTATTTCTGAACTAAAACTTGACTCTATCCAACTTATTCATGCATCGAATTCATTAATGACGCATAAAATCTATTTATGTCATTATTCATTTATAGATTCTATTTAAATTTATATTTAGTAGTAAATAGGTTTTATTATGCCATAAAGAATGTAATAACAAACAATCGTTGAATAGGAACAATTTCAGGTTTAGAAATAAAGATCAATAACAATTGTTTAAAACAATGTTTCCTCCCAATCACAAATACAAATACTAATGAGACAGCTCACTGTTGAGGCGCTTACATATATCTGTTGATTTGATAGTAGCTGTCAATGGAGCGAAAACTTATATACCTGAAATAGGATTCGTGTAATGATAAACTAAAATTGTTGTGTGCTTTAGATCACATGATTGAAGTGAAAATATCAATAAGGCGAGATTAATAATATGAAATGTAAATTATACATAATAGCTTATTACACTAGCGGATCCAGGATTTAATTTTGGGGGGCTTCAGCCCGAAAGATTTTTTTTTCATATACATATAAAGATAATTAATTTGAAAAAAAAAATTAATTACCTATATGAAATGGTGTTTAAGGGGTTTTTGAAGTTCTATTAAATATAATTACACGGACAATAATACTTTAAGAGATAGTTTTTAATATTTTTTTCTGTAAAACATGGTTACATTTTACCATTTTGGGGGGAGGAGCTTCAGCCCGAAAGCTCCCCCCCCCTCCGTAGATCCGCCTGTGGCTTATTATAAAGAGGTTGTCATGCTGAATATTTCTCTCGTTTACTGTATGCAGGTCCGATTTTTAATATCTGAGATATTTTAATCCATATTTTCAATAAAACTCGTTATCATTTGGTTTTCGACATTATTTTTCCCCCTTTCACTTCAATAATACGGCGTCGCGTTAAGATACAATTTTGAATAATAACCTATTACAGACAAGATGAAATTCTGAACAATTCTCTCGCTTACAGTATGCAGGTCGGAATTTCACTTTCTGAAATATTTAAATCCATATCTTCATTAAAACTCGTTATAATTTGGTTTTCGAGATTAATTTTCCCTCTCCCCTGTCTAACACGACATCACAATCACGTTAAGATAAAATTTTGAATAATTGCCAACAACAGGGAGGTTGAAATGCTGAACTATTCCATGTTTTAGTATGCAGATCCGAATTTTAGTTTCTGAGATATTTAAATCCATATGTTCAATAAAACTCGTTAGTGTTCTCTATATCTCCTCTCCTTAATCATAACACTAATCTGGTGAGCATCATGTTATAGACTATTTTTTCATGAATATGCGAGGATGTGGATACAAACACCATGAAACACACAAGTGTTATTAATAGCGCACTAACGACTACAAGAACAGAATATTAATTGTTCATTTGTACAAAGCTACTAATAATTTATATAGACATATCAATTAAACATATTAGATTAAATATAGATCATGGGAAATAAACAGATCAATGAACAAGGAAACAAATATTTTTTAAAATATAATTCTTTAAAAATAATATTCTTATCGATTAAATTAAATATATAATCATTAGCAGTTTGATAATTCTCTGACTGTCCTGACGATATAATCTATAGCCGAGTCATCTCGAATAATGCCCATGTGGTCAATTTCATTAAAACCTTTAGTTTCCACCCTCTCTTTCTGTTGTGTGATCCACTTTTTACAATACTCTAGGCTACGCAGATTAGCAGTACCATCTCCATCTGCAAATTCCAACAATGGACTTCCTCGAAAACCATTTGACCCATAGATCAACCTGGAACAATGGGTGTAAACTTTATTACACTTTTTAACTTGTAGAATAACCTAATGGTTACACTGAAAAGAAAGTTCCCTGAAAATTTATTCACAAAACCTCATCGAAAGTAAGGAAATTCATTTTTTTAAAGATAGGTAGTATCATTGACGAATTTCTTTCTACAGTAAAATTTGTAAAAAATAATTACTAAAATGAATAAACTATGATCATTAAGGGGTTAAAACTCAAATTTTACAAAATTCTGGACCGGCGGACAGCGATTTAAGCTATGCTTAGGAACGAGTTGCTGAATTCCAGCAGAAGGTAGACTCTCCTAAAAGTTAAAAAAAAATTGAAAATACCTACCCTCTGAGTTGTTGAATTTAAATTCCACCAGAAATAATGAAATAGGAAAAAAAAAACTGAACATAGATATGTAAAGTCAATTGAAAAAAAATAAAACTCAGCGGATCAATCGATTCCAATTACCATTGGATCCACTGATACAGCGCTGATAAAATTGATGAATAAAGAGGCGCACTGAATTCTATAATATGAGTTTAAGAACGGTTAAATAGATTTCCGATGTCATCGATGAGCTCAGCACTCAGTTTAGAAACTTATCCTTATATATGTTGTGATAAACTGATAAATGAAACTGTTGTGCGGAGACTTACGGTAGGTAACTTAAGTGAGGTGACCTAGAATATAAATAAACAGGCTGCCAATATCCAATCAATCTTGATATATCCAAGGATTCTTAAATGAATAGCATACGAACCTTTTTATAGTTGCAGATCCTTCTCCATAAAAGCAGCGTATTTCAACACCGGGGGGTCCCAATTCAGTAGAGTATTCTCTCTCATTTAGATACATCTTCCAACCTGTTGGGTTGCCAATGTCACTATAAAATAATATATTCACCGGGTTATTATCAATGCATTCGGTTTAAAATGGGATCTGATCATTTGACATAATTCAACACTTACATAAAGAATTGTTCTAAATCATCTAATGTGTAATTCTTTTCATTAGTTGTAACAAGAATTTCATCACCCCAAAGTTTTTTAACAGGTAGGAGGTATGCCATACTTGGCATGGTGGACAGCACCTCTTTGAGTATTTCAGGGCGCAATAAGAACACTCCCAAGTCATCTCCTTTAAACAAAATAATGTTTTATCATTTATCAGACGCCTGTCTCACGTCACTTTTCATGAGAACAGCCCTGATGAATACCTGAAACTTAGGCGGAAACGTCAACACAAGGAAATAAAAATAAATATAATTTTACATGGTCATTTCTTTGACAGCACAACCAACCGATCTTCAGTATATCTACGACAGTCAACTATCAATCCACTACAATTACTATAATTGTTTATTCTATTCTGATTAAAAATTTATTTATTGCTTCCTCACCATCAAACTGCCATTCATTAAAGCTATTGCTATTGATCTACCCGTTCAATGAATAGTGTTTGGGTTTATTTTAAATATTTTCGGTAGTAGTGATAGACCAAGTCAACATCAACACACAGAGGACCGAGCAGCAGAAGAAGGATCTACACCTCTCTCTACTACCATTTCGCCTACAGTCTTATCAAGCTCAGCGCCTTAAGCTGTTGTGGTCCAGGCATATCCCGTGGAATCATACTCTTACAGCCTATCGGACAGCGTAATGCTGATAAGACTCGTATTCCATCCTAATGACGATGAGGATTGAAGAGGGGGCCAATGCGGTGAAGAGTTTTTACTCCCTGTTGATGCCAGCCAGATCGCCTATTCTAAAAAGGAAATCGCTCCAGACGATGAGGGATTCACTGAAGTGTCCAAGAAAAAGGGCTTTCAGCCTCGACCTGCAGCAGGGCCGGTCCCTACATCTCTCTCTAATAGCTTTGATGCTATTGGACCCAGAAATGAAGAACCGAAAAAACAACAACTACCGCTGCCAATGTTAATCTCCCCGCCCGTATCACAGCGTTCCCTCAGGAACATGTTAAACCAGGTGGGAGTATGTATGTGAACAGCCTACTCCAAAAGTCGTACGAAACTGAAACTGCGTATTTAAGGTTTGTATATGCCTGGGATATTACAGCACCTTTTTCGTCAAAATCAGCAATCCGGAAGTGGTACTTTTTATCATAGATTTAACATATTATTACGATTTTCTTAAAAACGGCTCTAACTTTGATTGAACTCACTAGGTCTGTGTATCATTAAGTGATTTTTAATTTAAATTAGGTTTTCTCCTCATCGGTGAAACCAGACAGGGTTTACCTAATTTTCAAAATTTCTAATGAAGATTGGTTGAGGTGAACAGTATAAAAATGTAAAAATAAATAACTTTATGTATTTTTATTTTTACCGACGTTTCGGCACAAAGTTCAGGCCTTCATCAGGGCTGGTCAAACAAAAGATTTCCACAAGAAATTTCGTTTGACCAGCCCTGATGTTTTGCCCTGATTTGTGCCCGGAACGTCGGCAAAAATAAAAATAAATAAACTTATTTATTTTTAATTTTTTTTTTTACTGATAACCCCAACCAATCTTCTCTTCAATTATTCACTAGTCAACCATCAATCCACAATTTAATTTTTATTTTATTTAAAATAATTAACCATTTCATATTTGAAATTGTTATAAAAAAATGGTTAAATATAGTGAATGAAGAAAATTTTTAGGTAACTAAAGGGAAAATAACGATAGGAAGCTCTACGATAAAAGCTATGCAGGAGGCTCGGCTGTTTAGCCGAGAGACACCGACCTTTGCCGATCTTCTTCCTTTACAGATACCTGATACTTTTCTTACTTCATGTATCTGTAAGATCTTTCATGTATTACTTATCCATATTTTTTTCAAAAGGTTTTCACTCGTTGTTCAAATGTTGAGGATTACTAATATAAACCTAATAATGTAATATTTACTAACGTTACGTTATTTTTCGTCAAATTCCGTGATAAATGTTTCTGCTAAAACTCTTTTTTTTTTTTCAAAAGAACCATTTCCCCCACAATCATTAGTATTGTTTGGTACTTTACAGTCGTAAAAGGAAATGGAAAGTGATGCAAGTGTATAAATTTAACTGGTTCGATGGGCGGAAAACATGGTAATTAAGTGGTTTAAATGAAGTTATGCTGTCGTTTTCGCTTAGACTTCCTATAAGCAAATACCTATCTACTCTGAGATTGTCTAGTGTGAAGTACCTTACTCATAAATGTAATATAGTAAGAGAAAGTGTTGCAATCATGAAAATTTTGGAATTAGAGTTTTCAACGGAAAACATGTTTTAAAGTTCTCTGTGTTCAAAAAACCAAGTCCCTCAAAATGATGTTTGTGTGTTTTTCCGGATAGTGGAAAAATCTTTCATAAGACGAAGTACAGCAAACAAAAAGTCACACAACAGTATGAGATTCCTACTCACTAAAAAACCACCTCCCTGTTCTACTTTACCACCCCACGGAACTGATGTTAAACATTAATCCGCGGGAGGCACAGGCGGATCTACGGGGGGGGCTTTCGGGCTGAAGCCCCCCTCCCCCAGAAATGGTGAAATGTAACCATGTTTTACAGAAAAAAATATTAAAAACTATCTCTTAAAATATTCTTGTTCGTGTAATTATATTTAATAAGACTTAAGAACCATTTGAATACCATTTCATACAGGTAATTAATTTCTTTATTTTTTTTCAAATTAATTACCATTATAGGTATATGAAAAAAAATCTTTCGGGCTGAAGCCCCCTAAAATTAAATCCTGGATCCGTTAGTGGCGGGAGGTAGAGGGGCTATATTTCTAGTTTTTCACTGAACATCTTATTTAAGCTAAGCTATTGTGTGTATATGTATTTGAACAGTCTAGCTCAAAAACAAAAGGTCGTACGCAACGGAAATTGCGTATTTAAGGTTTTTACATATCTGGAATGTTACAGCAAACTTTTTCCTGAAAATCGGCTTACTGGAAGATCACTTTAAATCACCGTTTTCAAACATTTTTATTATATAAGTGTAAAATTGAGCAGTTTTTAATTTAATGTTTTATTCTCATTGAAGTTGTCGATTAGAATATAAATGCCTAATTTGCAAAATTTCTTCCTTTAAAGTACCTTTAATTGTTTTTATGTGAAATAATTAACCATTTCACATTATAAACTGATATAAAAATGGTTAAATATAATGAATTAAGAAAATTGATTAGTAACTAAAAGAGAAATAAGGCTCGGAAGCTATACAGAAATAGTCAGTTACAGACTGCAAAATGTCACCTTTAGCACAAATGGAATAAAAGTTGAAAATTTTTACATGTGAACTTTTGTAATAACATTAGTGATGTACAGGTATGTTTTCACTCGTAAAATGGATGGAACAAAAAATCTATAGAAAAAATTCAACTTTTTGTTTTTTCGGAGTTACCGAGACTGATACTTCCCTTTAGTCAGAACATAATTAATTAAGCTGGAACATAAAAGATTCTTGAGGTCCTACTAAATGTAATTACACGAATAATAAAAATACTTTTACAGATATTTTGGTTTATTATTTTCAATAATGAAACATTGTGATCGACCAAAAAATTCCAAAACATAATCCCCTCTCAAAATTGGAGGTTTCACGTTTCAAGACGCGTAGAATTCGAAAAACGAATAAAAAAAATTTTTCCGTCCGCCGTACGTGCATTTTCTCCAAAACTACTGAACCGATTTTTTTCAAATTTTGATATAAAATCAGAGATCACCCGAGGATGATCCTCCTTCATCGACATTACTCTCCGCCTTTAACTTTCAAAATGGCGGCCGAAAAACCTGCGTTGCTATGGACTGTAGCTCCTAAACGAATGTACAGATTTCAATGAAACTTCGCTAAAGTCATTTTCTCGACGCCCTTTAAATTTATCTATATAACATACTTCAACGAAAAGAAGCTGGAAAAAAAGTTACGAGGGATGGTAAAATTAAATTCCGAATAGCTCGAAAATTTTTTACTTTTTTGTTGATATTGTATATAGTTTTTTAAAAGTTATATGGTCTCCGGTTTTTTTTTATGTGTTCTACTCCAAATGTTATATCCTTGGTTTGGTTTTTAAATTTTAAATGTGTTACTCAACTAATGCTATTATATATATATATATATAGTTAACGCCGTATAGGGTATAGGTATATTTTGCATTATTATTTTCTCTCAACATTTACCCCTTTTTAATGTTAACAATAAAATGTTTATTTTTTTTTTTTTTTTGGTAAAACCAAGGGGACAATTGTCTCAGAAATATATTTAAGTTTATATAATTTGTATATTTGGCTTCGTTTGCGATGTGTTATCGCGTTTGTGTGTATTTGTTGCTCCAGCCCGGCAGTAATACCCTGTCTTAGGGATTAAGACGCAAATACTGCGATAATAATGGTCCTGAGTCTGGAGCGAGCCTTCGTTATTGGGTCTTTTCCCAATAATTAGATCCTTTTTTATTCAATAAATTGTAAACAATTAGAAGGGGATTTTTTATTTTCCATTTTTTATTTATTGAAATATTTTTATTTTAATATTTTCTTGTGCATGCACATTTTTTATATTTTACAGGTCTCATTTTTACTCTTTTTTTCCTTCTTTCCCAACATTTTTAATGTTACTCGAATTTTCCCACCATTGAGGAAACGCACCCGGAAAAGATTTGTACTTCGATTTTGAACAACAACATATATATATATATATATATATATATATATATATATATATATATATATATATATATATATGTGTGTGAAATATATGTTAATAAAATTTTATTTATAATGATATACTATTTACTCACCGGAAGCAAATACCTTCAAAGCCTTCAAAGTACCTCCAAACGGTGTAGATAGTGATATAAACGCTTTAATATATTTGTCTTTCCATTCTTGAGGTTTATTTATCAAGAATTGATGAACCAATAGACCGCCCATACTATGGCCAATCAATATCACCGATGAATTATTATTATTATTGTAGGCATTTTTTATTAGTTCTTCTATGTCCTCAAACCAATTACCTAGTTCGCCTAAGAAAAAAAAATGTAGCTATTTATAAAATAAACATATTAGTAATATTATTATAGATTCTTACATAATATGAATAAGGTATAGTAGCAAATTAAATTCTAGAAAAAAACTGTTAAATATATTTGTGGCTAAACAAGTGGGAACAAAAAGAATCAAAATTAAAAGAAATTAATACTCTCTTTTCTAAATGGGAATCCTCTTACCGATCCTTCAGAAAAGAAGATGAACTCTCTGCAGATTCAGAATTGGACATAGTAGTCTGTGGGCCAGAACCCCCTACGGTGCACTCTTCCCCCTCCCTCCACATCCCTATAAATTGCATGTCGTTGTGTTCCTTGTAACTATTTATTTAAATAATAGCCAATGTTCCCACAAAAAAATTAATACACTACCCCAAAATGGCGTCCGAACATGGCGGACTGACAACTTTCACTTTAGTTAGTTTTTTGGTCACTAAGAATCGGCTTTAGGCTTAATTTCTTCATAGTTAGTCTTTTATTAAAGCTGGATAGTCAGAGAACAATAAAACATGAACAAATATAAAAAAATAATTGGCTTAAGTAATAAAAAACACCAGTGAAGTCAACTTTTTTAACAAAAAAATTTTCAAGTTGAAAATCAAGCGTCGTTTGTAATTAAACGGCATAGAATAACGCAAAACCAGCTGAAATAAAACATCTGGAGAATACATTTTTATTTCTAAAACACTGATTACATTTTCAAATATTTGAAGCGATCCCATAGAAAATGCAATTATGCGGCAGAATGCTCGTTTTCCTTTCTGATTCTTACAAAAATCTTTTTGGCAACACTAACAGTAAGAGAGCTATTTCTCTTTCTCGATAGACCTCTCTATAATCTGCTTCAAAGTAAAGATATACCCAATGTGCTACTTCAGTAGCAATCGAAAATAAAGTGGTTTTCACCATAATAAACCTAGTTTACTTCGTATTGAAGTTGTACATCGGTCATACCTTTACTTTGAAGCAGGTTATGTCTATCGAGAAAGGGAAATCCTTCTGTTTACTACATTTGGAAAAGATTTTTGTAGGAATCAGAAAGGAAAACGAGCTTTTCTGAAAGACTAGTAGATTTAAATTATTAAGAATAGTAGATTTTTAAATTATTAAGACTAGTAGATATTTCATTTCCAGCTATCTTTTTTCTTATAAAGGGACAAAACTACCTTTAATATAATTTTCTAATACATTTATTACTTGTGTACGCACAGCATTTCGTACTTCGTCCAGATCTGCTGAATTGCCAATTGCTTCGATCAAATCTTTCTTGCTGATAAATTGGTCTTCATCAAACCTGGATCGTCCCCTTAATATCATCCAAACTGTTGCAGCATTTGACCCTCTTTTAACAGCATTTTGAAATATTATGTTCATCTGTCTACTATTTATTATTTTAGACATACAATGGATACTGATTCTTGTTTTTGTTTTTTTCCAAGATCTTGGCATTACCTTTCTCGTCCGCTTAATGTATTTTTGGATTCAATTTCGCGTTTTCTCTCATTTTGAGACCAAATACTAACAATCAGTTCCGTTTACCTAGAAGAACTTGTAGCTTCGCCCTTTCCATCTTTCTTTGAGTTCTTCTATGCAGAGAGAATAATACATTCAATATAAAATTTTTTTTTTATTAGTGATATATGAGTTTTACAAAACAACCCGTCAACTATTCATTATATGTAGTTCAGATTAGGTATATATTATTTTAGTTTATAAAACAGGTATTGACTCATTTCCTGGAAAGTGTGTACAATTTAAATTACCTCTAAGAATCAGTTAATATAAAAAACAAAGTGTTAAATTGCAAAAGTTAAATAAAAAATTCAAGATATTCAACAAAGTATTATTTGATTAAGTTTTATTATTGTGATTATACCATTTTTACAATAGAGGCTTTCTTAAACGACCTCCGTATAGAATAAAGAAAGTTAAATTTAAGAAATAAAATAAAATAATAAATTTAAAAAAATTGTTTAATTTTTTGGATAATTAAACAATTTGATTAATATTTGTACGTTAATACAATCAATTTAATGTACTAAAAACATTATTATAGCACTGTAACTAAGCCATTTATAAGTAATGAATGCTGTGATAGAGGCTTGTAGGCACCTACGCCGGCACCGCTTTTCTGCCGCATAAGTGCATTTTCTACGGAATCGCTTCAAATATTTGAAAATGTAATCAGTGTTATAGAAATAAAAATATATTCTCCAGATGTTTTATTTCAACACGTTTTGCGCTAATGTAGGCCGTTTAGTTACAAACGACACTTGATTTTCAACTTGAATTTGTTTTGTTAAAAACTCGACTTCACTGGTGTTTTTTATTGCTTAAGGCAATTATTTAATATTTCTTCATGTTTCATTATTCTCTGACTATCCAGTTTTAATAAAAGATCAACTATGACGAAATTAAGCCAAATGGCAATTCTCAGTGACCAAAAAACTAACTAAAGTCAAAGTCGTCAGTCCGCCATGTTCGGACGCTACTTTGGGGCGTTACAACAAATAGTTACAAGTAACACAACAATATGCAATTTATAGGTATTGTGGGAGGAGGAGGGGGTGCACGATCTAGGATCTGGGATAACCACCCCTAACCACCCCTAACCACCGTGTATTTTGAGTTCTAAGAGGACCTACTAAGAGGACTTGATCCTCCGACCTGCAGAAGGTACAATGTTAAAAGGACAGTAACACACATTATACAAGACTGTTAAGAAATTTGAGACTGTTAGGAAATTTGAAACTGTAAGGAAAAAATTGGACATGCCACAAAGTCTAAAAGAATATTTACAAGACAGCGAAAGAGCACTTTGAAAAAACATTAAGATTCTTAAAAGCAGTGAAATTCTATATTAGAGTTTAATTTGAAAGTGTTGGCAATGACCCCTCAAAATAGAGACAGCTAAAAAATAAATAAATATCTTTTTAAAGGAATTTCGTTGTATATGTTTCAGATAAAATATCATATCATATATTTTTTTCCAAAAAATTCAATGTGATATTTTATTAATTTTATTTTATTTATCTGATCAACCAGAAATTATGTTGTTGTTTTTTATTCGTATATTTCCTTAAATATTTTGGATTAGGATATTGCTAAGTGCAAGACCAAGGCCGATTATGGGCAACAATAAACAAAATCAATCTACGAAAAGGATCGTATTATATATAATCCATTTGTGTGTGATGCGCGCACTTTTCCATTTTTTAAAAATTATTCTCGACATAAATTCAATGTGAATTTCGCTTTTCCATTATGTACTACGCAAATTTCTAGATGCTTAATTAACATACAGCACACAATTAGACAGGTTTGATTTCCTTACTTGGGCCTTTTCTGAAGTCGTAAGGAGCGGCGTAGAGATTAGTGGTCCTGGTATAGCCCAGGTCGACAATGGCACCGCATAGGGTATTCATGTACCCTCCGACCGAGAACGAAGATTTCGAATCCACATATTCCACCACTTTTGGATTTCCGAAACCCGGGACCCTCGTCTTCACTCCAGGCTGGTTATAAGTATGGTTAGAGAAATCGTCATAATTCAATCTCATGTTGTCTAACTGAAATATCCAATCCACCATAATGTAGAGCTGCTTTAGTGAATAAAGATTTATTAAACATATTAAAACAACCTATTCCTATAAACTACATAATATTAACAAGAAATCTATTCAACCCATACAATTATTTAATCTTCATATTTTATCATTTTTTTCAACTTTTTAGGTTTTTAAATTATTGAGGTGAAAATTCCTACAAAAATAAAGGGCTGTTTGGCGAGATTTTTACTCCCAAAACTTACTTAATAACTAGGTTATGTGGGCTAATACTGTATATATACTATTTGTATTGTATCAATCACTGGATGAGGACCGGAACTAGAATTTATTACAGAAAGGTTACAGTAATTTTTCGTCCCTTTATTTATTTATTTTTTCTACCGCAGCTCGCCCACATAAAACTCGACATTTTATATCCATATTTCAGGTAATGTATTTCAAAATAAATATCATCAGATAATATTAACAGCGCAAAAATGAAGTACTTAAAAAGAGCGTACCCAACATTCGATGATGACGGGAAGCAGTTGCTTTATATCCAGCCATAAAGTAAAGTACCCGTAGGTGACTTGAGTACAAAATGAATGCTTCACTGTTGGTTTGTTGAGTTGAGCTTCCAATTGGCTACCTCCGAGTCCTGGCACTATCGGAACATCAATCCTTATATTAGTGAACTTTATCAGTCAAATAGACAACTGGAGATTGAAGATTCTTACCAAGAATAACTGGTACCAAGCTGTCCTTGCATACCTGGGAAGATATAAAAATAAAATGTATACCAAGAATCAGTAATAAATGGCTATACCTAACCATTGGATAAGGTTAACAACGAGCTCACAACTGCTGAGTTCTCCTTTAATTGAAAATATTTATCTATTTTTTTAATATCTTATCGCTGATTAAATCTCCGTGCGACAAGAATTGGAAGCGATAATTGGAAAGGATAATATTTTTATAATACTCCTTAACTACCAACCCGCGCTGCAACCACAAGGTTTTTATTTAGTCACGGTCCTAAATTAACTATACAATTAACTATATTTTTAAAAATTGAATAGGGATAATAAAAGTTCTGGTAATGAAAATATTTGTTAGCCAATGTAGCTATATAATTTTCACAAAACATTTGTTATTATTTGTTGCTTGTTTGGTTTAATGTCTTCATGTAATTAAACTAAAGAATAGAGATTATAGCCGTTCCATTTTAAAACGTCTAAATTACTCCCGTCACCTATTTCCCCTTGAAACCCGTAGACTCCTTGTAACTTCCTTGATTTTTCCCCATTTTGACTATTGATTTACGGTATATGGGGGCGTCTCAGGGGATCTCGAGGCGAAATTAAAACGTTTGATAAATTGCTTTGTACGGATTCATCTTCGGGATCCCAGGGGAACGCCTCTGTTTCTCGTTTTTTATACAGAGTTAAAGTGTCTTTATTCTTCCTACCGTCCCAAGTATTTCCTGGCATCCTTCCTCTTTCAAGTCATACAATCCCACCGTCCTTCATACATCTCCAAGCTCCTTCAATTCAAATCCTCTGTTCGTTCCCGCAATACTCGTTCCCGGTCTTCAGACTTATATATAATGGTCCACCGAGCTTTCGATAAATCTTTTATTATTCGATCCTTTTCCCTATGGAACTCCATCCCTCCCCACATCCGTCAATCCAAAACCCTTCCTACCTTTAAATCCCGCCTGTTCAATCACTTCTTATCCATCCAATCCCCATAAAATTGTAAATAGTTACTATTGTAAATATGTATATAAATTATTAGATCGTTCTTCATTATTTTTATTTCATGTTTATTTTCAATTTCTTGCTTTTTATTATTAACTGATCTAAATTAGTAACTTATAATTTTTTCTATTATTTTTTTTTTATTTTGACTATTTAATTACTCTATATTTTTGTTTATGTATCTCTAAGGCTCCTTAGCCCACATTATTGTCTTTCTATATTATTCTAAAGGGACTCGTCCAGAATAAATAAAACATTATTATTACTATTATTATTATTATAAAATCATCAGATATGTGATCTGTTAAGGCCGAAGTCGAGAGTGATAGATTCTTCGGTCTATTAGGTATGAACCTCAGGACGGTCTGGATACTTAGGACCGATAAATTGCATAGTCTGTTAGCCGTGACCTCCACCATTTCCAAATAACGGGATTATGAACAACAAACCTCACAATATTTTTGTAGGGCACCTTTATACTCAATTTTCGGATTAAATTATCTAACGATTCAAGTGGGAATTAATGAGAAAACGACTCATTTCTTAGAATTTCATTCTGAGAGAACAATTCACGAAATTTTAAACGGATATTAATAATTTGATGAAAAGAGGTCTGTATCAGGGACTATAAAAGGATAGTAAAGAAAACTATAATTTTTTTGGTGATCCTTGGCCAAAGACAATTTAAACAATGATTAATTTTATTTAAAATTTAAATATTTTTTTATTTAAAAATTAATACTCACTGTTTTTAAAAGTAGTTAAAAATGTTTTAACACGAACTAATGTTTTTTTTTAAATATGATTTTGAAATATTATATATACGATATTTTTGCTAATGATATTCCAATTATTATTTTTATGCTAAGTAAGAGAGGTGAATTTAAAATGGATTTCTGTTTTCAAAATGTCACTAGTAAACACTGCAATTTTTTAAATTAAAAATTAATACTCACTGGTTTTAAAAGTAGTTAAAAATGTTTTAACACGAACTAACGCTTTTTTTTTTTTAAATATGATTTTGAAATATTATATATACGATATTTTTGCTAATGATATTCCAATTATTATGTTTATGCTTCTAAGTAAGGGAGTTGAATTTAAAATAGATTTCTGGTTTTAAAATGTCACTATTAAATAATATAATGATTTAAAATGGAATATTAATAGTTCATTAGTGATAAGGGAATTCTTATTTAATTGGAATCATGTTAAATAGGAAAACATCATAATAAAGCTTTTCAATAGTTTTTTTTTTTAATTAGGTTTGGATTAAAAACAAATACTAAATAGTATTGAGAAAAAAATCTAAAAATAGCTGATAAAGAACCATTTAATACGAGCCGAAATTTTTAATTACTTAGTGAATCAATCCTTAATGGTATCTTTAAGAGTTGATAAAGATCAATCAGACCATAGCATTTTGAAGTGTCTTTACACTCTTATGAAATTATGTACAGTCAACTCAATTCCAAATGAAAATGGATACATCTTCAAGTGTTTGTAAATTATGTATTCTTATAACAGTCTTTCTCAAGTTACATTCAGGTCATAGGTGTCGAGTGGGAAGAAACTGCATTTTGTTTGGCATCAACCTAATGTATTTTAACCGATAAATTAAGCAACATTAGTCAAAACATTTTAAATGAAATGTAATAAATATCAAGTAATATACTACAGCATAAAAAATTGATTTTTTCGGAGAAAGGGGAGGGGGAGCTCTCATGATGTAATATCTCATTGGCGTCAATTGTCTAAGGAGCATGGGAACAAAGTTCAATACGCTTATAATCTTTACAAATAATCATCCGATTCAGAAGATTGTTTTTAGTTTCGTAAACAATTTAATAATAAACGATAAACAACTTTATTTTGGCTATTTATTTTTTATAGAATCTCAATTTAATTACTATATTTAATCAATATATGAGTAATATTTTTACAAAAAAATGCCTCATTAATCCCACAGTATTTATTTCATTAAAAAAATCCTTTTTCATGTTCAGCATATTGTAATGTTTCAGCTCCACGTGCCATTTTCAAACAGTCCAAAAAACTACGATAGTCATAAAACATTCATTAAAAATTGTTATTATATTGTTTGATTAATTTTTGTGTTTTTTTTATTTATTTATTGAATATTACTACAATTTGTCATATGGACACTAGTTATAGTGAGGTAAGATAACATTCACACTTTATGTACAAAAATATAAAATAAATTGAAGCAAAATAGCAATAAATAATAATCAAAAAGTATATACAATAAATAAAATAAAATAACCTAAAAATAAGAAAATTAAAACTAAGCAAAATACACATGCATACCTATAGAGGTATTTTATAGAGGTAGTGTATAGACACTAGATTATTATTATTTTTTTTTTTTTATATTACTTTGAGATTATTTTTTTAAAATGTTATTTTCGTATTCTTTCTATATCAAAATTGCTTTAAGTTTCTCTTTCTTCCTCATTTTTTTAAAAACAGGTTTTCTTATTTTCGTTGATTTTCATTCCGAGTTTCATTCTTCTACACTAAATAGCTCCTACCTCAAGCAGGCTGTAGATAAGAATTTAATTAATTTTGAATAAATCTTTTATAGTAAAATATAAATTTACTCATCAGATATATACTTATCGAATTATCCGTAAATAAAACTAAATTTTCTTCATAAACTTTTTTTTTGCTTCCTCACTACCGAGTGTAGGGAAGTATTGTATTCGTGTGAAAAAATATTTGTGCTCAGAATAGAAATTTCCACTCGCGTTTTACGTTTCAGACATCAAGGATCAAATTTGGTTCGGTGTCTGTCTGTCTGTAGTCAAATCGATGTGACGGGCATTTGATGTGACGGAAACACCTAGTACCGTTCATCCGATTTACATGAAATTTTCAGGGATTGTGAGAGTTGGTGTCCAAATGGTCTCATATCAATTTCATCAAATTATATCTATCACTTACGCACGCTCAAACGTATTTTGTCTAACAACCAATACTTCAGAAACTGCACATTCGATTTGGCTCAAATTTGGAGGAAAGTTAGGGATTGGTAAACAAATAACCAAGTATGTATGGATTTTACCAAATTACACCCAGTACTAAAAAAAAAAATACTTCCGCTTTTAGATCAGGAAATGTATTAGTTGACACGCCTATACTTCGAAAACTGCTCGTTCGATTTGACCCAAACTTGGAGAATGAAATATATATAATTCATTATCAATTTCATTGAATTCAATTTAATGATTAAAATTAATATAAACAATTGTTAACAATATAATGGCTGTAAAATGTGGAAGGCATTGATCATATGGAGTGGGAGTTAAGACGATATTTTTATGGCGTTATAAAATTTTGGTTTTATTCAAAAAGTTAGTTTATAATGTATTGTTTGGTCGATTCCACTTACTGCCGTTATTTAGATTTCTTTTAATTTTCAGTAAATTTAAATTAAGTTTTACTCTCAGTTCGTAAAAAAAAGTCTTATTTGGGATTGTGTTTAAGTCCAACTAGCTTGTCGTGTTTCGATTTCCTTCTTAAATATCAAAGTTATGTGAACTTCACACATACTTTTATATTCCAGCTTAATTAATTTTGTTCTAACTAAAGAAAAGTATTGTTAAACTATTAATATTAATCTCGTTAAACTCCAAACAAACAAAAAGTTGAATTTTTCCAATGGATTTTTTGTTCTATCCATTTTACGATTGAAAACATACATATTAAGTGTACATCACTAATGTTAGTGCAAACGGTCGTATGTGAAAATTGTCTACTTTTATTCCATTTGTGCTAACAGTGACATTTTGTAGTCTGTAACTGATAAAAGTATGCTGCGATGAAAAATAGCAGAGGGCAATAAAATATGAAATTATACTAATAAATCATACAGAAACATTTAGTTTATATGCTTTTCTGTAAAACACTCAATTTTTAATACGACATTTTGCACCAGCAATAGTGATATACATGTTCAGTGTGCACTATAATTTTTTTCAATCACGAACCATCAAAATATGCAATCTGACAATGCGGAACTCTTTCATACTTTAGTATTCGCTGATGAACAAAACTCGTGGATATCAAACTTGTATATGTTATATGTATCCCGCAAAGAAGACCAAGCTAATTCTATACAAGACCCTTGTAAGGCCTGTTTTGACATATGGCTCAGAGGCTTGGACGATGACTAAAAACGATGAGATGAAGCTGAGTGTGTTTGAGCGAGGAGTCCTCAGAAGGATTTATGGTCCAGTAAAGGAGGGTGATGTCTGGAGGAAAAGAAAAAATAGGGAGCTCAGTTCTCTTTATACATACATCGACGTAGTCACGTATATTAAATTTGCAAGACTAAGGTGGGCAGGGCATGGGGCCAGAATGAGCACCGTTGAAATACCCAAGAAAATAATGATGGAGGAGCTGCACCTCGCAAGACGGGTAGGAAGGCCGAGGACGAGATGGTTGGACAACGTGGCTTATGATGCGAGAACCCTGCTTGGTGTACGGAACTGGAGAGCTGTAGCAGAAGACAGAGCCAACTGGCGGAGGCTCTTGGAGGAGGCCCAGTATGTTTAATTTTACACTGATATAATAAATGTAATTAAAATCGCTTAAGCCGTTTTCGAGAAAATCGAAAAAATGTGTTTAGTCCATAATATAAAGTGCCACTTCCGGTTAGCCGATTTTGACGTAACATTTTGCTGTAACATCCCTAGCATCTAAAAACCTTAAATGTGCAATTTCACTTGCATACAACTTTTCATTTTTGAGCTAGACTGTTAACACACACACATACCAGTTTGCGGGACTTGGTTATTTCGACTTAGGGAACAGGGAAACATGTATTTCTGTTGAAAACTCAGATTCGAAAATTTTCACAATCACAATACTTTTTCTTTCTTACTATATATTTCATACATAGGTAAGTGAAAGTAAAAAATAAATAGATTTAGCCATGTCGCGAATTTTCCCTTACTCTGTGCGCGTTATAATAAAGTTTCGATTTTTGGAAAAAATGCACAAGCTAGGGGCGGAAACAGAATATGTGGTTTTCAGCGGCCATGTGGTTGTTTCGCCAGGATATGAGTTTTATATTATTTTTGTTAATTTTACAATGTTAAACATTAATAATAAGGAATAATTGTTAAGAACTGACTATTCAGAACTGCTTATCTGAGTTCGCATTGTTGATAATTTGTTAGAATACTACCACCATTGTTTGGACTTAATAAACAATCTGAAAATAAATGTTTTAATGAGGTATCATTAAAATAAAATATATTGATAAGGAAAAGGATAAATCTTTAATTTCAGCAAGTTAACTTCATTGTTAACAATAACAACGATCTTTTTTCCCCTTTAACAACTTTAAAGTATTAAATTTATTATAAAAAATTATACTTAAATAACAAGTGGCTATATTTGAAAATGGAGAAATAACATAGCTACTTTTAACACCTATTTCTTTTTTTTTCTTTTTTTTAAAGGCATGGGTGCACTGCGACCATGTAGGCATGTTGTACACTAATACCTATTAATTATTCCTCAAAGAGCAATAGTAATAATAGGAGGAAGAAGAGATTGTAGGCAATATCATCCTTTCTTCTTCAAGATTCCAATTTATCCTTCACAAATAAAAAAATAGAAAATAACCATTTGATTTTTACACTTCAGGCATTTAAATTAGTTTTCTGTGAGAATTTTCCAAATGTAAAAATATAAGCAGAGATGGGTGAAAACTAATATTTCTGCTTCTTTGCTCATGTCTCAATATAAGCTTTATTTTTTAAATACTAATTTATTTAAAATAGTAATTTTTCTTCTCATTTTTTTTTTATATGTATTATCAATGGTTTTATAAGGTAATTTAAAAGAAAAAAAGAAAATTGTGATTAAATAATTTATTCTTTTTTATACATAAAATATATCACAATATATAATAAAACCTAAGATAATAAATTCTATGCATTTAAATAAAAATAATATGCATAGTTCGTTTGAATAAAAACCAAACAATCTTTGATATACCTTGTCTATTTAACAATAACCTTAAAAACTATGAATAATATAAGTAACCAATAAAGCAGTAATTGAATTTTAAAAAAAAATTATTAACAATAAACTTTAACAAAAATGAGGATAATAATGTTTATAATTGAGTCATTGCCAATCCAAATATAAGAAATATACATTTGTTAAATGAAAATCTTGAAGTAAAATATATACATATTATTAACACTTATCGCTGCTGTTGTTGTTCATTACTATCACCAAATGTAGGCGAATAGGTAGGAGATGTTGGAGAATAATTGGAACCAGAACCTGGTGAATAGTTTGTTGAAGCAGGTGAATAGTGTGATTGGGTTGGGGTATAGATTGGGCTACTAGGGGAATATCTTGAGCTAGATGGTGAGTACTGAGGGCTGGTTGCTGATTGTGGTGAATAAGCTGGGGAGGTTGGTGAGTAAGTTGGAGAAGTAGGTGAGTAATGTTTTGGAGATGATGGTGAATAGGATGGTGATGATGGAGAATAAGATGGCGAAGTGGGGGAATAGTTTGGTGAAGTAGGTGTGTAGTGAGGAGATGAAGGGTGATATTGAGGTGAGCTGCTGTAGCTAGGACTAGTAGGAGAATATTGGGGAGAAGTGGGAGAATAAGAGGGAGAAGTAGGCGAATAATGGGGTGAGGTGGGAGAATAAGAGGGAGAGGTAGGAGAATACGTTGGAGAAGCAGCATTGCTTGGTGAACTTGGTGAGTAAGAGGGAGATGTTGGCGAGTACGAAGGTGATGTCGGAGAATAAGATGGTGAAGTTGGAGAATAAGAAGGAGATGTAGGTGAATATGATGGTGAAGTAGGTGAATAAGATGGTGAAGTTGGAGAATAAGAAGGAGATGTAGGTGAATAAGATGGTGAAGTAGGTGAATAAGATGGAGATGTTGGGGAATATGAAGGTGATGTAGGTGAATAAGAAGGAGAGGTAGGAGAGTAAGAGGGTGATGTGGGGGAATAAGAGGGAGAAGTTGGAGAATAAGAAGGAGATGTTGGGAGGTACTGAGGAGTTGTAGGGGAATATGAAGGAGGAGAGGCTGGTCCATAAACTGGAGAAGTTGGTGTAGCTGATGGAGAGCTTGGGCCAAATATAGTCGGGGAGTAAAGGGGAGACATTCCTCCAGCAGGAGAAGACATATATGATGATGGAGAAGATCCACTGTGTGCAGGACTCCATGAGGGAGAGAAGCTGGGTTCACTGCCTGTAGAAGGAGAGAACATGGGCTGGTCATGGCTCCAAGCAGATGAACCTGTAACAAAGAAAGCAATGAATCAATGAAAAGCAAGAACATTTTTTTATTTCTTCAGCTATTATTTTTTCAAAAACATACCTCCACCAGGTGACCATGATGAAGCTGATGCAGGAGTAGCACCTGAAGACCAGGGAGTACGAGATGGGGATGTCTGTGGTGTGGAACCACCACCAAAGTAGGCTCCGTCAGCACCTCCAGTCATGGAGATTTCAATGCCTTCTTTACATTTCTCAGCATCCAACAATAAGTCAAAGCAACCTAAACAACGATGATAAATATTTTCAACTATTTGAAAAAATAATTCTTGTACTATAGGACAGCACTGCTAGAAAACAGTACAAATTAATCCAACAATTTAGGCTAACGAACCTGTTCCCATCCTCGGCAGTTGGCCCATGATGATGTTTTCAGACACTCCTCTCATAGGATCGACCTCTGCGTGTGATGCTGCATCCATCAACACATCCACAGTTTCTTCAAATGAACATCTAATAACAAAACAAATTGAGTTTAATAAGTAAATAAAAAGAAAAAGGAAACTACTTTAGATAAATTCTGTAAATATAATAATTATTCTGTGATAATAAACTAACCTCATGAGAGCTCCAGTGTCCTGTCTGTTGATACCGTGCCTAGTGATGGCCATAAGATGACCCTTGGCAGTCATAACGTCACAAAGCAAGGCCAAATGTCGGTAGTTTACGTACAAACCGTAGAACTGCAACACATTGTTCATTTCTTTCTCCACTGATTTTCGGACAGCCTCAATTCCTAATACCTGAATGAAATATAAAAATTAATAAATTAAACAATATGTACATGTAAATATTAATGGAACAAATATATCAGTCAAATTTTAATATTATTGTTATATTTGTAGTTACAATACTATCAATGCTTATGACTAATATAATTTATAACCTACATATTATAATATAAAAACAAATTAAACAAACAAGAATAATATTAATATTACAGTATTCAAATTACCTAAAAATACTTAACTAGAATTACTTACAGAGAAAATTTCGCAAATGTCGTTGGAAAATGTACGGACAGGATCGACATCTCTTTCACTTAGTACTTTCATAAGAGAGGTACCATCAGTTTCAAGCAACCAATCAGCGATAGCTTTGAATTCACCAGTTTCAGTCATGATAATTCTCTTCTTCGAGTCTGTTTGCGGCAAGTGCATATACACCTTGCTTATAGCTTCAATACCCTAATAAAAATAATAAGTATTAAACAAATTTAGAGATTTTATTAAAAACTAATGGAATAATCAAAGATCTTCCATGTTATATCCATGATAATAACAAACAAAATCTCACCTGTAGGGTCATATCTGAAAGCATGTTGGCTTCGATACATCTCAGGAACATATCATCTTCCATCTTGTCAACAGATTCTTCTTCTTCTCCTGACTTTCCATCATCGCTGTTCATGATCCTAATACGTAATACAAGCTTTTCAGCATTGTCGTCATTGAAAATACAATTTAAATCATCACCAAAGCCAGCATTAATTTTTTCAGATATCTGTTCCATCGTCAGTTTCTTATCTACAAAATCAAGAATAATTACAATAAAAAAATGTCTTTTAGTTTCTTACTAAATCTATAATAAATTCTTATAATAATCTATAATTGTCTGAAGTACACTCATGAAAAAAATTTATCTAATTATAATGATGATTATTAGTTCTCAGGGGACACCAATGTACATAAAACCAACAAAACAAATGACATTGATAACATAATATAGTATATAACTATGAATAAGATAAAAGAAAATGAATAAGTAAAGGTCCATTAAAGCTACAAAGAAAAATAACTACCTGTCATTCTCTTTCGGTCCAACTCAATTCTCAACAGCCAAGGCGAAATTCTGGTAGGATCAAAGTCAGGCATTTCATAGTATACATTAACAAACTCTTGATCTTCTGGAATCACTGTGTTTTGTGGATCAGGATCATAGTATATAGCTGTGTTTGCTGTAACCTGTCAAAATAATTGTTTGATATTTAGAATAAATCACAAATTCAATAATTTGTGTCTATACACAATAATGTAAATAATTTTCAGTCCATTACCTTCCTGAGCGTTGTGTGTTCTAGACGACAGAGGACATTTTTAGCTTTTTCAGCATCCCTAGCTGCTGCTCCTGTAAGGAAGACGGTAAGAGATGGAGCCTTTGGTTTTTTACTGATGTTGATGATTTCCTGAATAAAGAAATGAAAAATTATGAAAAATTAATGTAAAAAAAAGTGACCATTTTTAATTTCAATAACTTTTTTTTTACATCAGAATTAAACAAAAATAATTTTGAAAAAAGTCTGCTATTCACCTTCAGCCTGGGCACACCAAGAGTTACGTTTTTCGATGACACACCAGCAAAATGGAAAGTGTTCAATGTCATCTGAGTGGCTGGTTCACCCAAGCTCTGGGCGGCCAAAGCACCCACCATTTCACCTGGAGCAGCCTGAAAAAAGAAATAAAGTATTAATAAAAAGCCATAACTATATATGTTTTATTTTTTATAAACTTTCCTAAAATTTACATAATATTGCATAGACAAGAAGTAAACTAATAATTTCTTGCATTACACTAATATTATGAATGATATAATATAAACAAAGTACAATATTTTTGTGTACCTAATCAGCCTTTATCATTTTCAATATACAACCTTTGACTAAGAAAAAAGAAGTTAACCCCCCTCAAAATTTAAGATTTTGCGTTTCAAGATATGTAGAATGTGAAAATCGAATAAAACGAATTCTGCCCGCCCGCCATCCACCATATGTGGCTTTTCTCGGAGACTACTGGACTAATATTAATGAAACTTGGTCGGTCTTCTCTAAGAAGCCCTTTAAATTTATCTATATATCGTACTTCACCGTTAAGTACTTTCCTATTAAGATGGTCGCCTGGAAAACCTGTACTGTATAGACTGTAATGCCTAAATGAATGTACCGATTTCGAAGGAGCTTGGCTAAAGTTTCCTCCTTCAAATCTCTTAAAATTTATCTACATAATATACTTCACCAAAAAGAAGCTGGAAAAAAAGTTATAAGGGATGGTAAAATTAGATATTTGAATAACTCAAAAAATATATCTTAGTCACTTGAAAAATTAAGACAGCAATAAAAGAAAACAAAAAAAGAATCATTGAAATAGGACGATTTAATGCTAAGATATGTTGTTCTAAATAATTTCCACAAGTTCTGCTGCAAAACCGATATCCTATGTTTTGTGTTTTGGGAAGTCATACATCAACTGAACAGATATTGTTAGCAAATTACTAATGACAAAAACAAAATCAAATGAAATAACCTTTTTAGGCCAATAATAGGAATCCCCTTTTATTTATTTTCCTCAATGAAGTCAGGATGTTATTTAGTTAATCAGAAAATCTGCTATTTGGTATATATATTATTTTAATTACAAATTGTAAATTTTTATCTCAAAGAATTGTAAAATACAAAAAAAATCAATATTAACTAGAATATTTTGTTTTCCCACCCTGTTCTTAAAAGTATGTTGTCAACTTGTAGACCTCCCCTAGTTAAGGGGATAATGGTTAAACTTCCTATGGATATTAATAAACATTAAATATAGACCAAGAATTTTACCTGAGCTTGCTTGAATCTTGTTTCGATTTCTCCTATAAGCCACTCAAAAGCTGCTGAAGAAAGCCTGAACTTTTCAGAAACCAGCTTTGTGCAGAGAGTACTCCTGACCAAGCACTGGAAGAGGAGTGTTGCGTTTTCATTGGCCTGTTTGCTCAGGTGGTCATCACCAGCGACAATTACGCACTTCTCTAATAGCTCCTTCACACCTGTTATCATGTACATATATTAAACTTTGTTTTAACTAATATGGAAACAAAGAAAGGTAACTTAAATAATTATGTCAGCATAATTAATAAAACTAGTTCAATGTTATACTTAACTACTTTTAATTTATTAAAAATAATTTAAATACATTATGTAATATTAGAATTAATTTATGAAATTTTATTTGGGCTACAGTAGGATTCTAAAACATCAATTTATCAAAATGTTTATAAATAGTGAGAAAAATTTTTCATAATAAAAAATTTAATATAATATTTACTAAACTGAATAAAATGAACTCTGACATACCCTGAATGACTTTAAGTGGACTGAGATCAGTAGGAGCCCGGAGATTGATCTTGAAAGTCTTCTGAGCATTCCAAATCATTCTTTTTAAGTTACAAGGGAGTACAACTTTGTTCTCTCCTGAAGGGAAAATTGTTCTCAATGTGTCCCTGTCTCTGTTCAACAGTTCCCACTCTTGTTCAAGAGCAGAAATGACTTCTCCAGAACCAAGCAACTCCCGAAGGACATCCTCAGTAAAGATTTTACGGAGGTACCTGTGAAATAAGAAACTGTTATCTAACATCCACTCCTAAAAACTATAGGATTTAAATAAAATTGTAACTGTGCAGCAAAGTTAAATTATAAAATAGTGGTTTTGATTAAATATTTTATAAAGTACTATATACCTTTCATTTGATGGATCAAATTTAAATGTGTTTTCGAACTTTCTGTTAGAAAGAGGAACACTTTGGATCTTTTGAAACTCTACCGCTTCACCACAAAGCCCGTCCTCTCCATACCTAGAAATAAAGATACATTGTGAAAGTCAACTGCCTTTCTGATACAGTAAATAAAAATATTTCTTTAAGTAAACTCAGCAACTCAATCATTACCTTAACTGAATGAGCTGTCCGACAGAATTCCTGACAGTACCATCATAATGGACCATAACGCTCTCCATAGCCTTTATCAGACGACGTTGGATATAACCTGAAGCATCCGAGAATTAGAAATTGACAGATGATGATTATTTTAAATGAAGACAGTTTCAGGATATATATCATCAAGTTTATTGCAAAATGCCACCAAGTACATTTTTGATAAACCTCAACTTAAAAGTTTGTGTTTATGAAATTCGATCTTATTTATCGATGGCTGAACACAGTAAATGACACAAAAACTTTAATGTATTAAAAATGATTACTTTAAGAGCAAAATGTTCTTATTTCACAGAGAAAAATTCACCAAAGAACATTTAATTTTATGAAATGTTACTTCATGACTTTTTGCAATAAACCAATGATATATATTACAAATTTTATAATCAACCGTAAATACTACAATTAATGTTGAATGAAGGTCTGGAAGCAGGGGTGCTCTATCAATTTAATCTAGGATCAAAGCAGTGGAATCTGGAGTAAAAGAGATTGATCGCACACTATCCAAATTATTGACAAATCTTACAAGATTGTAGATGTAAGTCCTATACCACGGCTTTTCTTTTTGCTCTATATTTTATGAAAAGGACTCTGTATACTATCTTGGTCTCCAGCCAAGTCTTCCTACGTAGCAGTTGGCTTTGTTTACCACAGAGACTGTAATGCTATTTCCTCTATTTCTTGTGTTTATTCCAATTAAGCAATTATCACTTTTGCTGTTTTCTTTATAAATTAAGATAAAATATATGTTCTATCAAATATTTAATTAAATAAATAAAATTAAAAAAAAAAAAAAAGATTATGTCTATCTACTGTAACCTCTTTCAAACATACCATACAATAATAATAATATATATTTATATAATTTCTTTTCCATTGTTATAAGTACATCGAAACAATCTACCTAAAATTTTGAGATTCAATTGAGCATTTGTCAATGAAAGAACTATAATTTAGAAAAGTTGGTTGTGGGATGCGGTGAGAAAATAAAACACAAAAAAGAATGAATATTTGACTACTTCTAAATACAAGAATATTTCCCCTAAAATAAGTGTTCGCCCTTCTTATTACCAACTTTTCCTTGAAATAGTCCTACAGTCAACAATGTCTCCACAATTAACAATTTAAGTAGACGAACCTGTTTCAGCTGTCTTGACAGCAGTATCAATAAGACCTTCTCTACCACCCATAGCGTGAAAGAAGAATTCTGAAGGAGTCAAACCAGCAAGATACGAGTTTTCTACGAATCCTCTAGACTCAGGACCATAATCATCTTTGATGAAGTGAGGTAGTGTTCTCTTTCTGAAGCCGAACGGGATTCGCTTACCTTCAACGTTTTGCTGACCTACACAAGCAATAACCTGAAACAGGAATTAATAAATTATATACTCTGACAAAATCAAATGTTTCGAATGAAGAATGCCACCAATCATACCTGAGAGATATTAATGTTAGACCCTTTTGAACCAGACACCACCATAGCCTTTAAATTATTGTATTCCGTCAGAGATTTCTTGGCAGAACCACCAGTTTTGTCTCGAGCATCGTTCAAGATTCTGTTTACCTATAGGAAAAAAAATGAGTAATTTTCAAAATTCCATATAAAAATAGGTACTGATATTTACTAGATAATAAAGATTTGAACAAATAAATACCTGATTTTCGAAAGTCTGCCTTAAAGTATTACCAGGGGTAGGTTCCAGGTCCATGTTGTGGGCTTTTTGAATAACCTCTATGACATCTTGCTTGGCTTTTTTAATGGCTTTCTGAATTTCGAGATAGGTTTGAGGATCAGCAATAGTGTCTCCAATACCAATTGAGTGACCTGTACAAATGTACACATATTTCAATACTTGAGCTATGATAATATTATCGTTACAATAGTATTACTCTAACGTAAAACAGAAGAATGTTACACCTTGGTGAGCAGCATTACTCCAAAATAAGAATCACATCTTCGTTCTAGAACTAACTTCCAGTTTTATAAAGAAACCATTCTTAAGTCAATCACTCCATGGATTTTTGGTTATCTCATCAAAAAATTGTAGTTTTAGAGTAATGTTGTCTCCAAGGAGTACTAATATTATATAAATAAATATAATATAATATAATATAATTATATTTATAGATATCTATCTATATTTATTTGAACGCATATTAAAATCACGGTCAAACATCTCTACATCTATATAAATATCAGTTCATTATTATATTATTTAAAATTCGACATATCACAACAATTCTCTAATTAAAAATAACAAATATTCAATAACTTTATGTATCTATTAGTCTATGGTACAACTTCGTGAATAACTTTATCCAATTGGAACCTACAAATATTTTATTTACAAAAACTCTTGGAATTGGGGTGTTTTCAATCAGAAAATTGGCAAACTCTATTTGATTAGGTACTTAAAGCTCGTAAACACCCATTTGCTTTCAACCAAGATAATTTGAACACAAAATTGAGACAAAAAAGTGCTACAAAAATATTGGGCCATTTGGCTTTTGATACTTATTTTGAAATGTTGGAGGTGTAGGTCACACCAAATGGCTCAATATTTTTGAAGACCCCTTCCTTTTTTCTCGATTTTGTGCTAAAATTAATTAACGATTGAAGTAGAATGCAAAAGGGTATTTACGAGTTTTTAGTATCTAATTAAATAGACAAAGTTTGCCGACCTCCCAAAACGCCCCAATCCCAAGAATTTTCATAAATAAAATAATTGTAGGTTAAAATGAGATGAAGCTATTTATGAAGTTTCAAGTGGATGTTAATAAATTCATTAAAAGTGGTCTGTACCACGGACTATATTTTAAATTTAGTTCAATTTAATCAGTTTTTCATTGATGACTTGAAAGGACATTACTTAAAATATCAAGATATTCACCTTCTAGCAATAACCAGTTGTTGACGACTGTTTGAATGTTACCATAAAAGTAACCACACTGTTCATGACCAAGTTCCAGAAAACAGATGTGAAGCAACGAACCAGCTGATGTACCAAGGGTCTTTTTACAGAGAATTCCCGTGACCAGCTTTCCAGCTTCTACCACAACCTTGAGAAGAAAAACAAGATAAAAAAAACTAAGTTGTGTGCTTCAGACCACATGATTTAAGTGAAAACATCAATAAGGCGAGACTAATAATATGAAATATAAATCATAAATAACAGCTCATGACAAAGATGAAATGTTGAACATTTACCTTGCTTACAGTATACAGATCTGATTTTTAGTATCGGAAATATTTTAATCCATATGGTCAACTAACCTTATTATTTGGTTTTCAACATTTTTTTTTTCACCTCTCTAACGTGGCATTACATCAAGATACAATTCTGAATTATAGCTTATTACAGAGGATGAAATGCTAAACAATTTTATCGCTTACAGTATGCAGGCTTGATTTATAGTTTCTGAGATATTTTAATCTATATGTAAAAAAATTTTAATTAGTCAACTCTAACCGACTTTACCCAAGCGCTAATGCCGAACAAAATCTGATGGCTCAATCTAATTCACTCTCCACAAAAAAGTGCAAAACGCGCCTAAAGAAGTTTTCACTTTAAAAAAATCAGAGATACTCCCAACTACTTGAATAACACTACATGAAAATAATCAGAAATATCAAAATAAAATGTCTTATTTTTTGTACACATATATTCTCAAAACCATATAATATTAACATAAGAAATTACTTTTGTGTCACCAGGAGAAATCCATTTGTAAGGGCCGTTGTCTTCATCATCAGGGTGAGTAGAGTGAGTTCGAATCATGTTTACCTCGCCGGGGATAATTAAAGAGAATACTTGTTTTCCTGTAATGAATTTAACTATTAATTAAGACATAATAAAAAATGTGAAATCAGCAGAAAAAAATCAATAAATTTGCTCTCTTCAATAAAAAAAATTTAAATTACTTAGTGATAAAATAGGTAATATTCAGATTAAATATTTGAATTATATACATAAATTATGTAAAGTACTGATGGAAAATGGATTTACATGAAATATTGGATTTTTTTCATCTAAAACCTCAATCATGGGATTGAATACATACTATGATTTTAGAATTAGGAATTGAAGATCTGAAAGACTCAATAGTATTAATCATGCCTTGTAACATACCAGTCCACAAAGGTTTTGGTTTCAGAATAGCTGGAATCGGCATTCTTCCATTCCAGCCTGGCAAGTGCATAAGGATGTTCATCATTTGTTCCTGCAAGGCAAAACAATATAGTCAAAGTAAAAGCATTCAAATAGAAAATGTAAACAGGTATACTAATATAAATCTAAATTAACAGAATAAAAAAGGCCTGCCATATAGGGTCAGTATAGTTTTCTCAGAATTTTCATTGGTAATAAAATTACATATAATTCAAGCTCTAAGCTTTGTCATTTGAGAATAATGTGTAGGAGAAGCTGTTTCAAAATATAGTTTTTTCAAGAGAAAGTGAAAGAACTAGAAGGAATTTGATAAAATCAATATAGGACCATTAAGGTATCAGGCCATCATTATAGCTAAAAATTTCATTAAGTCCAATTACCATTAAGTATTATGTCCACCACATGGATTTGACTACAGAAAGACATATGGTTTGAAAATTTGTATAATCTCTCTTTCTATATGTCCATTATATATTCCATTTAGCAATCATTATTTTTTTATATTAAGTAAATTGATTTTAGTTTTTAAATGAAACTATATAAAATCGTTACAAGACCGTTGGTCTAGCATAGGCTATTTTTAGAATTTCTTCAGAGTGAGCATTATTTTTAAATAACAAGGAAAATAGATTTGACCAACCATAAATTCACATTTCTTTAGTTTTTAAGACATGGTTGTATCGAAGCATTTGTTCATATGTAAGACGAATTGATGAATGGAATTTGAGGATAAACTTGATCATATTTTTACTGATTCTTAACTTTCCTCCGAATTTGGGCCAAATCGAACAAGCTGTTTTGGAAATAATCGAAAGAAAATATGTTTTAGTTTAGCATTCTTAAAATCAAATTCACATTAATAGGTGATAGACCTGTAACCAACTTTATTCCTTGATGTCTAAAACATAAAACAGGAGTGGAAAGTTTCTATTCTGGAGACAAATAATTTTTTAATATCCAGCATTAATACAAAGCTTGCAGAATGAGGAAGTAAAAGGAGTTGTTTGTTTACCTTTTCTAAGAAAACATCTCTTTTGGTCATTTTTCTGACGGCAGTAAGAGTGTCCTGCACGATACCCATGACGGGTTTGTTTGACTGTGGTGTGATGATCTGTCGTGGAGTAACATGAAGATTTTCTACTTCAGCTCGAGTTTCCATTGACTGGGGTACGTGGAGATTCATTTCATCACCATCAAAATCAGCATTGTAAGGAGAAGTGCAGCTATAAAAACAGAAAATGATAAGAGATTTGTTCGTATAGAAATGATTCTTAATATTACAATATACACATAACATATTATTAATTTATACCTAAGTTTTTACACACTAATTCCTTAAATCTCAAGGTTGACTTTTGGATTTAAATACTTTTGGGATAAGATAATGAGAATAAAGAATTTAATTTTTTATATTCTATTTTTACAATAGTACTACAAATGATATATTGATGCAAATTTAATTTGAAATAAATTTGATCCTGTACATCATAAACATAAATCTCATGGAGTGCACATTATTCTGATTTCATAGAGGGAAGTTCATCAAAGTACTGAATGACTTAATATTATGAAATGTTACTTAATGGCTTTTTCAATAAATTGACAATATACATTTTATTTATTACCTTAGATTCATTCTGAACGTTGACCAAGGAAGAACTTTGACTCTGTGACCCATCATACTCATTTTGTGAAGAGTAGGTTGTCGATTGAAAATAACAAGATCACCATCACGAATATGCCTTTCAACTTTATAACCCCATTGCAAATGGAGATCTGATGGTTTAGGATGAAATCTGAGATCAATACGTTCGCCATTATCACGGACAATGTACTTTGCACCAGGATACTGAGCATTTCCTCTCCTCACCAACTCTAACATTCTATAAATAAAAAAAATAAAATAAAAAATTTTTGTTAGTTCATAATAAAAACAAATATTAGTGAAGTTAGAAATAAAAATCTGGTACAGTGCGCGCATCACACAACTTTCACACACCACCCTCATCTTAGCAGAAATAAGTATTTTGAAAGTAAAAGTAAAGTGAAAGTAAAAATTACAAACACTATATTGATTTATATTTCATTGTGGGTATTTTTATTTTTATAAGTACTCAAATATTAAATAACACCGATAATAGCATCTATAAAAACCGCATATGTATATTTACATAATATTGTCGGAGTCCTTATTATAATAAACTCATATTACATATGGAAGCGTGTTCTAATCTTTCGGGAGCCCTCGTGTCCTTAATTACAACTATTCTCCATTACGATCTCTTAATTTTTCTTTAGTTAATTATCAAATTCTTTCATATTGTATATTAGAGATTAATGTGAAATGGTCAAATGTTTCAAATAAAAAAAATTAATAGTACTTTAGGGGAACCTAATATTGAATATTAGCCATTTAATCTCTGTTAGAAAACATCAATCAGAATAAAAAGGTACATTTTATTTAAAACTGCTTAATTTTACACTGATATGATAAGTTTAATCAAAATCATTGAGCAGTTTTCTAAAAAAATTTCAAAAATGTGTTTAGTCCATCATATTAAGTACCACTTCCGGTAAGCCGATTTTGACGAAAAAGTTGTTGTAACATCCCTAGCATATAAAAACCTTAAATATGCAATTTCACTTGCGTACGAGATTTCATTTTTAAGCTAGGCTGTTAACAAACACATACACACACACACGCACAGACCATTTTGCGGGACTTGGTTATTTGGACTCAGGGGAGCTCAAATCGTGTGTTTTCATCAAAAATATATTCAAAAATTTTCACAATCACAATACTTTCCCTTACTATATATTTCATATATAGGTATGTGAAAGTAAAAAAAAAAAAAAAACATATATATATATATATATATATAATCTTATATATTATTACTCACTTGTCAATATTGAATGGCGTGACAATTTCAGGAAATGTCATATTAAGTGCAATAGATCTAGGCACACCGACTTGATCGATACGTAGGTTAGGGTCAGGTGTAATGACAGTACGTGCCGAGAAGTCAACACGCTTACCCATAAGGTTACCTCTAATTCGTCCTTCCTTGCCCTTTAATCTTGCTTTAATAGCTTTTAATGGTTTTCCTGATTTTTGCATTGCCCTGTAAAAAAAAAATAATAATTTTAATTGTTTTTTTATAAGAAATAATTTAATTAAAATTAATTTAAAAATCAAAAACCTTGGAAGGCCAGGCATATCATTATCAACTAAGGTAGCAACATGGAACTGAAGCATCTTGATATTTTCAGCTATAACATGGGTTGCTGCTCCTGACTGTTCGTTGCGCTGGAGCTCGTTGTTGCACTTGATAATATCAGATAGCTTATGTGTCAAGTCATCCTGGAAAATAGAGGAAACAGCTTAATTTTCTAAATAATATCATCAAGAAAGAAGAAATTATTCCAAAATTTTGTAATAGAATGAAAAACAACAACTTGAAAATATAATTTGTTTTGAATGATTGTTTTTCTTTTTTATATAGTAAACATAATTCCATATCTGTGAAAACTAAAAAAAGTCATTGACAAAAAATTCATATCTTAAGCCCAAAACTTTATGGAAATAACTATTGAAAAATGATATTAAAAACTTAAAAGGATTTGAAGAAAAAGAAAAAGAAAAAAGGTATCACTTTTTTTATGTTATTAATTAGCTGCTAGGTATTGATGGATTCATAATAAAAACCTTCCTAGGAAATAGAATGAGAAAAAAAAAAAGAATTAAAATGAAAAATATATAAGATTTTATTTTTGAATTCATTTCTCGGTACTTTCACTACCTGGAAGAAATCAGCTTTTTTATTTTGAATTCCTTGAAGCAATAATTAGAAAAAGAAAGGAACTCACAAGTAATTTCCTCTTGACCCTTCATGTATCCACTTTACAAATAAATTTTTAAGTATAAAAAACAAAGAAACTAATTTGAAACAAAAATAACAGTAACAATTTTGTTAAAAACCTTAAGATGATTAATGATTATTACCTGATTTCTTGCAGAGCCGTACATAACGACAGCAGGCCTTACGCAAAGAGGTGGAACAGGAAGTACAGTGACAATCATCCAATCAGGTCGAGCAAACTTTGGATCCATACCTAAGATGAAACATTCTTCATCTGTTATGTGTTTCAATATTTCCCACACACGTTCAGCAGTCAAGGCTATTTTCTTTTCTTGACCATCTTCATTGACGTGCTTCCATTCTGCAGTAACGTCCAGACCTGCTCGGCGAAGATTTGGTTGATAACGACCACAACCGCCATGACCAGGTTTACGATTCTGTTAAAAAACACAGATAAATATACAAGTTGAATATATACAGATCAAGCAATACATAACTTCAGCTGTTACACATAAAAAATGATGTAGCTACAATGACAAACTATGAAACTAAAAAGAAGAAATAATTATATTTCAAGGTTTTTGTATTGATACTAAGGTACAATGAAAAGTTGTAGTTGTATCCTAATCAAGTTATTCCTTGCTTGTAACTACAAATATAATCTCAGTCTATAAGAAGAAATTTCCTGTACGAAGTTGAAACTTAGATAGATGATTTTGTGAAATGTATAATAAATACATTATTTTGTTTAAAAATGAAACATTTTAAAAAAAGAAATATTCTTTTAGGAGCTAACTGAAAGTAAGACCTTGATGAGTATCAAAAGTTAGCTAAACATCCTTAACATTGACCTGATTATGAGACACAAAACTTTCTGAAATTACAGTTATGAATATAATTCCCTGAGAATAAAACTACTTACTGATGCATTTTCATCCATGTTATCTTTTTGAATATCCATTTCATCACCACCTTCACAAATATTTTTACCTTTGCAAAGATCATACACAAAAGTAAGTCTTTTTCTGGGTTGTCCTTTTGATTTCAAAACGATTTCCTTAATTTTAGGATGACTCTGGAAAGAAAAATATATATATAATAATAAAATTAAATTATTAACTAATATTGATCGAACTTATTTTAAGTAAAAATAGATAAATAGAATATTAAAAAAGTATAATAGGAATTAAGTTTACTCACAGGGCTAACCAATAGTTTTGAGCAATAAAAGCATACGCATCTGAGTATTTTAATAGTCTTAGTAATGAAACCAATGTGAAATACGGGTTTTGCTAAATCTATGTGTCCAAAGTGTCCAGGACATTCTGACATATTTCCTAAAATCAAAATTATAATTAGTTGAATTAAAGAGAAAGAATCAACCCTTCTAAAACTCAAAAATATATCTTAGACTTATACCTGCACAGGTTTGACAGCGCGACATTCTATCAATAACGCCTTGCCGGGGATCCATGAGACCACCGAGTTTTGGACGTCCTCCTTCCATTGTTTCGGGGAAACGAATTCCCCCTTCTGTGACGGACATTCGTCGCTGTAAAAATTAATAAAAACATTATTATTGGTTATTTAATTTATTAATGTGTTAAGGCATTAAATTTAATTTATTATTTACCACTTGAGTTATTTGCTTTAACTAACTAAAATTTTAGTATTAATTTAGTTTCAATAAGTCTTTACATATGCTAATTCCCAAAAATATAAATGAAAAATTATTCTTAAATAAAAGATATATGAAGCTACAGTTAATTATTACTTAAAAGCTCAAAAGAGAATAATTAGATTACTTTCAATGAAATTATTATAAACATAACAAATTAAAAACTATTATAATCAAATTATAACATTTTTTAACTTGTTTTATCATTTTGAAATAAACAATCGCTACCTTGTTTATGACGTTTATAAGATTATTTAGATTAGATGACAAAGAAACCAATTATGAAGTCAATCTTCATGAGTAAGCCCGATTTTTAAAATGATAGGATGAAATGAAAATCTACTATTCCTAATTTTAAAATAAGTATTCTTAAAATAATGGTTACTTTGTTTTAATATATGGCAATATTATCTTATAGCTTGAAAATATCGTACATTAAATAAAAAATTCAACAGCAATTAGATTATTAAATTACAGGATTTTATTTATTCAACATAACAAATTATCTTAGAATGGTGTTGAAATAGGTCGTAAATATATTTTTATATTTTTTTCCTACGGTGGAGAAAGACTTCTCTGTACTTAATTCCTGGTTTACAATAATGTTGATTTGAAAGGTGTTGTCCATGTCAAAGAAGTAAAGATACTGCTAAATAAAACTTATTCTGAACCTTTGCAGACCTTTAGGCCTATATTGTACAAGGCATCATAAGGAAGACAGTTCAAGAAGATATTCAATGGACTCGCCAAAAGCATATCTTATTCCTCATTTCAAGCATCTCATTGAACTGCCAATCTGATCAGGGTATGGATCATGGGCCGAAATGTCAGTACACATTGAGAATAATTGATAATTACCGGTATTTCTTCTTTGACCTCTAACCAATGTCCTCGAACTTTGTTCAACAGTCAACTATAATTGCACCATTAAACTAATGATGCTTGTTTTTGAAGGAAGTAATAACACATAGGTATTTACTAATTAAACAAGAGTTGAAAGCTTGAAGTTGAGTGCTATGAAATATTAATAATAAACTAGCCACTCTGATCCTTCAAATCTAGAAATTATTAAAATTTTAGATAATACTAGCAGTAAAGTAACTAGTTTATCCATGAGTATTAACTATGCATCTAAAGATTTGGTTTCACTTCACTGATTCTAAGATCACAACATTTGACATATGCTCAAACATAAATAATAATACATTCATAATTCTAGGGGAGTTAAAATCATTTCCACATTGACTTTTGAGCATAAAATCCAATAATGGCTTTTGACAACCAAATAGACTAAAATGCTTATTGTTACATTTGGAAATTTGTCATTCAAAGAAAATTCTTCATTAACAGAAAACAAAATTATCATTTATTACCAACGGTTCAGGTTTATTTCTACCTTCAACAAGTTCACAATATATAAAGTATTAAAATAGTAATATAACTTATATTTCAAAAAGTGTTTAATAAACGTCAAAATAAAAAACAACTTCACACTTCATAATCATAAACTCAGGAACCACTTGATAAAGAAATAATCACAGCACGAAACTAAAACATAACAAATTGAAACACAACAAGGAAAACTGTAACTGGTCAAATGGGCTATTCCATAACTGGTGAAATATTGAAGACCGCCTTAGAGGATAACTGTAAAAATATAATAATCACTTAGTACATCTTTCAAACTAAATCTTAACGTACAATTTCATCTGGAGAGAGGATTCCAAACTGTACTCTTTTAACTTGACGAATAGGTGCCTTCGAATCGTTGGTCGCCATTTTACTGGCTTGCTTAAACTGATGAAAGCAAGCTGGCGACTGAAGGCACAATAATCTGTATCAGTGCTAACCTAATCGTAAATAAACAAAAGGTCAATAAATCTCAAAAGAAAACAATCGTCTTTTGGCTATGAAATAACATTGATAATTATTTTCTATTAATTGAATACTTAAAAAATATATTTTCTTTCAAACTTTGCACAATCATAAGTAATTTGTTGATTATCATATTTTATTGTTAATAATAATTTTCACATGGTTCTTTATAATACTTTACTCAACATTAAATAATTTAATGTAATATCAATTTCTTGAAAACTATGAGTAAACTTTAAATATATCTGATGCTTTGAACTATTTACAAAAAATTCACTAGTATTTTCCATATCTTATTTTCGTGGTTGTTTAACACATTTTTTAATTTATTATAGTTTAACATCTCCTTTTAAAGTTAATGTATGTATTAATAATAATTCATAGATCTTATAAATTTTTAATCATGAAATCATTAAATTTATTTTTATTTCAAGATGGATAGGTAACAGAATAGACCGTGTTGCTTTGGTTTTTTAATTTAATTTGATAATTCAATTTTTTTTACATAATTGTTTGATTGCTCTTCTAATTATTTAAATATTTTCTCGTTTATCAAAAGTTGATACTTAACACTATTCATTCTTTCATGCAGATTGTATTACTTTCTTTATCTAAATGTCATTTGTCAACCTGTTAATTTTGAATTTGGCATATTAAGACTTAACAGCTAAGGATGAATTTGATTCAATTGTTTAAACTGTCTGAATTATCTTCATGTCGCATGATTGTTCCAAGGTTGCTTCACGCTTTTGTCCCAATTCTGGTAGTGGGAGATAGGAATGCAAAGAATGTGATAAACTATTTCTTTTTATGATCGTATAGGACATAGTATCCCGAACTGTGAGTGTTGTTTGCTTGTTTTTAATACATTGGTATACACATATTATGACAATTTTTCCAATTTATTGAAAAATGAATGCCATAATTTTTTTTTATACGTTTTATTATTTTAATCTTTGATAATACCTTATTGTTAATCCTGAAACTTTTTGTTTAATGTTGTTATATGTTATTGTCTCATTTTTAGTTTTCGAATTTATGTGAAAACGAACAAAAATGAATCCGATTCAAAAGCAAGGACGATATTTATCTTATTCACCATCAAAATCACATATTCAAGGTAGGTGTACTCATAGTAAACATTCCTTTCCAGGATAATATTTTCTTGCTATTAATTTTAATTTTTATTAGGAGGTAATATGTTAGGAGGAAGTGTGAGTGGTAGTGAAACAGATATATCAACTTCTAATGAAAATTTAAGTCATGAAGAACGATACGTGATTCGACATACTCCTCGTCAAGAACCTCAGGGACAAGAGAATATGTCATACAACACTCTAATTATTCATGAAGACTCGTGGAATTCGAGGTATTGCTAATATTTATTGTTTTCTTAAACAGCTTTTTAAGTGTTATTTTTATTTCACTCATTGTAAACTTACTATATATATTGATTAATGGATTGATTAATGTCATGTCATCTAAGTTGTTGGCATACTTGTGTACATTATTGTAGCAGGTGATATATTTGAAGATATAGTCAGTCATTTGAAGTATTACTTAACTAAGATAACTCAAAACATATATCCAGGATACTTAATATGGTATTTATTGTTCTGATATATATATATATTTTTTTTTTTAATGCTATAACATTTTTTTCAGGCTTTGTTGTTCATTTAATTAGTTTTCTCTTTTGACTTAATCAATAAATCAAAAGTTTTATAATGCTCTGATGCATATAAATTAAGAATGTTTGTTCTGGAGTTAAGATTTTAATTGTTACTAAAAAATGTTGCTCTTCTTTCACAAGGGTGGCACAAAATCTCATGATCACACTATAAATCGAAATAATCATTATACATCATTTGTGCATCTGAAAGTAGATTGAAGTGGCCAAACCTTATGAAAAGGCCCCGACCTCAACTGAAAAGGATCCGTTACGGGGTTTGTCTATCCCTTGGAGCAAGCGAGAACCGAAATCAGCGATATTATTGAAACTATTTAATGTCTTGAATTTAACTGATAAGGGCCAGTAGGGAGTTTGATGAAGTCGTAAATCACGGTATAAATAAAGACAGGTTATATGGTGAATATGTCAATCCTCAGAATCCTATTTGTACCATTATCATGGGACCTTCGCCCACTCGTCAAAGTGAAGTGAAACTTGTATAATTGTATCTTTTAATTTTTAGGAGTATATAGGCTCATATTGTGGTTCAGTTTGTGTATTTATAATAAGAGACTCCAGTCATTTGAAGTAAACCCAAAACTTATTTTATGATAAATTACTAATTTTTCTTGTTTATTTTTTAGGACACATGAAAGACCTCCTCCGGTTTATAGTAGTCATATACAAGGAGATAGAGATACAGGTGTCCGAGAGATTACTGACATTCCTGACGATTATCTTCGGCAATCTCAGGTATGTGTTACTTGATTTTTCATTTGAATAGGGATAACATGAAAAGGAAAAACTTTACACCTATGAGGTAACTACTCCCAAACGATAATAAATTTTTTATGAAGTAGGCCAAAACTAATGCAATGACAAATTTGAGAAAAGCTTCTGTATGAAACTAAAACTTAACTTCCTTCAAAATTGAAAATTGTTTCTGGAAGTTGTAAACAAAAAGTGATTTTGTAGTAATTTTTAATTTAGGAGTAATGTTATGCCCCAAGATGTTAAGTTCTCTCCTTTTACAGTACCTAAATCAAAGCTGTAATTAATTGGTCATTCAGATATAGTATGCAGTTCATTTTCACTGATAGTATATTTTATTATTATTCAAATAAATAAATAAAATTGGGTACAAACATAGAAAACTACTTATTTCGTTATACAAAATTTTATATATGTAAACCAACTCAAAAGTTTTTGATAACAATGTGGCCGGTGATAACATTGATAAGCACTGCTGTAGGGAAATTTACAATTTTTTTTCCTATTTGATTTTCGCCTAAACCGGATTATCATTTCATAAATTTATTAAATGACACTCATAGAGGTTATTTTTTATACTTGTTCATGTGCCTAAATGACTCTTAAATTATTTTTTTAGGTCTTAAAGCATCTTGCTAATGAGGTGAAGCGTGGAGGTGAAAGTTCTGGTGGAGAAAGTGGAGGGAGCAAGAAGCAAATGGTAACTGGGTCTCGATCTATTGGTTGTGGAAATAGAAGAATGCGATCTAAACTTAGCAAGAGTCAACCAGACCTCACTGCTGCTGATCGAGAGAACACTATTCTTCGGCACACTTTAGGCAATACTAGGTATGTATACATGTCCATCAGTATATTTTCCAAATATTATGACCACAGAGAGTAGTTGTACAAAGTTAGTTTTGGGGGTTAATCTTGCTTCTTATAAAAATGTAACCTATATAGCTACTATATCAACTCTAAATATCATACTTGATATAAGGCCTGTTCCACTACGATTATCAGCAAATTGTCAGCCGAATGTTATGATAGTTTTTGGAGGTTTTTAGGTCCCAGAAAGTTCTCCCAAAGAAGTTTCTGTTTTTCATTCTGTCCACAGTATTTACATATTAGAAGGAAATAATGTTTTATGCTCTTTGTATCTCAGGACTGAATGGAGGGAGGTAGTATTAATAATTTAGTTCAGAAAGTGGAATATGGTCTTTAAATAAATTATCCACAGATCTTAAAAAAGTATTCGTTTTTGGACTTTGTTCCTTTCTTTGTATTGATTATTTTATTATGATAGTTTTATTATTTTAGGGAGTTTAATAGTATTATTAACAATTAATTTGTGAACAGATTCTTATTTATTTTTATGAATGAATTTATATTTTAAAAAAGTATATCAAAATATTCGATTACGACTGTTTAGAAAAGATCAGCAGAGATGTGCTCAAATGGTCGATCATCTTATGCAGGAGAATAATAGCCTCAAAGCTGAACTGGAGGCTTGCTATCACAGGGTTGCAAAAGCACACAAAGTAAGTAAAAAAGAGGATTGTTCTATGTAGCTAGTTTGTTTTATATTATTTTTTCAAAATGGTAATATTTATATTATGGTTATTGTAATTATTTGTATTATACTTTTATAATCAACATGTTTGAGATGAGTTTTGTTATTTCAGGGAGTAGAGAAACATAAATAATAAATGACTGAAGTTTTCTTTATAAGGTCTTATTATTATTTTTACATATTTTCATCAACATGGCATTAATTATTGTTTAAAAAAGAGTTTGGCTTATGTTGTTTATCCATTGTGGTCCAAATTAAACTAAGACTGGCATAAACAGGTTATTCATTAAATATTGTTGATATATCCGTCATCAGTTCAAGTGATTCATTGACGAAATGGGATGCGAACATTCAATATAGATCTTATAGCAGCTTTTATCATCTAGATTTATCTTTCCCTCCAGTCCTTTATCTAGTCCTCTGCTGCTTATTTTAGATATTGTGTTGATTCTTGTCAACCAGCTACTTACTTTTAATACCAAATAGTGTGTTCCTAAACTATAAAGACAATTTTATTTTTTTTTGTTCACCCCTTCCTCATCTTTCAGTCTATAGAAGGTTTTTCATGAGCCACAGGAAAGGATAGGTCAATAGGTTATACATGTAATTTTACTCATGATTTGTACCTCTTGTTTGGTCACTCATATTTTGATTTGGGCATTAAAATGATTTGACAATTAATTGTTAAGGTCCCATGTGGGTCCATGTATTAAATGTGCTTGCAGTCGGTTGTAACATTGGGTATGGTGCTCAGATGAGAGACCACTCCAACTGGATGGCTGCCCACTAGAAAATTTATGAAGCCTACTATTCTCAGAATGATTCACCCACCTCCTCCAGCTATGCAAAGCTCAGTCTAGGGGCAATGCACACCAGCCGAATTTAAGTGTCATGACCTTACCTTAATTATCTTAATTGGGAATCATAATGTGGTTTTCCAGAATGTCATTCATGGTCCCAAAGTGATCGGTTATGGAGCTTAAGGGTAGTTGCTGTTTTATCATGGAAACCATTTAATCTTCTTTGAGAGCGCACTCCGTTCTTTTTGTTTTTATTTTATTTATGTATGTGGAAAGAAATCGTTTAATTTATGTATAAAGCATGAACCAAGCATTTATTTATTTAAAACCAAGCCCAACCTTTTTGGCAATGTGTTTGTTTGTTGCAATGGGGCGTAGATGACTTATTTTGAAACTTTTTTTATATACCTATTTATATATTTTGGAAAAGATGTTGTGAGTATGTTTTAGAAAAATAATAATTCATATATTTATTTCAGCTAGAAGAAGAGGTATCTAAAGTAACCAGAGCCCATGAAGAACTAGTTGCTACCTGTGATCGCCGTGAACGGTTGGAATCAGCACGAATATCGAGGCTTCAGGCCGAAGTTAGGAGACTGCAAGAGGCCAATCAACGATTGCTCGGGCAGCAGTTGACATCACCTGATCTGAGCAGAGTTCAGCTGGCTAAGAGAGAAGCATTGATTGCGCAATTAGTTACACAAAGTTAGTTTTCTTCATTTTAAATGCTATATTAGTTTAATTAAAGAGTTTTGAATGTAAATAGGTTCTTGATAATTCTTGGTCTATAGGAACACAATTGCCTAGAATTATTACCAGTGATTAATAAATAAAAGCTTTTTGTAATTTATAGTTAGAATCTGTTATTTCAATATCTGATTGTAATAAAACTTGATAAATTGTGAATAGCTTACATCTAGGTGTATTGACTCTACTTTTTATTATTATGTCTGCAAAAAGGTTGTTTATTCTCTTAATTTGTGATTTATATCATAGTTGTGTTGTATGTAATAGAATGACTTTTTAAAAAGTGTTATATATTATTATGGTTTGTTAATATCATGACTAAACTTACATTATATTATGGGATTGACCCAATATTTGAAATTATAGATAAAGAATTAGTCGCAACAAAGGAAAGACAAGAAATTGAACTAGCCGCTCAGAGAGCAACACTCCAGGAGCAAAGGACTCATATTGACATCCTCGACACTGCTCTAATCAATGCCCAAGCAAATGTTGTCAGGCTTGAAGAAGAGGTGAATTTTAAAATTATCTTAATATTTTGTTTATTTAGCTCACTTTTGTCAAAGAAATTTAACAGAAATATGTATTTAAGTATTTCTTAGTCCTCTAAGAATAATAACAGAGTTCCATAATTATGAACGTTTAATATGAAATTTTACAATATGATGCAATTTTTTTATTATGATTTGTTAAACTTTTTATTTATTTTAGTGCCGTCAGAAACAAGTTCATGTGGAACGAGTAGCTCAGTTACAACGAGCCTTATCTTCCCTCCAATTAGCCTCCGATCGTAGAGAACAAACTGAAAGAAAATTACGACTTCAGTTGGAGCAAGAACTACAAAACGAACGTGCGAAACACACTAATAATCTAGAATCTCATGGTAATCTTAATGATTTTTTTTTTTCATTTAATTAAATCATCATCATCCTCTGATGGTGTTATGGTTCTTCAGGGCCCTGGCCTCTTAAACAATCCTTTCTCACTCAGTCCTGTTCATGGCTACCCAGAGATGGAAGATTTCTGTTCAGATCTGTCAAAAATGTCTAGGCCTACGTTTTTTTTTTTTTTTCTTCCACTGGATGACTCTCCATGGTGGGAACAGTATCTGGTCTTTCATTTATCTTCATCTGCCAGTAATTCTTTTATACTTCTGTTCTGTATATAACTATTGGCTGTAAAATCAAAAACTCATATTTTGAGAACTCCGAATATTCCATATTATTATTAATATTATTCTAAATCACAATGTTGAAATATTTTCATTAGAGGGTTGTAGCACCTATTTATTACCAGCTGTAATACATTCTGTCTACCAAGAGTTTGAAGATAAGAGGCCTGCGATGCCTCCTGCCAGTCTTAAAAGAAGCTCTGCCTGCTTATACAATCTATTAAACCTAAAAAAAAAAGCCTTTGATTTGGATTGATAGGTATATAAACATTTCATTACATACTAAGGATTAATACTCTTTTTACTTTTGCTTACCTATATATGTCAGGTATAGTAAGGGAAAGTATTGCGATCATGAAAATTTTCGAGTCTGAGTTTTCAACAGAAATGCACGTTTTGAGGTACCCTGAGTCCGAATAACCAAGTCCCGCAAAATGTTGTGTGTGTATGTTAGCAGTTTAGCTCAAAAACGAAAAGTCGTACGAAACTGATATTAAGTATTTAAGATAGGTACATGCCTTAGATGTTTGTAACATTATAGCATATGTTTATAACCTTAAATACAGATACTGTAGTTTAATAATTCTAGATCTGATATTATATTTAAATAATTAGTTATCTATTGTCTGTTTATTCCGAAAAATCACCATGTAACCTTTTAGAAAATTAAATTAGTCAATAATTTGATTAATTTTCCCTTTGTGATATTCCAACAGTATCCGCTTCCAATTAGTTTGACAATTTTTGACCTGTCTATGACAGACAATGCAAATCTCTTTATTCCGTTTTAGTAAATTTTGCAATTAAAAATAACAGTTAAATAACTAATAGTCGTACAATCCATAATCAACGGATCGTACAACCCATAATCAACCGGTGATATAATAAATAGGACTTTTGTTATTTTAATGGTATTTATGATTTGTCAGCTGTAAGCTTTTAGCTTTAAATCGGTTAAAAACGCAATTTTTATCATCGCACTAGATATTTAATATACTCTTTTAACCATTGTTCAATTTTATCTTTATATATATCTTTATCTTTTTTTATTTAGATAAGTGGCTACTATTAAATTAAAAAACTAGATAGAAAGGAAATTTTTACTTTCTCCCAGTTTGATAAGTATTACAGTAAAAATAACCTTTATCTTTTCCCAGTTCGGCAATTTCTATTGAAATTTGACATTGACATTTCAATTTGTAAATCACTCTTTATTTCTTAAATAATGATGTCTATAACTTTTTACTTTTAATGTAATATCTGGCCATTAGCTATATTTTTTTCATTAATTTAGTATTATTGAATGATAAGTGTAAACAAATTAAAAATATATTGATATTTTTAGGAGAAGGAGAAAATTTGGCTGAATTAAAGCGACAATTAAGGGAAAAAGATGAAAAAATTATGAGGCTTGAAGGCGAAACAGCTAAATGGGAACAGAAGTACCTAGAAGAGAGTCAATTACGACAGGCGGCAATCGATGCAGCAAGTATACCCAAGTATGTTTTCACTATAATTATTTTCTTATTAGGTTCATTATTAAATGTAAAAAATAATATATTTAAATCAAACAAAAAAATGTTTAAATCTATCTATTTATCTATTAGATTATTCTTGATGTGGGTGTTTCAGTCATAATGTAGTTTATAATGAAATTGTAACCAAGAGATTTTACAAAGACTATTCTTCTTATTGTTTATTTATATTTGTAGATTTTAATTAGAATATAAATGGTTAAAACTTTATTCTATGAAATTATTTATGAGTAAAAGCTGTGCCGAAATTCAAATCACCTTATAAATGTTTGTTTATGTAAACTTTTCAAAATTAATAAAGAGTTTTGACCTCTGAGATTGTTATGTTCGCTAGTAAATTACACTGTTTTTGAATCTTTTATTAATTATATTCTTTGAATTGAAAACAGTAACATTATTTAAAATAATCATGATTGAGGTTTTTAGGTGTATACAGTAAATCATCATACAAACTACCTATCCACAATTCATTTCTGATTTATTGTTATTAATGTTAAAGGGATGCTAAAATTGCTGCTCTTGAAAGGACCAGTCAAGAAACTGAAAAGCTTATTGCAGAAGCTCGGTCTGATAGAATTAGACAGATGGATGAAGTGCATGCTGCACAAAAGAAAGTTACTGACTTAGAAGCAAAGTTAGTACTTACACTTACTCCTATTATAATAATTATATGCAATATGTATTAAATTTATGCCGTAATTTTCGTTAGAAAGCCAAAGTAATCTTTAAAATCCTTTTTTTACTACTAATTTCATGTATATGTTTATGTAAGTATACCTATAAATGGTCTTACGGGCAGAAATCATCAAATCCTAAGACATATTTTTGAGATAATTGTAATTGAATTATCAATAAAAATATACTTATCCAATTAATAAATTCCAGGATAAACTGCTATAAAATAAAAATGTATATATGTATATACAGGAAAATTCGGTTGAGCGTGCAGTCACAGATAAAATTAAACACAAATACTTCTTCCACAATGAAAGAAGACTTCTTATTTTTGTATAATTTTTAAAACCAATTTTTCTTACTATTTTTATTTGTATGTATATAATACAAACATAACTCAGTTATAGGTTTCATTATCCAATAACTATTAGAATTATATTATTTAGCTGTCTGAATATGTAATCATGTTTTTTTAATTTTAGTTACCTTACCTATATATACTAAGGGAAAGTATTGCAATCGTGAAAATTTTCGAATCTCAGATTTCAACGGAAAGACACGGAAGTCCCCTGAGTTGAAATAACCAAGTCGCACAAAATGGTGTGTGTGTTTGTTAACAGTCTAGCTCAAAAACGAAAAGTCCTAAGAAACTGTTATTACATATTTAAGTTTTGTTTATACCTGTGATATTACAGCAAGTTTTTCGTAAAAATAGTCAAACCGGAAATGGCATTTTATATAATTGATAGAACACATTTTTACGATATTCTTGAAAATGACTCTAACGATTTTGATTAAACTTGGTAAATCAGTGTATTATCTTAATTTTTATTTAAGATCAGCTAGGTCTCATACACATTGATGCCACATTACATGGCTGAAATGGCTAATGTTCAGTATGTCTTCCTCTGAAGTACCTTAAATTTAATTTATTTTAAATAATTAATCATCTCACATTATTCAGAGTTACAAAAAAATGGCTTAATATAAAGAATGAAAGAATTTGTTAATTGGTTAAAGGAGAAAAAAGGAAAAATGTCTTTTCAGGTTGAAAATGAATTTTCGGAAATAAGAGACTTGAATGTATACATTAAATATATCATTAGAAAACTGAGAATTTTAGGAAAAACAATATCTGACTTACAAATTTGTAAAAGGTAGTCACAACAAATTATAAATAATAATTTCTGAAAACTAATATTATTTAACTGAAGCTAGATGTTTCCAAGGAAATAAAATGAAATTTCTTAACTAAATTTAAACATTTAAAATTATTTTTTAGTTTGAAAAAAAGGCTTTAAAATCCACCAAATCAAGGCTATGACGTTGTTAAAAAGCTAGTTCATGGATGGATAAAAAATATGTTTATGACCTTTAATAAATTTACTGTAGTTTAATAACTCTGGATCCGATATTATATTTAAACAATTAGTTATATATCGTTGATTTATTAAAAATAAAAATTCCCTTTATGAAATCACATTATACACTTACAATCAGTATTACTACTTTCGACTTATCGATGCTGTATTTAAAAACAAGTAACTTTTTTTTTGGTAAATTTTTCAAAGGTAAAAAATAAGGATTTCAATATAGTTAGAAAGTAATAGAGATTTAATTCATATAATTTTTATTATGCAGTATGATCTTACTTATTCATTATTAAATACATGTACTTTCAAATCTCTCTTTGTCTATAGAGCTAAAAGACTAGAGTTATGTGATTCAAATAGACTGATGCATTTATAATATAAGGTTTTTATTGCCTACAATGAATATAATAAATAGGGTTTATTTTTATGGTCTTAATGAGTTTTGTATTGAATAATATGAAAAAAATTCAAAAATATATTGTTCAAGGTTTAGCTCTAGTCAAAATGCGCTTCAAAAGCTTCTTGTTATAGCCCAATTTTGCCAGACAAGAATTACTTATCGATGTAGAGCAGTAATTGAAAGTTGGATGTTGTGCATCCCAGATTGTTATAAATAATAATGATAGATAATTGTTGAAGAGAAGTTGGTTGGAGATTGCAGTCATTAGACCAGATAACAAATAAATACTGAGAAAATAGTAGAGAGTAATAATAATAATATGTAGGTAAAATAGTAAAATAATATTACACGTAGGTAGTTATTAATAAATATATGGAATGGAAAATATATGATGTATAAATTTTGGAAATTATAAAGTAACAGTAAAAACTTTGTGATTTATGAAATGATAGTGATATCAATCGTATTTGGTAAAAATATTTGGTAAATAGGGTGTTGTAATTCTTATAAGTTGATGTAATATTATATTTGGAGGAAATGAAATGAAAGTATATTATTAAATGAATGAATGAATAATTCTTATGAATAAATGTAATTATGAATCTTATCTTTCTCTGATGAAGAATTATTTTATTAAACATTATGTAAATTAATATGTAAAAACCTCTAATAGGGTCAAAGAACTAGAGTGCAAGCTTGCTGAGAGGGATGCCATGATCCGAGTTCTGCAAAAAAAGCACACATTAGACAAAGAGGTCTCCAGCTCGTATCCTTCCATTTCGCTCGATCCAAGCCTAAACACTGACCTCAATGTCTTAGCAACGGACAATTTGGGTAAGTCTGATTTAATAATAAGTACAATATTTATTTTTAAATTTAATTAATGTTAATGTAATTTAAGCTTTCTAATTAATATGTGCAATGAGGTGTACCTCTTTTATATTAGGTTTATTATAAAAACTATTTAACCTCCCTAGGTGGTGTATCGACTACCAGTGTCTTTTCGACTGTGTCCAGTGCACTCACGAGTTCAACAGGTTTTGGATCTGGTGCTTCCTACACTGGTAAGTATCAGTTAATCTTTCTTTATTAAACTAGTTGCATCTATTTAAACTTACTCCTAGAGGTCATATTTCAAAACTATTTTTCATACTTTAAAGTCAGGATTTTTATTTTTCTAATTAAGAAGGCTAGTTTAAGCTTTCTCCCACTTGTTCCTATATTTTTAATAATAAAATAATTTACTCTCATAATTTTGTAAATAATATTCTGTAAATTATTGAATATATCATCAATTTATTTTTTTAAAAATGTTAATTAACATTTTAGAAAATTATATGGTAGGAGATATAAAATTAAATTGTAAGCTGGGAGCTGGGTATTATAGGGCACTAAGCTCCTATTCTCAAAGACCCAGGTTCGAATCTGGCTGTAGAAGGCAATTATTTATTCTGTTATATCTGCAGTGGATCGAACCTGGGTTTGAAAGAACCTACTGGGGCACAACCAGCATGCCTGTGTGCATAAACCATAAAGTGTGTAATCTTAATTTAATAATAAGTTGATAGAAAAAAAACCTGGCTATTGAGTTTGATCTCTTTCACTTCCTTACAAAGTACTGAACCCAACACCCTTCATGGGTTGTAGTAGTACAGATTTTTTATATATATATATATATATATATATATATATATATATTGTAAGGGATGTTGGTTGAGGGGTGTGGTCATAGACGAGATAACGCATAAATGAGGAGTCTTACTTTATTGTGTGCTAACATTTCGCCCTTATTTATATTATCTTATTTTCATATTTTTTTTCTTAATCTCTCTTTATTGGTTTTATCTTGTTTTTTGTTGAAGCACACAACTTAGAATAAAACATCGCCACCCAATAAAGTAATATTTTATTTTATCAGGTTCATATTATTTTGATTTACTTAATAAGTTTTTGCATCAATAAATAGGATTGATATTAAAAAATACATACTTTAAAGTCTAGCACCTTCAACAATGTATTTAGTGACTTACCCTTGTGTTTATTGTATGTACGAGTTTAGTTGAAAAATTACTTTTGTAACTAGTAATGTTTCAATTATTAGAGCATTAATCAAATCTAGGAAAATATTATTGCAGTAATCCAAAAATAGAAACATTTCATTTTTATTATATAGTAAATTATAAATAGAAAAACAAAATATTTTGCCTTTGGTTTTTTTTAATATATAAAAGGAGTTTATTTTTCACACCAATAAATGTATGGTTAGAACTAAATAATAATTCCAATATATTTAATGTTTTAAAAATTATTTTTAGGAAGTGTAGATTCATACCATCACAAATATTCAACACCCACTGAAAGTTTTCATCATAAATCACTAGATGATCAACTTAAAGAATTGGACTCTCAACTCATGAGCAAGGTATGCTTTGTATTTCATCTTATTTCTTTCGCTTTTATTGTCTCTCTTATGTCCTCAGATAACATTGATGTTGGCTGTGCATTCAACTATTTATGTAATGTATACCTTGAAATTACAATGGAACCCTGGAAATAAACTAATAGATCCCTGTTTGCATTGGGTGGTCTGAAAATAATGCAAGATTTTGGTTTAAAAGAAATATTTACAACCGTTTTATTTAATAAAAATTATCTCCTCTACTATCAATACATTTCTGCTAATGTGTTGGTAACTTTTCCATTTCCTCGGAATAGAATTTTCTATCTTTGGAATTGATAAACTCCAAAAACACATTTTCTAAATACCTTTGTCCATTAAACTTCTTGTCACGTAAGTAATGGTCCAGGTGTCATCATCATCAAGAGAGAAAGTCCTTCCACGAACTTCATTGACTTCATGGCTGAACTCCTCTCTGTCTCTAAATTTTTTGAACCACCATTGAACAGTGCACTCATTAATGCTGCTCTCAAACCAGACTTGATTGATATTTCTGGCTATCTGGGCCCCATTCTGGCAGAGTTTAAACTCGTAAAAAAAATTATACGAAAATCACGCATTTACATCTTAGTAAAGACTGAATTATTTCTAAGCAGCGAAATGCTACAGAGGTAAGCAAACCTTGTCGTTTGGAAGAGGGTTAATAAGTGTTGACATTCATACAAATGAATAATCTAATAAACGTAAACAGTTTGTTATATAGATGGGTATTTTAAAGTAAACTCAAAATCTTGTATTATTTTTCAGACAACACAATATATATATATATATTTTTTTTTTTGCTGCAATATTCAAGCATTTTCAGATTATTCCAAAAAGAATATGATTTACCTGATTAGCTGTTTTCAAGTTTATTATAAAATTGATTATACAAAGTGCCACTTTCAGTAGTCGAGTTTAATAAAAAAATTTACTGTAATATTCTAGGCATCAGTTTCCTAAAGCTGTTTTCCATCTTAACTGTTCATTCACTCATATAAACCCTTTTTTGAAACTTTGTATTTTGAACTCAAGGAACCTTAAAACATCTCTTTTTGTTTAAAAGTCAGATTTGAAATTTTTCACTATTACAATAATTTCCCTTGCTATATATTTAATATAAAAGTAAGTGAAAGTAAAAAAAATTACTTTGTCCAGACCACTAGCAATGAACATTCATCGAATCCAAGGATTGAATTATGTCAATTAAATTAGTTAGAACAGTTAACTGTTATGAAGAAGATATCATTGATGAAGAAAATATTGGTATGGTCTAAGTCATACTTATCCTGATTATTATGTATATTTAGTGCAATGTATTGTATTGCTTTGCCATGGAGAATGATGATCCTGTGGTTCTAAAAGATTTAATGCCCTATTTTAAAAGATGTTACCATTGGTATACTATCAATGTGTTTGTAATAATTTGAAGAGAACAATACAATTTTCATTATACAAAAAAATTTTTTTGTTTAAAGTGGGTGTATTGCAAATTCCCATGAACCAAAAGTTCTTAATAGCTATTCCAGTCTTCTCTGAATATAGCATTCCTGTCCAAGATTTACACCGCGCCTTGCTCATTGTCAAACATTTTCTATTCCATGGGTTTCATTGTTTTTAACTGTTTCATCTATAGGTGTCAAATTAACATTTTAAGATTTACTTCAGACTAGCCTCAAGTTCTGAAAATGAGGAAAAAAAATGATAATGCACTTAATTTTTAAGTTTTCAATAGATAATGGCGACAGGCATACTTTCACAGTTTTGAAGATTTTTACTTGAAGTAAATCAGATGGTGTTGATGTTTTTTTAGATAAATTATATGAGGTAAATTTAGTGTGAAAATATGCATGGATATATGTATATCTATAATTTTTTTCTTTTTGACTGAAGATGCTTTCATAACTATTTTTAACTCATTGTTGTTTTTTGCTTCCTCAACTACCTCTGATAAATTAGTTTACTTTAAGTTAAAAAATTGTTATGATTTTCAGTTTGTTCCTATTAAAATCACCAAGTACAATATTACGGCATTTTGATGAAGGACCAGTGACTAAATTTAATAATTTATTGATGATTGTTAACTATTAATTACAGTTTAAATTGTTATTTTATATTACAGTCCTTGCCGTTGGGCTAATTTTTAAATAAATACAATTACAACCTTCACTTCGCAATATTAGTGAAATAAATTTGCAATACGATATAATCTTAATAATGATAACTAACTCTTCACAATCTGATTTTCTAAAGAATAACTCACTCCCAATTAATTAATTAAATAAATAGATTAACCTTCAACTCGGCTAACTGAACTGCCAACCTGTTGAGATTTATGTAGTCCATGGGATGTTCTAGACAGAACCAGAGGATTTTCTGGTTGAAAATGGCAGCCAATTCTCGAACCACCTAATTTTTTTTAATAAGTTTCGCAATTTCTATAACTTTTAATATGCATATAATTATTATAATATTAAATTTAACAAATTATGTTTATTACTTAAAAATAAAGGGTATAAACAATTAATTCTAAAATATATTCATCATCCTAATCCTAAAAAATTATATTTAAAAAATGTTCTATGGAAATGGGAAAACCTTTCTCTTTTTTTTCTTTTTTGCATGAATTATGGTATTAATTCTTTTCTCTATCAGCTCATATCATTTCTTCAATTCAAATTAAATAAGCAAAAATCTTTTAATTGCTTTAAAATGTGCTTATGATAATTTTTTTATTGCCAAACCATTTTTTTCTCTGCTAATTTTTAAGTTTTATCAAAAAAATTGTCTTAAAATAACTGGATTTTTACTTCTTTTTTTTTTTCTGTTGGCATTAGAGATTTTGTTGATCTTTCGCTGTCTTAACAAGCCTGCTATATCTCTGGCTATCTTGGGTTATTTCTTTCCAGTCAACTGCATACAACTCTATTGCATCTTAGTTAATTCTATCGATCCATCTGCTTTTTGGCCTTCCTCAGCTTTCCACATTAATTGTTACATAGAGGCTTCCATATGGATTGCTCTGAGTTACATGCCCCGCCCATCGCAACCTTTATGCCTTTATATCATGAGATATTGATTGACCAGTTTATCGCTCCAGTTATCATGGAAAGGATTTTTCTCTCAAATCTTTCAATACTTTTTCCAGGGGGCTGATTTGTATCTAGCTCTCACAGCTATATATTAGAACTCTCTTTATCATAGCAATCTACACTCTTAATTTGAAATTTTTCAGGATTTCAATACCTTTGAAAGGGAGAAGAAAACTCTGCATTAGTTATAGGCTGCTCTATTTCTGACCATTGGTCATTCAAGCCCATTCGAACTTTTAAGGCTTCAGATACTTTTCCTTGTATCAGGACTTGACATTTAGGATCATTTGTACACGTCTTTATCAATCTCACCAACTTACCTGGAATTCTCAGTTCAGTTATGATTTTCCAAAGGCAGTTCCAGTGCACAAAATAAGCTCCTTTGAAATCAACAAATAGGGCGTGGATGTTTTCCATCGTTGTTTGAGTACTTGTTTTAGGATGAGGATCTAGTCTAGCATGCTCTTTCCTTATCTGAATCCAGCTTGGTGATAGCGTATTATATTTTCGTAATACGGATATAACCAGTTTAGTAGGATATTGGTCATTATCTTGTTGGTAACCAGAAGTAGTGCTATGCCTCTGTAATTATGACGCTCGTACATGGAGTCTATTTTTAGGATAGGGCAGATTAGGTTCGTATTCCAATCTTTCTTTGAGGAATTCCCTTTTTACTGATCTTATAATTTTATTTGCTTTTTTCTTGGTGGCTGTGTTCTTGTCCAGAGTACCTTGATCAGTTATGGCTAGGCAGAGGTCTTTCATTTACTGCCTTTTCGCATGCTTCTGTGAACCACAACTTAGCTTTTCATTTCTCCTAAATACCTATCACTTCTTTAATTTTTTTTTTTTTTAGCCCTTTCTCTATTTCCTCCCAGTGTTGGTCCACTGTGAGGCTCTCTGAGTCCAAGAGTTAGATTTTACTATAAATTACACAATGAAAATCATTTTTAATAAAATATGACTGACTAATTTTTTTAAATGTATGAATACATTATATTAAAACATATTTATTAATTTAAAGCAGTTTGTAGTTAGTTTTAATGAGTAGTTGAGGATACGCTTGTATAACAGACTATTTTTATTTTATAATAGTATGAAATATTTATTTACTTGATATTTTTTAAAACCATTAAAAAAATAATTGCTTTTTATTTAAATTCTAAAATTGATTTTTTTTTTTTTAATTTCCTATTGAATATAATGTATTTAATATAATTTCACTTTATGTGATGTAGTTTTGATTTAGGCAAAAAAATTTCTTTCTTAAAGTCATCGTCATTTTACATATTAGATGAAGTTAAGATGGTTCTATGATGAAAGGGAGTACATGATTTTTATTTTTGAAATGTGTTATTTTTATCATTTATCAAGTTTTTAAATTGTAATAATCCTTAATAATTGTCTTGTTTTATTTTATAATATTGTTTAATTATACTTATTAATCCAGACATAATTCTGTTTTATCTTTTTCAAATTGTGTTTGGTTTTTAATTGAAATCATAACGGAAATATCCCCAAATTGTCTTGGAGCATGTTTTGTGTGTGCTGTGCCACTAATACTGCCATATTTTTGTTTTAAAAAACAAAAAAAAAACACTGTATATAGTTGAAGTCCTGAAAGCTCCAAAAGTTTGGGTCGTATTTTCCGTTTGATTTCAGAGAGGACTGTGCTGTTTTCCAGGATTCACTCATCCAAGCTCTCAGGCGAGAAAAGGAAAGATACCCCAGCCACTATTGGCGGGTGTGAGCAGTGGAGGTTCAGGGTGGGGAGAGGAAATGGTAAATAAATCATTCATTTTATTCTTGCCTATTTTATGTTAAAATATGTTATTATTCTTTTGTTATATTTATGATTAAGTTAAAAATTGGTATCATCCAATGAGGATAAATATTTGTAAAATTAAATACTTTAAAAAGTAACTATTTTTTTATTATTGCCAATTCTTAATTTATGTTTGTAATTCAGTTGTTCTTATGTTAAATATTTAATTAGTGTATTCCATTTTCTTTTCTATTTTACAGTTATTATTTTTATTATTAGGTATTGTTGGAGAAGCAGGGGTTGTGTTCGCAAGCGACCCGTCAGCCCCCAGAGAGATCTGCTTCTCTCCCTCCTTCATCCTTGCCGAGGCCAAAGAGAAGCCCTGGCAAAAAACTCGGAGAATATGGGCGTTTGAGTGATTCTAAGGAGCCAAAGGGGGAATCGTCCCCTGTCCGGATCATACCCCTTGGTAGGAAGGTTGGTGAGTATGGAAGACTATCAGATTCAGAGTCACGAAAGACATCTGATTCGGACAAGTTGAGGGAGTCGCCTGGAAGATCATTACTTCCTCCTCGTAGCTATTCTCGCCTCGATTCCGAACCTGAGCCTAAAAAGCAGGAAAAAGAAAGGTCAGTAAGTCGATCACCTGTTACTAAGGCTTCCGAGACTGAAATCAGAATGTCCCCTGTTCAAAAATATAACCGGTTCTTCGATAAACCAACAACTTCAGAAGGAAACGGCGAGTTCCAGCAGAAGAGGAGCTTTCTACCACCACCCAGGAAGATCTCAGACTATGGGTGTTTCGAAGAGCAGGCAAAGCAAGAGCCAAAGCTAAGACGTGGGTCACTCCACAGGGAACAACAAGGCTCCCAGCAGGCACCTAAGACAGCTGTTAGGTCTTTGCCGAGTCCTAACAAATACAGGATACAGTTCTAGGCACTGGGCAAACAATTGTTTTGAAAACATTTTTGGAATTCAATATCTCTCTCTGATAGTATTCCTGAATTGTGGTGTATGCTATTTCTCTTCTTCCTTCTTTTTATTTATTTAACTATTAATTTTATCTTTTTGATATTTTATAAAACGAATTATTTCATTTCTTAGTTATTTTATCATGAAAGCATTTGTTAAATTTATATTTAAAAAAGGGCACATCAAATAATTTATGTTAGTAAACATTCTAAAAGTTTTATAGAGGAAGAGTTATGTTATACACGGTATTGGTTCCTATTTTCCAGTGATGATAGTGTATAAACGTCTACCCTCCACAATTAATTTATTATCGAGTAATGAGTCCTTAAAATGTTATTTCATTCCAGACTGATAGTGTGTAATTTTGATATTTAAAAGAAGGTTGTAAGCTTTTACTTATATTGTAGTTTGTAAATAGAGGAATGAAGTTTTACTAATGGTTTTATTACAGTTCCAAGGTTATTTTGTTTTGTTTTTGATCATTTTTACTACCATGGGCCAATGAACAGTGGGTGAACCATATTCTTTCATGAAATTAATTTAAAAAAATAGTTTTATTTTATTTTGTATTATAATAGCTTGAAGAGAAATATTTGAAACTCTCCTTCCATCGTAATAAGTAATAGATACTTAATTCTTCTGATACTGTCTTATATGCAATTTGGGTCTTCCTTTGTAAAACAACTTTGGTTTTTCCATTGTTGTAATTATCTTAAGAAGTCTGTGTGAAGGATAACCTTTATTTTGTTAACAGCATTTATTGTTTTACTAGAACTCAATGTATTTTGTTTTTAATAGTAACTCTATTGCTGAGTTATATTATACTCAGTATTTGCTGTTGCAAGTTTCCGTACTGTACCAGTTTAGTATTGAAGGATCGATTGGATGGTGAAAAGTAACATTTTTGGAAACAATTAAATTATTACTAAAAAATTAATGGTTTAAAGTGATATATGTTTAGTATTCCCTCCTTCTCTTCACATAAACTCAACAGTTAGCTCTAAACTGAATTGATAAAGATCCCTCATGGGGATATTCTAAGGTGATTTGAATTCAGTTTTCTCAGAACTTAGAAAATGTTACATGTAACCATTATCCACTTGATCCCTGAACTGAAAAATGGAACTTAGAAATTAAAAGTTATTGTATTAACTTTTGAAACTTCCCTTACTGTACCAGTTTAGAATTGGAAAAGGAATTCAAAAAATGAAACTTAATTATATATAATATTGAAAATCAAGCATTATCAAAAATTATACATTAATATCATTTATTCTATTCATTTGTTTTTTGTTAAAGCATAGAATCATGATTTCTATTAATTTTATGGCAAACTATGGTTAAGTTTTATTTTGTAAATCAAGAAAGAATTAAAGTAAAGCAAGTATTAAATCATTTTTAAAATTCTAAAATGACAACGAGGTGTAAGAGGTGAAAGTTATTTATTTAATACAAAACAAAGTTTACTACTGTCTTGTGTAAGTGATTTTTAGATACATTCATTATTGGATATAATTTGTAATTATTTCTAATTCAGTCTTCCTCCAACGAAGTATTAACAGTTTTTGCAATAAAATTGTCAGCTTGTGACCAACACTAATATTAATATTACTCCAAGGCCTAAGTTATGATCTTAATTATTCTGGCAGTTCTCTTATTTGTTTTCAACTACTTAATTTTTGTTTTTTGGTTAAATTTATTGTACAGTAGGACCTAAAAAACCCAGATGAGTTGTTAATGGAGTAGTCTACCAAATTGTCTGAATTACAGAGCTTATTAACATACCAATTTTGCTACATTATACTAGTGTAGTATATATTAATATATTTTGTTTTTTCTTTATTAGTATGGAACCAGAAAGTAGATTACCTGTTTAATATCAATATTTGATGATATTTTCAACCTCTGACTCTATGGCCAAGAAAAACTTCTTTTCCATTTTATTTAATACTTTTTAAACAACCATACGTAAGAAAATATTTATATTATCTATTTAAAAAAAAATAAAAATAAATAATCCCATAAGTTTACCCATACATACTATTTTTCTCGATCCATCAATCAGAATATCTTGACTTTATCAAGCTTAGCGAGCCTATTTGGAAACCTATCAATTTAGATTATTAAGATTCTACTGTACTCGGATGAGTGTTTCATTGAAAAGGAAATAAAAAATATGATAAGCATTGGTAGTAGGAAACACAAGCCTTTTGTTCTTGTATGAAAAGGTTTATGTTGTATTTATTATTATTATCTGGTTGTCACATGAAATTTCAATTTTTAGGATGCTGTCTAAATATTGTTAATGTTATTATGTTCCTTGGCTCTATATAAATATCCCAATGAAAAATTATTATTTCCTCTTTACAGAGACTTAATGGTTTAAAAGAAAGTTCTGCTCTTTTTCTTTTCTTTTTTCTTTTTTTTTTTTTTTACTATTTTGCTAATGCATAAATTGATAATTTTATTGATTCTACTCCTAAAATTGTTTATTTTGGTACAACCAGATTTTTTTTTATTTTGTACGAGTAACTTTTACTTTTCTTGTTACAGGAAATGTAACTAGCTAAAAGTTTTAAGTTATATTTGATTTATATCTCTCTTATTTTTATAATAGGATTTTTCCTTAATTCGAAAAGAACCTTTTTATTTTCAATATTTAGAATTTTTTTTTTATTAATTAATGAATCCCTAACGTTCCTAATCACAAAAGGCTACAGTATGTGATACATTCCAATGAATTTTTTTTTAAATGGCTTCCTATGCAGTTCATTTTACAGAAATTTATAGTATTAACTAATTTTTACTATAAAATCCATTTGGAAAATGTTTAAGTACAGCATAATAGAATACATGAGGAAATTTCAAATTCAGAACTTGATTTTAAAGATATCTTAATATTTTACCTGTAACTTTCTCTAGGGAGCTCCTTCGACTATTTTCTTCATTAACGTTGAAATCACATAAGGGAGATCATCTATTAAGTTTCAATATCGTACATTGCTGTCGACATTTTATTCTATTTGAAAGCTTTTATCCTTTCGACAATCTCTGTGATAACTTTTTTTTTTTTTTTAATCAAGTACCAGTGAATTATCTTCCATGTTTATGTATTTTTTTTTTCTTATGAAGATGTCTACATTTTTAATGTGGGACTGATATTACTAGTATTATATCTGTAAACATAAAATTAAAAAGCATATTCCATATAAATTTTATATTTCTCAGGAATGTATAAGGGTAACTAAGTGCCTTGTTCTTCTTTAAAAATAACTACATACATTGTCTAGAACTTTTATATTCTGTAAGTAATTTAAGCAAGCATTAATTTGCCTATCAAACATTTATTGGTCCTCTCTTAAGAACATCATATTTTCTGGTTGATCTAGTCTGACATCTAACTTTGTAATATAGAAATAAAGTTTAAGTAATCTGTTATGTTCCTAATCCATGAGTTTTACTAATAAAGATGAAGTAATAAAACTTTAGGCCTAATCATATAGTAGGTTTTGTATGTTATAATTCTTTGACAGAGGAAGAACGATATTTTAATATTTAAAAAATTAATTTTCATTTATGTAACTCATATTACTTGAATAATGAATTAAATTAACAGGATTATATATTACATGTAGGAAGATCAACTAGTCTGTTACATTTGTTATTTTAGTTAATCAAAAAGATAACTTTTATAAATATATTCTTTATTACATCAATCCTATTTTATCCTTTTACTCCATATAATGAATTCAATGAAAATTATCTAATATATATATATATATAGACAGAGAGAGAGAGGGAGAGATTCCTTTTCTAGCACTCATAAGCAATAAATTTTGAAAAATGAGGTGTCAAAAGGAGAATTTTATGGAAAATCCCAATTTTGAACTTTAAATTCATACTACAACTTTAAATTGATGGAGCAATATAACAGGACATACCTTGTTTTATAGATTTGTATGCTGACATCAAGGTATTTTAAATTCCTTTAGAAAGTACAGAATCCTGCCCTCAACAATCTTAAAATGTATATTTTTGAGATAAACTTTATTTTTTGTTGAAAGCCTTCTAGGTGGATACTAATATGTTGCTTATTTTTTTTTTAAATGCAATATTGCTATTTTTTATAGTATAAGACCAACTAAAATTTTATTGAAAAAGTAATTTCTTGGATTGTGTTCTGAAGATTGACACTTCAAGGCAATCCTAATAGTGGCGCTAATTTTAACACAGATGGGTCACTTATGACCTGCGGCTCAGGAGCCAACATCTGGAGAGAAGATGGACTCTCCAAAGCCATCTCGTCTATTCCACTAGTCAAATATGGTATGGTATTTTAGTTAAAAATTTTGGAGATTTATCCCAGTGCCTCTGTTTATCCTATTTCCTAGGGAATAGGATTAATTTTTTCACTGACAAGCCAGGTGGTAATACGTGCACTAAGCAATTATTCTATGAGATCAATAGTTGTAAGGTTAAGATAATATTGATTTTAATAACACAATTAATATCGTAATCAGGTTATCTGATTATAAAATTGGCATAGTAATTAAGTTTAATTTTCAGTTGTAATTATTGGTTCCGATTTTGCTCATTTCTGATGGGTCATTCTGCTAGTATTACAGGAAACCATAAAGCGAACAAGCTAGCCAGGAAAAGCTCTGAAAATAGACAAAAACCAATTTGTGGCATAATCTATATCAAATGTAGAATATGTGAAATTCTATATTAAAACGTTAATTCTGTCAGTTCCGTGTATTTCAATAGACTTAGAGGGTTGATGGACTCACAGCTTCTATGGTTATCCATTTTGGTCCTCTCCGAATAGCTCAAGCCAAGTCTCCTTGATCATTCTCTTGGCAGTGTTATGACTGATTCCGAAGACAGGTTCAGGAGTTATTGAAATAGTGTCTGAGCCTAACCTGGGTCGGCCTCTTCGTTGCCTGGAATGCCCAAGTAACCAGACACCCGCTCAATGGCAACCTTGTTAAGCGCCGTGCTGCAATCTTTAACAAGCTGTGAATAAGTATAATAATAGTTAAAAGAAACTATTGTACCTGACTGTCAGTCAGTATAGATTATTATCCTTTTTCCAGTCATTCGGCCAAGCAATAGATTTTGAGCGCAACACCAGACTACCAGAAATTCAGATTGAAATACTGAACCATATTTGCCAATAGAAGTTGAGAATTTGACATTTTTATCTTTTTGATAGATGCCTGCTCCTGAGCCATTAGCTGTAAGAGAGCTATCATTACAACAATTAATATCAATATCTACACCGTATTTGGTGTCCAGATATTCTCGGATTTGTATGTCAGAGTGCATGCACATCTCGTCACACTTGATCCTTTGCAGCAGTTTTGAATGTCCCTCCTTTACAGGGATGTAAGAGCAGCGTTTGAGCCAGCTCAGCCTGTATAATGTTCTTAAGGCTTGAGCTTCAACCTATGGTGTAATTGATTATAACATTTAAAATTTTAAATATTGCACCAATTTTGTAAAATGTTTATTACTAAATTTCAGTTTATAATAATTACTTCAAGAATCAAAAAAAAAATTTTTTATCTTCAAGAAATTTTTCCTCTTCACGGCAAAATAACATATTTTATTACGTAATATCAAGATCATAGACTCAGTCAGATGGTGTCTGATGAAGATGAGTTTTGTCTCTCTTAAATATATAATAATATGAGAGGAACGCTGCTCTAATCATCAATTTTTTTTTAAATAGAAAAAGTTACCTCGCGCGGGCTCATTACCGCGTATGGGGAGCGTCCCACGGGTGGCGGATGTGGGGATGGTCGGGGGAAATTCCTTGGAAGTTCCTCCCGGCTAAGTCCGATGGACTCGCTGACCAACAATGAGAGGGGCCCTCCAGACTTGCTGGAGGGAGGGGACCTCCAGACTTGCTGGAGGTAGGGGCCCACCAGACTTGCTGGAGGGTGTGACGTAGGATTGAACGCCCTACTCACATATCTTTAGTTCACCAAACACCACAAAAAGTCATGGATCTCCCTAAGGTAAAACGCTCATTATCCGGAGGTAAACTAGTCCCCCGTTCGGGTCTCCGGGTGGGGACTGCTTTAGGGGATTCATGCCGCAAGTTGAAATATAGGGATTTAAATATTGGTACGTGGAACGTAAGGAGTTTAAACACAGCAGGGGGGCTAAAATCGGTCGCGAATGAGGTAAATGGGTACAATTTGGATGTCGTGGCTCTGCAAGAGGTTCGCTGGCCAGGGGAGGGCTCGATGAGGGAAGGAAAGTACACTATTTGGTACGGAGGAAGCGGGAATCATTGTTTAGGTACCGGGTTTCTAATTAGGAGTAGATTACTATCCGCTTTGAGGGACGTACAATTCTTTAGTGATAGAATTTCGGTAGCTACATTTCAGGTACGTTGGTTTAAAATCGCATTAATAAACATACATTGTCCGACCGAAGACAGTGACGATGAAGTCAAAAGTGAATTTTACGATAAACTCGAATGGGTTTATGATAAACTACCGCGAAACTACATGAAAATAATTGTAGGTGACGCGAACGCAAAGGTAGGAAGGGAAGAAGTTTATATTCAGACGATTGGTAAAGAAAGTTTGCACGAATATAGTAATGATAATGGGATCCGTCTGATAAACTTTGCCATCTCGAAAAACCTGGTAATTAAAAGTACGACGTTTAAACGTAAGGATATTCATAAATATACTTGGACATCGCCGGATTCGCAAACACGAAATCAAATCGATCATGTCTTGATACAACACAGCTGGCAAAGCAGTATAATCAATGTACGGTCTTATCGCGGAGCAGAATGTGGGTCGGATCATGAATTAGTAATCGCGAAACTTCGACAAAAACTTAATATAAAAAAGAGAAAAGAAAACCGTTTCGATTTTGAGAATTTTAATTTGGAAAAATTAAAAAATCCATCAATTAGAAACCAATTCGAGCTAGATGTTAAGAATAGGTTTGAAGCTTTAGAGCTTCCTGACGAGGACCACGAGGATATTGACAAGTTATGGGTAGAGATCAGGGATAATATTAAAGCGGTCGGTAACTCGTGTCTAGGAAAAAAGGAAAATAAGAATAACAAACCGTGGTTTGATGAAGATTGCTTAAACATGTGCGAAAAAAGGAAAGCCGCTAAATTAAAAGCTCTAAATAATCCTAGCGAAGAAAATCTGGAATACTTCCGAATCTCAAAGAACGAAACGACAAAATTGCTCAAAAATAAAAAAAAGGAGTATCTTAAAAATAAAATAATTGAAATAGAAACTAATAGAATCCAAAATAACGTAAGAGACATGTACAAAGGTATAAACAGATCACGTAAATATGTTGGGCCCGTAACGTCTGGAATTAGGGATGATAATAACAATATTCTGACCGATCCGGTTGACATATTGAATAAGTTTAAGGACCACTTTGACAATATTTTAAATACGGGAAATTATGATCGGTGTCCTCCTTCTGAGTACCAGAGTGCTGAACCGTTAATAGAAGGACCAAGTAAAGAGGAAGTTGAAATAGCTATCGGAAAATTAAAATCATATAAAGCAGCGGGAATCGATAATATTCCTACTGAACTAATTAAGGCATGCGGAGAAGCTGGAGTTTCTAAAATACATCGGTTGGTTAAAAAGATCTGGGTGAACGAGAAATTACCTGAAGAATGGAAAGAATCTATTCTTATTCCGATTCACAAAAAGGGTCCGAGGACGGATTGTAATAACTATCGAGGAATTTCACTCCTTCCGGTATGTTATAAAATATTCACTTCAATCTTAACCAGTCGAATCACGGAATACGCCGAGGAAATTATCGGAGACTACCAATGCGGATTTAGACGGAATCGTTCGACTATTGATCAAATATTTTCTTTACGGCAAATATTAGAGAAAAAATTGGAGTATAACGGTATTGTTCACCAGCTGTATATAGATTTTAAAAAGGCTTACGATTCTATTGACCGCCAGAAACTGTATAATATTCTAATCGAGCAGGGAATTCCAAAAAAACTAGTAAATCTAGTCAGGATGTGCTTGACGGAGACACTCAATAAAGTCAGAATCGGTAATAATTTGTCCGAAAAATTTGAGGTTCGTTCGGGCTTAAAACAGGGGGATTCTCTTTCGCCTGTCCTGTTCAATTTGGCATTAGAACATGCCATTAGGGAGGTAATGCGTACCGAGAAAGGGTTGGATCTGGGCGGGACAACATCCGTGCTGGGCTATGCTGATGATCTGGTACTGTTAAGCGAAGACGTTGAAACTATAAAACTAAATACGACAACGTTAATGAAAGCCGGTAAAGAACTAGGACTCGAAATAAACGTGGATAAAACAAAATATATGGTTAGCTGCAAAAATGGCGATACTACTGGTGATATCGATATAGATGGTAATATGTTTGAACAGGTAGATAAATTTAGGTATCTAGGTTCTACGATAACTAGAAAAAACGAAATTGAAGAAGAGATTAAAGTTAGACTGAAGGCGGGGAATGCTTGTTATTTTTCTGTGACAAAACTACTTAGTTCGCGCCTCTTGTCCCGAAACTTAAAGATTAGAATCTATAAAACAATTATCTTGCCTACAGTTCTTTATGGATGCGAAACTTGGCCGCTTACATTAAGGGATGAGCAGCGTCTTAAGGTTTTTGAAAATAAAGTATTGCGTAGAATATTCGGACCGAAGAAGGATGAGTTAACCGGAGAGTTCAGACGGTTACACAACGTCGAATTGCGTGAGCTATATCCGGGTAATATAATTGAGGTAATTTCATCGCGGCGAATCAAATGGGCTTGTAAAGTTGTTGGGCTTAGTAACGAGAGAATTCCTAAAAGGTTAATATTTGCTGTGCCGAATGGTAAGCGTCGGAGGGGTAGACCGAAGCGAAGGTGGGAAGATTGCATTAAAGCTGATCTGAAGGGACTGGGTTTGGACGGCGAACGGTGGAGGGAGGTGTGTAACAAGCGATTGGTGGTGTCGGCATCGAACCTTCGGGTTCGCTAAGCCTTATTATTATTATTATTAGAAAAATTAAGATAAAAGAAATTAATATGGTGCAGGTACGCCAAAAGCTCTAATTTTAAAATGTAAAATAAAATAATTTATTCAAATACTGTCATTGATGAAGAACCTGATCTTTAAAGAATATTTTAATGACCTGTAAAATTTTCTTTGATCAAAAAACAAATGGTTGTTATATCTGTACCCCTGAGGTAAAGAACACAATGTACATTTTTGTATTTGTTCAGAGGAGCCAATTTTCAATAACTTTGAGTGATTAAAATTTGTTCCTTAGTTACTGAATCATTTAATTTTTAAAAAAATTGACATGCTGTCCTTTACTTCTATTATACAGATATGTAATGACATTGTTTGCGAGTACATACCTAAGGCTAAATGGAACAACCACTTTTTTAATTGGTTTGTAATCCTGACTTCCTTAATATATAGAAATAAAGCTATGGAGTTGGTTTAACAACAAAACTATGAGACAGTTGAGTATTATATATATATTTTTTTAACAAGAAATAACAGTAACACTAATATCACCCCGTAAGTATTTAATTAATATACTCATTACATATATCTTTCAAAAAGATTAATAATAAGTAACATACACAAATATTTCCATAACTACACAAATATTTAGATAATTTGACTAACATTTAAACTATTACAGGGTAACTTAAAATTTTAAAGTAAAAAATATTTTTCTTTTACATTGGAGATTAGGAAGACACGTTTTTTTCTAGTTTTGATCACTTTCTGAATTTTACTTCAGTAAACTCAATTGGTCAGCTCGTTCAGCAGTTGCTCGAACAGCATCCATGAAACCAAACCTGAAAGTAAAAAGTGAGTAAAGCCATGAAAGAAAAGGGTGAACAAAAGAATTCCAGTATTTTTTATCTTAAACATTAAAAAATATATACATAAAACATAAAGAGACCTAGCTGCCACAAGTTTATGAATATATATATTTGTATTTTATATTTTAAAAGTAATAACATTATTGCTTATAATTCTATTATTCATTCATTTTCAAGAGATTATGGTTAATATTTCTATTAAATGAAGATTCTATAAAAAATAGAGTACATAAAGTTATTTCTCAGCTTAATTTTTGTTGTATCAGTTCTTTTCAAAAGATAATGAATCATAACTTATACAGGATGTCTCAAAAGCTAACTAATCTTTTCAGTGCTGATTCATTTAATTATTTATTTTATTGGTGCATTGCTTGAGACTACTTAAGTTAGATAAATAAGAACAAATTGGCATAGGCTATACCACAGTTGGGGAACCTATTTTGTTTGCATTATTATTTTTAACTGCTGATCAGATATCTATACGAATTAGTACATTGTGATGCATATAGCCAATTTTTTTTTTACATATGTGAGGATAAATGCATAGAACTGCATATTTGAAGATAAATGTATATGATTGCATTTTTTGATTGATTTAAAGAAATAAACAAAAAATACATATATGTAAATGAATATTTATTAATCTATATATACAAATTAAAATGCAATATTGAAGATAAGATTACAATCGTATGTTTATTTCCAATGAACAAATCTACCACATTTGTTGACTGTAAACCTACCTAACTTCCGCCATGCCCTTTAATAATTCTCTTTATAGATGTAGAAACCCATTTCCCCTTCTTGTCCCATGTAAACATCATACTAAGTTTATATTTTAGTTTGTTACCTACATTCTTACTTTTAGTTTGTTCTCTACATCTTATATTCTTAGCAAGAGATCACATTTCTGCTTATTTAAAATGCCAAAAGTATCATTTTCATCAATGTTGAAATTTTGGATTTAAACATAAAATAACAAATATGAAATAGTTTTTACAACTGATGGCACAGGCGGATCTACCCTATAATGGTAAAATATAACCATGTCTTATGAAAAAATATTTAATAATTACCTCTAAGATTATTATCTTTGTGTAATAACATTTAATAGTACTTAAAGAATCACTTAAACTCTATTTCATATAGGTAGTTAATATCTTTATCTTTCTACCTAATTATCGTTATATATTTTTAAAAAAAACTTTCGGAATGAGGCTCCTCCAAAAACTATATCCTGGATCCGCTAGTGGCTGATGGAAAAACTAGTGGCTAAAACTCTAAATGAAAAAATGGAAGAAGTTTCTATAACAAATTTAGAGTTCACAATTCTGGAATGTATTAATAAAATTTTAAATGGCAAAGATTCAATAGTTCCCAATGACATCGATATCAACCCAGTAATTTTAAGGGAATTATATTATATAATAAATTTACCTCTATCACGCCTTTTGAGATAGAAAGATCATTTTCTAATTATAAAAATATTTTATAAAAGGTTAGATTTCACAGAAGCAAATTTAGCAATGTTTCTGGTAATTAATTTTAAAGCAAAACATCTGCAAAGTAGACTAATTCAAATGTTTTACCTATTTCACGCTATTTATTAACAAGTTGTTGATTATGTTATTGTTTCAACAAATTCTCATGTTAGATTTTTATCCATTAACATACAAAATTTTGAAGCATTTACTTACATACTTATTGTTCCAAATCTGTTATCTTTTATTACTATGCTTATTTAGTTATGTATTAATACAATGATTGTTTTTTTTTTCGTTTATATACTTTGTACTATTTGGATATTTAAATTTTTTTAATGTGATTCATGTTATGTTTTTATGACCATTATAATGTATATATGTATATTAAAAACTTATGTTTACTCATTTTCATTCTTTAGTTGAGATAAAAAAAAATTAAATTATTGTAATTTTTAACCCCTCCATAATTTCTTTTCGTTTTCAAACTTTTTATAGGCATATCATTATATTTAAATACATTATCTCCCTATTATTAATCAAGTAATTAGTAAGTTTAGAGTATATATAAAGACCAGTTACTGCATTATTCATGTTATTTTACTGCATATTTAGCAGCATATTTCAAGGTTTTTCACTGCATATTATATTTTATGGCATATTCGGTGCGTTTTTACTGCATAAAAATCCAGGTCTTGGTTATAACTATAGAATATGTACCGTCAAAGCGTGTTACTTAGCATCAGTTTTTTTTAATTTTTGTTATAATCTACAATTATTTTTCCCTCCTAGATTTTTTAGAATAAGAATGAAAGAAAAAGAAAAAGCTCCTCGTTACAGTATAGATATCTGAGATTTTAATTGGAGCAAAGTTGGAAGATCTCCACCACTTACTTAAACTCACTAAAAACTCAGAGAATCAAAAACTGACACCATTTAAAACTGTCTCCGTCAAAGACAAAGACCACTAAAATTATAATATGTTTTTATAAAAAAATATATATATATTTGTTAAATTCTCTTAGATCTATTTTTCTGTTTTAAAGCTTAATAAACTATCAATTTTCTTGAAGGAACATCTATATTTCTCTTTTCATACTTAATAAAGTATTCATCATCGAAATAAAACTAGAAAACAATAATAAAAATATAACAACAAAAGAAATGTCTATTCAACATCAATATCAATTCAATTTAATACTGACCAATATAAACCAAAATTATTAATAAAAAAAAAATGTATACGATAAATACAGTTTTATTGCAAGGATTTAAAAATAGAAACAAAAAATACACAAAGTAGGACGTGTGTAGCATAAGTAAGTAGTGGAAGGTGACTACAAACGTTACCCGACTTCTTCAGGCCTTCATTGACTGTTGCATGTGAAGAATTCTGAGGATCTCTAACCAAAATCTCTAGAGTACCAAAAAGGAGATTCGTATCCACATCGAAATAAGGAAAAATAAATGGCAATGGATAGGACATATTTTGAGGAAAACAGATAATGCCATCGAGAAAGGGAAGAGGAAGATCTAGAGAGACATGGTGGAGATCTGTACAAAATGACCTAAGCCCAGGTTAGCAAGACTTGTTCAGAAGCAAAAATGATTGCTGCAAAAAGAGCGGAGTGGAACGCACTAGTAAATGCCCTATACTCCACCAGTAGTCAATGGTGAAAATATGTTTATTCTTCCACTGGATTTTGCATCCAACAATTGGAGGCTATTCTCCTCTTTCTGTACCTGGCCTTTTGCACCTTATATTATCGATTGTCAGTAATTTATAGAAACAAGTAACATTTTCATCACTTAAATAAAAGATACTTCAGAAATTTAATAATAATTGATATCAAAACAAAAACACAATACTGATTAAAAAAAGAAAAGAAAACTTTTTTATTACTTCTTTGCAGTTGTATGTAAAATTAATTACACAGTTACATAAATTTAGTTCTATAGTTTCATTAATACAAATTGAATAGAATAAAATAAAAGGAACTTAGAAATGGCTACTTTGTGGAAAAGAAATATTTTTTAAAATATGCTCAGATTGAGAATGCTTTAGAATAGCTAATAAAAGTAAAAATGATGGAAAAAATAAAATAAATATTTATATTAACACCTCGTTTTAGCTTAGGTAGGTTAGGATAATAAACAATAAATAAATTTACATTCAAGTAGTTAAAATAGAGATGTGCAGCAACTAACAAAATTTAAACTGTTTAGATACCTGAGCCGAGATTCCTCTAATTTATGGACACCGACAATAGTTGTTCCACCTGGAGAACAGATTTCATCTTTCAGTTTTCCAGGGTGTTTTTCTGTCGATAATATGAGTTTTCCAGCTCCTAAAAACGAATAGTGTAAAGAATTAATCTACATAATCATGTAATTAGATTATGGTAATGATATATAATTGAAACATGTCCATATTATTTGAAACTTAATAAATAAACAAGACAACAACTGTCTGAAAAATAGGCTATTTAGAATTTAAATGTTTAATCTTTTTTTTTTTTTTTTTTTACCTTACTAAGCCAATTTAATCCTATCCTAGCCAGATAATTTAGTCCAGGAGCCCGTGACAAAAAAGGTATCATGTTTCATACTAAGCTTCGTACTTATAAATTGATCATATCCACAGACCTGATGAGAAATATGGACGTCTGTCAGCATATAGCCACTGCAATACAAAATGGCGGCCATGTGAAGTTCGATAGAGACCCTAAGATTTAATTTACGATTCAAAAAGTATCCTTTTTTTTCAATTTTTCACTTATATCAGAATTCTATCTAGTTCTATATAGAATAACGTCATATGTGAAATTAAAGCTGACAAACTTTGCAATATAAATGGTTATATTAGATTTTTCTCTAAGTTCTATAGTTTCCATGATATCCGTCCTCTTAATTCACCAATTTAGAAAAAAAAATGTTTGAATCACATTTTTATCATTATTTGACTCGCCAACTGTTAATCTTTCTTTTTTACAAAAAAGTCATGAGGAAGAAAGTTGTTTAGTATTAAATTTTCTTTAAGCATATATATTACTTTACTATCTTATCTTCAACCATTCAAAGGCTAGAGCAATGATAACTTAATGATTAAACTCTGAAACTATAGAGAAAAACTTAATTTTCGTTATTACACAGCTCTTTATCTTTATATAAGACAACATACATGTGTATACATTGGCTTACATAATAGAATAGAAAATAATTTTATTCTGGGACTAAGTCCCTTCAGAATAACAAAAAAGTACAAAAATTAAAATGTTATATCTGGCCAAATAAAAACAAACATAAAAAGTAAAGATAAAAATAAATCAGTAAAAAAATATATTAGTTATACATACTATATACAAAATAAAATAAAAAAATCTATATACAAAACTCTTGAAACCTTACCAAGACACTTAAAACTATGTACAATGGTAAAATATAAATAAACACTTTTAGAAAAAATAAAAATACAGAAAAAAATAGTTATACAGAAAGTCGAATCTATAATAAGTATTTAAAATTGGTAATTGGTTGACTGTCGTGGATAATGAAGAGAAGAATAGTTGGGGTGGTCAGTCAAAAAGGAAGGGAAAAATAAATGATAATATTTATTTTTTACATATGCCGAAGTTTCGACCTTAAGTTCAGGCCTTCATCAGGGCTAAGAAAATAACCAGATAACAAGGTATGAGAAACATAAGTAATGATGGTAAAAAATATAATACAAAATAAAAAAAAAAATTAGAAAAATAAAATAGATGAATATAAAGTAAAATGAAATTGTTAGAATAATGACTAAGAACTAGGAGATAAATAATAAAAACCGTTACAAAGTGTGGAATGATGAAGTAGGCTGGAATGATGTTTGGAATGATGTAGTGTGGAATGATGTTTTAATATTACTATTTATTTTCATTACTTATATAACTTCATATTTCTTTTTTATGTTTTACATTTTATTCTAAGATTTAACACTTTTGTCACCCTTTTTGATTATGCCTACTTCATCATTCCACACTTTGTAACGGTTTTTATTATTTATCTCTTAGTTCTTAGTCATTATTCTAACAATTTCATTTTACTTTATATTTATCTATTTTATTTTTCTAATTTTTTTTTTATTTTTTATTATATTTTTTACCATCATTACTTATGTTTCTCATACCTTGTTATCTGGTTATTTTCTTAGCCCTGATGAAGGCCTGAACTTCAGGTCGAAACGTCGGCATATGTAAAAAATAAATATTATCATTTATTTTTGCCTTCCTTTTTGACTGACCACCCCAACTATTCTTCTCTTCAATAAGTATTTAAGTTTTGAGCTATATGTGAATATATATTATTATACATAATATGTAATTTTACATAAAAGGTTAGCTGGTATCTGACTGTTTTTGGGACAGGTATTGGAATAGGAGGGTTTTGAATGTAGATAGGGATGAATTCCAAAAACTAACTAAGGAGTTTTGGAACCAGGCAGATCTGTGAGAAGGAATGTAAAGGTCAGAAGGTCGAGATCTTGTGGAGAGGGAGTGGACTGAGGACTTGAATTGGAGAAGGTTGTAGGCGTAGGAAGGACGATGATTGTTGATCATATCATAGAGGAATGTACCAAGGAAATATTGTCTTCAAATGGAGGAGAAGAGCCACTCTAACTCAGTGTAGTGGTGAGAGACAATATACACATATATACAGATTAAGAGCTGTGTAATAACGAAAATTGCAAAAAGTAAGTTATTCTGTAAAGTTCCGGAGTTTAATCACTAAGTTATAATCATTTTAGCTTTTGAATGGTTGAAGATAAGGTAGTAAAGTAATATATATTCTTACAGAAAATTTAATATTAAACAACTTTCTTCCTCATAACTTTTTCGTAAAATGAAAAGATCGAATTGGCAAGTTAATTAATGATAAAACTGGGACCCAAACATTTTTTTTTTTCAATAGTAGTAAATTACGAGGACGGATATCACGGAAACTATAGAATAAAGAAAAAAAACTAATATAACCATTTCTATTGCAAATGTCAGCTTTAATTTCACATATGATATTATTATAAATATCGTATTAGTTTCACTAATATAAGCAAAAAAATTAAACTTTTTGAATTAAAAAAATTAAACTATTTCGACTTGAAATACAGGAGTATGGGCTAACTGTTAATTATTTCATGTCTTAAAGACTGTAAATACTATAAATTGAAAGGATTGGTAGCTTTATATATCTATAAGCCCTCTCTACATATAGGCTAACAACCTATTATCAGGGTCTCTATATATCTTCACATGGCCGCCATTTTGTAATGCAGTGGCTGTATGCTGCCAGTCATGCATTTTTCTCATCAGGCTGGTGGATATAGTCAATTTATAAGTACAAACCTTAGTATGAAATATGACACTATTTTGCCATGGGCTCCAGTACTATTTCAAAGTAATGTTTTAAAAATGAATTATCAAATTTCTGTTATGCACTAAATAATAATATTAATACTGAAACTAATCAACTCATTGTCCATAAATAATGAATGCAGAAGCAGTTAAATAATACAATAAAATGAGGTTTCTTATCTGTGTTATTTTATTTATTTATTATTTATTTTATTATTTAATCAATAACTGTACTCCCTAACTAAGTGCTTCTACGATTTGTTCTATGGTCAACAACTGCTGCCATAATCAATGAATCTACATACACAGAGCCATCAACTTAATAACTTTCAACTAACACGTTAAAAGAACTCAATTTAATTTATGGTTATCATTCTTCAAAACTTCTTTCTTTAATCATGAATTGTTTTTTAATCACCTTTTAAAATCTTCATAAATGTCTCACCCATAATTTAGAACATCTAGTTTTTCATTAAAAAATGAAAATTCATTAACGATTCTCTCATCTCAACCCCTTAATCCCAAACTCTGAAAATCCAAGAATTGAACTGAAGAATCTATTTCCTCAATCAAAAAATCGTAACACTTTCTCATCTCTTAAAGACTAACACTAATGAAGATAAAAAATCTATAATCTTTCTACTTGTATTCCACTATTTTCAGCATTAGCACAGTAACACAAAAAAAATTTCATATCCGACCAAACATCCCTTAACTAATTCCTGCAGTTAAGTAAAATAGATTGTTCACCATATAAAATTAATAAACTAAACATAGTCTAATTATTCATTTTTGTTTTTACAAAAAAAAAAAAAAAGATGGAATTGCTTAACCTGTTCTTTGATTCTCATTACAAGTCACATAAATAAATATCAAAGCTTTTAAAATTATTTGAAACATTCTAACAGCGTACATCAAACACAAAAGCTTAAATTACAAAAGAAAAATAATTAATTTGCACAAAATAATTATTTGAACCAGATTAATAATAAAATAATAATTAAAACAGATTAATAATAAAAGCAGAAGTATAGAAATAAGGCTTAAAATTCATTCCAACAAGATGAGATTAATAAATGGTTAGTTACCTTGATAGAAGCTGCCATCGGGCTTGAAATGTTATACCTCATTATTGTGGTAAGAAATGTAGAAAGGAAAGTTGATAAAACAAAATAATTTTTTCCAAGAACCATTAATTTCAGAGTAGATATCTAATATTCTTAAGGTGGAAATAAAAAACCTGTAATGCTGAATTAATTGAGCATAATAAAGTTTATTTTCATCGATAATTCAGTCAAATTAAACTTCCAAGGGCAAATTTAGATTTAACAAATCAGTTATATTAAAGTTGCAACCACATATGCTTTTATTTTTGGCTTAGACGGATTTTATTACAATATAATATTAGACAATAAATATTCCAATTTAATTTCAAACAATAAATATTATTTATATTTATATCTATAAAAATAGTAATTATATTTATGTAGGAAGGGTTTATATTAATAAAAATATGAAAGAGTGAACCTTACCTTACCCTGAACAACACTCCTATCTCATTTCACACCTCAGTTAAAAACCTTGTAGTCACCTTTGACCAAAACCTCTTCTGGAAACAAATCTTCTATTGGACCATATAAACTCTTAAACGATTGAATCACATACGTTACTTCATCCCACATAAACCACAGCAACTCCTAGTTTCGTCCCTTGTGTTCCCTCACTTAGACAACGGCTGTCTGGTGTACGGCAGACTTTCTGGGAAACTTGAAGCCAGACTTAATAAACGGCTAATGAATTTCTTAGTTAGATTCGTTGTTAGGGATCACTAGAGTTAAGCAAATAACCCAGTATTCTTCCGTTATTAGGTTATCAGAACTCTGTGCCCATCCTACTAACCACAGAGTTTGCAATTCAAATCTTTCATCAAATCCTGACCCACCAGATCTCGTCCTTATGACTTCTACCCTCCTTCCCACCGAACTGTTACGTTTGATAAATCTTTCCTGACCCCAGCTGCCTTCTTGAAAATCCGGCCTATCATCTACCATGCTTCGACAGTTTCCTCATTTAAAGCTCTCCTCGCTTAGAATAAAGTATTTTATTTTATACTAAATCACCTTTTCATATATTTCAAATGTTTTCTAGAGTTCATTTTAGGGCTATTTTCCACATATCTTGATATTATTATTATTATAATCTATTTCATTTGTTTATTTTGTTTTTAATGCAGTTTTGTTGTAATTATTATATTTATTTTATTTTCTGATACCCTGTATTTTCACTTATTTTTTATTTATATTAATGTGCCCGGCCATTATGAATGTTATTTTAATTTTATTGTTAAGGGATTTGGTCCCAGAATAATAAAGACAAATTTTTATTTCATTTATAAAATAAAATAAGAGCAATCAGATTTTTTAGCAAACATTGTTAAACAAATATCTGTATTCTGAATTTGAATATTGATAATACAAATTTTAGGACAGAATAAGAACATCACATCTGAACTACGCGCTAGCATCATCAACTATATCTTCACTATTTCATTAATAGGTTGCAGAATTAAGGTTAGTAAAAACTAACAAAAAATCAAGTGATGGCAAGAATATGATATATTTGGGACAGTCAAGAAAGTACATAAATACTCTAACTTTGTAACATTTATATAAATAGTTTGGAGATTACGTCACTTTTACAGACACAAGTGTCTTTGTTGAGATTGATGCTTGCCTAGTTTTAATTATAGACAATGATAAGAAGGAAAAACAAATGTTGGATGAAGTGTCAAATTTTTCATCCACTATTCAGTACTCTCACCATAAAATGGCATCTGTATGTCTATTTTATTTAAGAATTTAAGAGAATTTTAGAAGAACGTGGCAAAATTAAATTTAAAAAAAAATTAAATGTAGTCATAACATATGTGAATATAAAAATCACAATACCTCACTAATAATTGATGTATATTATTTAGAGATGTTGACTGATCAAAATTTTAATGCACGCAACACACAACTTTCACTTACCGCTCTATTTTGAATAGAAATTATTTTCTGGTAATGTTGAGCTATTATAAAATTTTTGAAGTGCATTTTAAACAGAGCTAAAGCTTGAATCTTACAGATAACAAATCATTAAGACCATACCATTAAAATTACAAAAAATCTATTTATTATATTGACGGTAGGCAATAAAAATCTAGTTACTCCATCTGCTTTTATAAACCATATAACTTCACTCTCTGAGCCTTTCAGTTGACAAAACGACTAACTCCAATTTCAACATTTTTGAGTAATGTCATTTTAGTGATATTTCTAATTGGAAAAGTTATACCTACACAGACAGTGAGTAAGTTGATTCCAGAGTTGGTTGAAACATAGAACTGTGAATAAAGGTATAAATTTGGCCACTAGAAACATCACTAAAATTAATAATAAAGAATGTTGAAATTGGAGTTAGTCATTCTGTCAACCGAAAGGCTCATATACACCTAGACAGATTTGAAAGTATATCTGAATATTTAATCTATATATGATTATGGATTGTAGGACTATTAGTTATTAAACTGTTATTTACCATTGTAAACTTTACTAAAATGAAATTACGAGATTTTCATTGCCTGCCATGGATAGGTCAAAAGTTGTCACACTAATTGTAAGTGGATAATGTTGAGATTTCACAAAAGGAAAATTCATCAAATTATTCACTAATTTAATTTTCTTTAAAGGTACTTTAGAGAAAGATGTATATGAACATTGGGCATTTAAGCCCTATAAAGTGACTTCAATGGGGATAAGACCTAAATAATATTAGAGACCACTTAATTATACAATGATACACCGAGTTTAATCAATATCCTTAGAGCTGCCTTTGAGAATATTGTAAAAATGTGTTTCACCGTTGATAAAAGTGGCACTCTTGGTTAGCCGATTTTAATGAAAAAGTTGCTGTACTATCTTAGTCATATACCTATCTTAAATTCCTAATATCAATGTATTCCCTGTGCTACTACTATTGGCTAAGTTTATAATCAAATTGGGATGGGGATTATAGTAACTGCTGAACTTTTTGCAAGTATAATTTAGTAATTATATTTTAGTAAAGCAAATGCAAAATAGGCTGAAAATCACTGGTAAAAGAGCAATTGAAAAAATATAAAATCTTATGGGAGTTCCATGATCTCATTAATAACTTATGTTTGATAAAAGATTCAATATGAAACAAAAAAATATACCACTTCCATTTTATTCTGGATCTAGGCTTTGTAGATACCCTGAGTATTAGCTAACTTCAAACACAATAAAAAGCATTATATATCATTGCATTTAAGTTGTGATTGTGATCATTTTAAGAGAGGATTGTGATTAACATTAACCGCTTGCTATATTCCAGCTGGAATAATCCAAAGGGGATTGTTTTGGAAATAATTGCGGCAACAAAACTTAATATCAATAGTGAAATATAATAATTAGCTTTAATTCTTATTGTATCTTATATTTACATAAAAAGTGAGGGGAGAACTATGTAAAAATAGCCTTAATCTCATAACAAGTCTATAATCTGCAGGATTTTTCACAAGTACCTATACTTTACAAATGTCACATTTGGACTTGAGACAAGATCACCCCTGATGAGCTAGTGAGGTTGGTGGGTTAAGGCGTGGGGAAACAAAGTCATACAGCGAACCGTAGTAGGTTATCTAAATTACCCTCTGGTCATCAAGCAATTTAACTTAGCTTTAGGTTTCAGTAGAAATAAAATATTTTTTCAGTAGTTTTATTTTATCATGGTATGCCCTTGGTTGTTTCTATATGCATGCTTGAAGAATGGAAGGGAAATCTGAAATAATGTCACTTATAAACCAGTAAATATTATCAGACACGCTCGCTTTCACCAAGTATTCTATGTGCACTATTATCAATGTTATCTTAGGCCATTCGCCTTCTAGACCTGACACTTAAGTCGTACCTTTCCCTTTCATAGTTCTAAAAATATAGAAAGCTTCATTAGAACTGGCAAGTGAATCTTTGCACGTCTACTTGTTAGTGATACAAGGAAGCATGCATTTTTATTAAAAGCAAGAAGTGAAAGTAAAGCCTAGCAAGAGATGAAGCTAAAAGCCTAATTGAGAACATACCTTCCACAGCTTTAGCTGCAAGCCTCAGAGCTAAATCTCTAGGAACGCCCCGAAGAACTGCACCATCAGCGAGTGCTTCGATTGCCATGAAAATCTATAAACTCAATAAAATTAAATCATCAATCATTCAGTTAAGGATTTAATTTTTTGCCCTTCACCTTTTTTTATTCTATTATTTTTTTTGTATGTTTACAGTAAAAATATCATATCCAGTAGAGCCTTCAAACTATTTATTTTGAAAGAGAAGTTTCAAAAAATAATAAGTAAATATTATTTTAAAAGAAGGAAACAACATAATGTAGAAAAAGACTTTATAACTTTAAAATAAATCTTTTAAGTACAGTATCAAAATATAAAAATAATGCATAAAATTTATCATTTCTCTTCTACTATACATTTAAATTTTATTATAGCTCTGGTTCCAAAATTAAAAATGCAGAGTATAAAAATCTAATTATAAATCATTAAAAAATAAAACAAAAATTACAAATTCATTATAAACTAATTAAATTGTTAACAAAAATTAATACATATTTTTATTTATAAAAAAAATTCCTATATTCGATTACAATTGTTGATAGAAACAGAAAAGGAATATTTTAAGCAGTAATAATAGGTGGATAACACCCAATTGAATTACAGATAAAAAAATATCTATAAAAAATTCCTCCAAAAATATAATAAAAAAAAGTACAGAAAATTCCTTTAAAAGAAACAGAAATAAATAAAAAATATTTCTTCTAATACATAAGATACAAATACAAATTCAAGTTTGGAAAGTACAAAGACTACAAGTTTTTGAGAATAATTTACACAAAACACAAATTTCTTCTTCTTGGATATCAATTTTATGAAATTGCAAGCGGCACAGTTGGAAATAGGGCTTCCAATTGAGTATCTCTAAATATTGAAATGAATCCTTATCAATAATAAACCTGAGCAGCTGTCCCGACTTAGAAACTGATCTCTTGCACAAAAGCCATTTGTTAATGCAGAGAGAAGGGTTCTGATATCTAAGGCATTCAAGGACATGCCTTACTGGCTGTCTGTTATAGGATACAAAGGTATCAACAACCTTCATTGAGGGAAGGTCAATAAGCTTCGTTATTACAAATGGAGTGCCATCCTCCTCCATTACACATTGTTTTAAGAGCCAGTCGACAGTCGAATCATCAGAACAGGATACCAAAAAATGACCATTCTGTAAAAGATTTGTGGTTTCAAATTTGGGAGAGAATCCTGAACCAAAAGTAGCATTTATCATTAGAATCAGCGTTAAACGGATTTTTGCCGCCATGCCTTGGGATATGGACTCTTCCTGATTGAACCGCATGATAACTACCTGAAGAGGGTGGAAAGCGGGATTCTGACGAGTCTTTTTAACAGAGGGTTGGCTGTAAATGTAATCCATATCATTTATCTTTCTTTTTCCGACTAATTCTAAGGAATAACTTTGATTGGAATAACGTTCTGTCTTACCATAGCTATATCCTATGTTCCAATAAGGAAATGGATAACATCTGTAGGCACCGTCTTTCCTGTTCATAACAGTATCAAGCTCCTTATAGTATTCATTGTAAGAATGCACTGAAGAACGATAAGTATGATCACTTGGCATCCTTCCCCCATGATGTGGAACCGATCTAATCTTTCCAACATAGTGATCAGGATCGGTCACCTCTGGATATCTGTGCCTATTATTACTAACAGTTTCCCAATCCCAATTATAATCATCTGGTACCCTGAAATATCTTGGAAAATGAGTTTTACGCCTACTATAGAGTTCTCTAGAATTGTAACAATTGTTTTCATTAATGTAACTATCATTTATGCCAGAAAAAGTGTCAACTTCTGAGTTTTGAAAATTATTACAGGTATAAGAACGATCATCACGATATTTAGGAGAAATTTTCTGGTGTAAATCATAACCTCGATAATCTTTTTGATCTTCTGAGAAATTAAATCTATATTTTTCTGAATTCTCGTGAATAGCTTTTCTTTTTCTTAAAATATTTGAACTATTTTCACTCAAAGATTCAATCTCAGAATCATCAACTGTACTCCGATCAGAAACTTCACAATCTGAAGAGGACAAATTCTTTTCTCTATAACAATAGTCCAAAACTTCAGGATTTGAAGATTTTTCATCAACAGGAACTCTTAATGGTTCAGGCGTAGAATTATGGGATGAAACATTTTTGAATGTAATGGATTTATTATTATTATCTGATTCCAAATTAGAATTTATATCACGACTTACAAAAGCAGGTCCTGATCCACAGACAGCACTACACGAATTAATCAGATTTTCTGGAATAAGCTCACATGAACCTCCAACAGACATAAGTGATTTGACTAATGATATGTCTTCTTCAGGTGTATTTTCATTAGCAGCCATTACTAAAAAGAAAAAACATAGCCATTTCTATTATAAAAAATAAAACAAGTTAGACTGGCTAAATAAAAAAAAAACATACACATTTTTAATAAAAATTTATTTATTATTGAAGGAAGCTAGTCGGCTGCTCAAAATATTATGGGTGTTAAATAGTCAGGACGCAGTCATTTTTTTTTTTTTTTTTTTGACAAAAAATAAAATGTTTTATTGTTTGAAAAAATGACTACATCCTGACTATCTATTACCCATTTTTATTTCCAGTCAGTTCTATTAATTCAACCTTACATTTTACCAAAAGAATGTAACATGAAACATAGGTAATCCTACTTTCTGTAGAACACGTAAAACACACATGTCCAGTCTCAGTAATGGAGGAATTGAAGAGAACTGTGAAGAGTCCTACTATCCACATTCAACATACCCCGAGGGTAGATAAAAAAAAGAAACTGGAATATTCAGTTTAATAGTTTCAGAATACCAATGCTTCTGCCTGGCCACTGGGCACGACTATCTGCAGAGTCATCTCTACAAGATAGGCGTCGCTGAGGATCCTAGTTGTAAATTGTGTCATCTAGGAACAATGGATGCAGACCATCTAGACGCATGTCCTGCCTTGAGGGACATAAGCGACAAAAAATTTTCAAATATACATATCAGAAAATCTAAATTATACTGGGCAGCAAGATGTCGGATGGCCAAATGACCAACCAATGGCATAAGAAAAAAAAAAAAAAAAAAAAAAAAAAAAAAAAAAAAAAAGAATACCAATGCCTATTTAGAAAATTTAGCCTAAAGATGAGAAGTAAAGGAAAAACATGAAATAAGAGGAGATCTCGACCTGCCTTGAAAACAAACAATATTTGGTTGTAATAGCATTAATGAAAAAAATTCTGTTCATACTAGGGATCATGTAAGTAAGAAAAATTATAATAATTAAGTTTTATCTTCACCCCAAAATTGAAATTAACATAACAGAGTCAATTAAATATGTTCAAAAATTACTACATGGGCATCAATGCGCCGCTAGGAAGACAAATGATGTGACACCTATACATAATTTTAATATGCATAAATACTTTAGATAATTCATAAATAAAAAAAATGATAACAATAAAATTACCTGAACAACCTGCTCCAACTAGTACTGCTATATTCGGCAAAACACGGATGATCTTATAAGAATTTTTAGCATCGCAATGAAGTTGAAATTTCTATAAAAATAATAAATAACTTTATTGCAGTAAAAAATATTAAGAAAAGTAAAATATAGGTTAAGTCTATAAATTTTAGGGACATAAAAACTATTAAAGCAATTATCACCTCCTAGAACATTGCCAATACAGAAAAAACAACAAATCTGTTTACAGTAAAAAGTCTTCATTTCAAAATTAACTCAAAGGCAATGGTCTTCAAATTTTATCGGCTCCAAAAACCTTAAGGAAGGTTCACCTTTCCTCACAAACATAAGTAATCAATATAAAACAAATTTAATAAACATAATAATAATAATAATAATAAACAAATGGTATAGAGATGGTTGACCGTGAATAATATGAAGGAGTTGGTCGGGGGTTGAGGTCAAATAAATACTAAATTGTTAAAATAGTATTTTATTCGTTAAGCCGACATTTCGACCCATTTTGTAGAACTTCATCAGGGCTACAAAAGATAAATTATTACGCCAATTACTAATTCATCTGTTTCTCGGCAAACTCCGCCAAACATCCATTGTTCAGGGAGAACTCTCCCTACATTATTTTTCTTTTAGAAACAAGACTCTCCTCTATTTCAACGACTTTGCCAGGCCCTCCAATTTTTTTTATTTGACCTGTATAACATATTATGGGCACAAACCTATCTTAAAAATTTGTTCCACATTATCGTAGTTGTCTTCGATAGTTTCAGCTGATCTTTGCTCCACTGTATCGTTGTTAAATTGTGAGACCAGCCATAAATTAATTTCTAAGCCGTTGAAAACAAAATCTTCGATCCCTCTAGCCATATTCCTTTCCTTATAGATACATTTTTCTAACAAGTGTTATGAAAGCATCTCCATTTCGTCTTCCTGTCAAACTTAGATAAGATGAGTGGATAATTAACCACTCATATCTTATCTTTTTCATCACAATATGTTTACTTTTAACTTACTCGTAACTTATATTCATCTTTGTTTTCTCTTTTTATTCACACTTTTTTTCTATTTTTTGTTTGTGTCTTCTATATATATATAATACTTGATATATTTGTTTGTATCTTCTATAATACTTGATATTTTAACTACACTATCACTCATTTGAGACCAAGAAGCCTGGGCAAGAGCGTTGGAGCAGTCCAAGGATTGCCTAATACGTCTGTCCTGTCTTAGAATAATAAGAAAAAGTAATAGTAGAGTGTGCCTTCCATGTCTAGAAGAGTGGAATAGCCGAAAATGAGATGGCTGGATAGTATCCACGCAAATGACAGAAATATCCTTGGAATAACAGACCTCCAGAGGGCCAGTTTCTAAACACCATGGGCTAAATTCCCAGCTGGGTCAGTTTGTTTCTCGGCATTCCCGAAAGTTCAAATAAAAAGTATACCAAAAGTCCCACTTACTGGACTAGTTTCTCCCAATCATGCTAGTACCAGTAGCATATTTTAAGATCTCCAAGATCCCAGCAACTAAGATTGTGAGAATTTTCTTATATATTATTTCTAAAAGTTGTTTTTTGTCGCAACGGCATAACTTCGTAAATTCTTCATTAAATCCAATGATTGGACTCTCATTTTAAAGATCTTATTCACCTTCAGATGGGAAAAATAGTCACATTCTCCCAAAATTTAAGAAAAAAAAGTTATGAAGGAAAAGAAATTTTATTTGCAAATAACTCAAAAAGTATGCATTTTTTCATGATTGTAGCCATGATAATTAGAAAGATTACTAAATTACTTACAACAAAAAAATCATGAATCGATTAGAAATTTGTAAAATTTAAACAATTTGTAATGAACCAAGGAGTAAAGTGTATTCAAATATATTTTTTTTAAGGAGAAACAGAGTTGAGATTTGTATTTTGCAGCTCAAAATACCCACAAATACCAATTTTCATATCAATAAAAAAATAAAAATTTTGTTCTAAAAATTGAAATCAAGGCTTCCCTATTGGATTTCTTTTTGAAAATCACTAAGTGTCATAATTAATGTATATTTAATATATATATATATAATGTATATATTATATATATAATGTATAACATATTTAATTTAATGTGTATATATAATGTATTAATATTAAAATTTAGGAGCAATAGGGCCTCAAACACTACACAAAATCACACAAACTGAATTTATAAAATAAAAACTTGTTAGGAATTTTTATTTATTTATTCTTTATGGATGTGTTAAATCAAAAAGTTATTTATACGGTTTTAAAGAGCAATAATTCAGCTTTACAACAGTTGTAGAAACATTGAATTAGGATAAAATCCTGAGGAGTTATGGATGTTTTAGTTAACGGTAGGCAAAAACATCATAATGAAAAGTGAAGTCGTTGCCATGACTACTATCTCAGCACAGATCTTTTTTTCTTGGTTTTTAAATCGTGTTTTTTTGTCTCAACGCCATAACTTCATCAAATCCAATGATTGAGCCTTCATTTTAAAGATCTTATTCACCTTCAGGTGGGTAAAATAGTCACATCTCCCCGAAATTTAAGGAAAAAAGTTATGAAAGAAAAGAAATTTTATTTGTGAATAACTCAAAAATTATACATTTTTTCTTTAATTATCTCGTTGATTGTACCCATGATAATTAGAAAGACTACTAAATTAACTACAAAATGAAAAAAAAATTGTAAAAATCAGACGATTATTAACAAAGATACAGCCCATTGGTTTTGTACTTTTTTTTTTTTTTTGGGTCCTCCCCTTCCTCGCCGTTAGGGCTATACGGGATTTTTCCAGGCCAGGGTGTGTGAGCGGGGATTTAAAAGACTCCCCCGGCACCAGGACGCGAACTCGTGACTATTTTTATATCTTTAATTCATATATCTGGTTGCCGGGCAACGGCGGTGCAGTGCATACGCTTTAGCCCATTCGGCCACCCCGCCCATTAGTTTTTGTAGACTTAATAATTTCTTCCTTTCTAAAGTAGATATGGGATGAGTTTATTTCAAATAATATCTCTATAAATAATAATATTTCCGAAATAAATCATTAAATAACCTTCCCCAGTTATTTCCGAAATAATTTATTTCATGAAATAACTTGAGCTTTATTTCCGAAATGATTATTTATGAAATAAATTATTTCAGGATTAATTATATATTTATTCCAGAAATAATGTTCTGAAATAATCATTCTGATAGATGCAAACAGGATTGAAATAAACATAATAAAAATCCTATTGTTCACTCTAAATTTAGTTTTCACTTGTGCCCCTATTTTATTTCCTGCACTTAGAAGAACTTGAGGCATTATATTTATTACTGTTTGAAACACTTTAATCTTTGAAGAGGCTGAGTGAAACTGAACAAGAATTCATGCAAGGCGAAGTATCAGGTCCCCATGACCAAAGTCATCTGTAGCTACTAATGGAGGGTTAATGAAGAAAGAAAACTGTAGACAAAGATGTGGAAGTAGTATTTGTCAGAGAATAGTGAAACTACTCTGTAAACGAAATGATATTGCAGAATGTTCTTCAGTAATACTGAATGAGCTTTAATACAAAAAAAAAATTGATACTGTCACAATATACCCCTCACATAGCCAATCAAATAAAAAAACCAGCTATTATATCAATAATTTTGACAATATAACGTATCTTAAGATGATGTAATTGGGCAACAATTATATATCATATAAGTACAACTGGCTTCTAAAGAAAAATTGGGATGCAAATCTTTGAAAATGTTTGCCACATAAAATAATATTAACAATAAAACCACAGTAACAACTAATAAAATTTGTTAATCCATCTAAAATAAATAAATTTAAACAAACCTCCTGTATTGTCTCTAATCTTACACCAGCCAAAATAGACACATATACTTTTTTTTCATGAGGAATGTTATTAAATGATTTTATGGCTGAATCAAGATATTGTGGTTTAACAGCAATAAATATAATATCAGACTTATTGATTACTTCATCTGAAAAGAAAATATTCTTAGGTTATAGTTAACAGTTCAAAATAAAAAACAAAAGTTACTGTAAAAAAACAATACTGACTGTTATCATGGGTTACAATAGCAGATTTTTCTTTAAATTTTTCTAAATTATTCATACTGGGTGCAGAAGCAATGATATTTTTGGCAGGAATGGCACCTTGAATACAGAATTAATTCATTAAAAATGTCAATTATTCCTACAAGTAATTTTAACTTAAAATAATACCAGCATCTATGAGCCCAAATGCTATAGCTTGGGCCATGTTTCCAGCCCCAACAAACCCAATAACCCCAGAAAACATTATTTCACCGAAGTTGAATTAGGATATGTTGACTTCTAATTGGCAAATGATTAAGACAGCGTTCAGCACAATTCCCGCTGATATCCGATAATCGATTTCTTCAATGAAACACGAAGTTATTTTTATTTGGTATTTTAAATTGAAACATATCATCAAATGAAAATCTTAACAATAAGTAAGCCTTGACGTGTTATCAAAATTAACGATATATAAGAGTTTCGGATCATTGAGGTCAAGATAAATGATGATATTATTGCTGATTAGCTATCAAAAACATCTCTGATTAGGTCTAATAGTAAATATCAAATATTCCGTATTTAGACAGATTTTTGCTTCATGCTGATTTCTAGTGACGTTAATAATTCGGAAGGATTTCTCTCCTACCGCAGTTTAATTCAATGCGTCCATACTTTCCGGCAAGCTCCGACCCTCACTCATGCATTTGGACTATAGCACCTGAATAATTTAAAGAATAGAATGTTACATAAACATAAAAATATTTATGATGTTCTGATATAAAATAAAAAATTCACCAATATAAAAAATATGTAATATTTAAATATATACTATAACACTATCCGATCAATTTCTAATTCGCCTGTGACAATGATAATAGGGTGCATATTTCGCCTAATACCTGAGGTATCCAATAAGGCTGAGTGTGCCCGATCACCTTGATATTCTATTTACTCTTGTTTGAGACACTTTAACCTATGTAGAGGCTGAGTGTGCCCAACAGAAATTTCATTTTACCTATCTTTCCCCTCCCCCCTGAGTTGTTGGTAGCATTTGCTACATAGATTCAAGAAGATCTTGATCGAATCAGTGCCTAGGCAAATGTAAACGGATTAAGGTTAAATGCTGCCAAAACTCAGGCCATTGTAATTGGTTCCAAGCCACTTCTTAGATTCTATACCAACTTTCCCATACTAAACCTCAATGATCAGCCAATCTCTTTCTACTTCTCTGTCAAAAATTTAGGTCAAAGATTAGACAAAGATTTTTCATTGATCAAACTCTCTCCTGGAATCACCATATTTCTCACATCTCCCGACGGACAATTTCTACCCTCAAGCTATTCTATCGCTTCTGCCATCCCCTACCTCAACATACGTGTAGACTCCTGGTTTCCTCTCTCATCTTTCCCCACTATGACAATAGCTGTGTGGTGTATGATGGACACTCGGTGGAGCCCCGTGACTGCTGAAAAGACTAATGAACAACTGCGCAAGATTTGTAATTGGTGCTCCGAGATACTCCCATGTCTCTCACCATTAAATTATTTTCATTCATTCATTCACTTCACTGAGTTAAAGTGGCTCTTCCCCTCCATTCGAAGACAATATTGCCTAGGTACGTTCCTCTATCAAATCATCAACAATCATCGTCCTTCTTACGCCTACAACCTTCTCCAATTCAAGTCCTCAGTCCATTGACCTTTAAATCCCTTCTCGCAGATTTGCCTCATTCCGAAACTCCTGTATTGCTCGTTCTGTTAATTTCCGGAATTCTCTTCCTATCTAAATTCGGCATTTATGTTTTACCACTGTACATAGTTTTAAGAATCTTGGCATAGTTTCAAGTGTTTTATGTATAGATTTTTTAAAATGTATATAGTATATTTAACAAATGTTTTCTTTACTTATTTCTCTTTCTTTTTACTTTTTGTTTGTTTTTATTTAGATCAGATATAATATTTTAATTTTGTACTTTTTTGTTATTCTAAAGGGACTTTGTCCCAGAATAAAATTGTTTTTTTTTCTTTCTTTGTATGGATTCAGGTTATTATTTACAAAAAACACATATTTTCATTTAACTATGATTTATTATCACAACACGAACATTTATTTACAACAATAATTAACTATTATCAATCTTTATTTATTCTCTTGTCTTTTCTTCTAATGGAAAAGATCTTCCACTTTATTGAAGCTAAGAGCCAGTGGCATAAATAGCATTAATGCAACTTCTACGACCTAAGCTAAGAGTGAGTTTGAAAAATATTGCGAAATAAAGTTGTCTCTAAGGACCAGGGATAAAATTGTTTTGTTTTTCAGTGGAAAAGGGCCGCACAGGAAAAACTATTGTTTTGGGGGCGAAATTCACTTCAATTAGGCAACTATCGAGAGCTTGGACCTTCTCCATTTACTCATGCATTTCTCATCCTATTTCTCAGTTAAAATGAAACACCTTCATTCTTTTCGATAAATTCTTTCCTTTTTTTTTTTATTTGTTAAGTAGCGGTGGGTGCTTCTCCGCAATACGAGGCTATTAATTACGCCAATGATGATTTCTGCAGTAATTGAAAAAAAAAAAAGCCTCTGTTCAGTAAGATAACATCTTCAAAAATGTCGTAATAGTCATATCATATCAGAGCTACTAAAATGAAAAATAGCATTGATGACTTCTTCGAACGAAAATTATCATATTTGTGTTACAGAAAAACAACTTTTTCATTGTTCTTATTCATCCTTTTTTAATATGAATCTAAAAACATAGGCAAATAACAACGAAAGGTATCAATTTCTCTTAAGCAAACCATGAGAACCATGTCAAATTAAATATAAAATCATATAGAACATAAAATTGTTATTGACGGATACTGCTTTTCGTAGTTAAAACTCTTTTAGGGTTTCTGCAACATTTTTTCTATTAATAACTTTATGAAATTAGACTTTCTTAACATTATTATTCTGAAGCCGGTACTCGAAGTAGCTTCAGCTTGCCTTAACTTCCTTTTCTTCATCCCAGATTATAATGTGTAGGGCCTACAGCATCTTTCCACCCGTATACGAATTCCCACATGTGGGTAATTCTCTCTGCTCATTAGCTGGGGGAATATGCTCTCTGTCAGCGTATATATCGCCGTCTCTCGCAGGAGCTTAGCTCTTAGTGCCTCATAGGCAGTATATTCGGTGACCACATGTTCGGCTGTCTTCGGAACGTTGAAGTTGGGGCATAGCGGATCAATATTCTTCCCGTGGGCTTCGCTCGGAAGCCCCCATGTCCCGTGAGGAGTTGAGACGGCTTGCATCTAATCGTGAGTTGACCGTGGGGAAGTACTTTCTTAGGGTAGCTCCCTTTGGAGTTGCCATCCATCGCCGGTTCCATTGATCCATATATACTTGATCAACTATGTCCTCCCTGATAATTCTTTTCCATCTTCTTGGGTCTTCTTCAATTCTCATATTTAGTTTTTAAACCAATTAATCTTTAGATGTTCCGGTAAATCCGCCGAACCTTCTCTTTTCAATTTAAAGAGGTAATTGTCTTCTCGCAGGAGAAGATCGAGAGGTGCCCCCTCCCTGCCAGTACTTGCACTCCCTTATGAGATATCGTTCTATAGGCTCTAGTAACCCGAAGTAAAGTCAATCTCTGAATCGATGCTAGCCTACTCTTCTGTCGGTGCGAGAGGTTTTGGTTCCAGCCTGGGGACTCATTTCTCAGAATACCCAAAACTACTCCTTTATAGATAGTCATTGTAGCTGGGTATCTGAGAGCCCAGAAGGCGCCTCTGACACGACATAGTCCATTTAAGGCCACTGTGACTCTAGTTCTCATTTAGTCCAGGTGAGGAGTCACGTTGAACTTTCGACCAATTTTAATGCCAAGGTAGATGACAACCTCACTTGGACATAACCTTTCTTTTTCTCTACTCAACATAATAGAAGTGTCCTGTAAGTCATGCCCCTCAAGAGAATTGCCTGGGTCTTTGTTGCAGCCATCTTTAACTTCTTCCTCTCTCACCATCTTTCTACCAAACTGGCGCATCGTTCAGCTTCTGCTTCCAGACCGGCTATGCTGTTTGAGGTCACCACGAGGGCCAATTCGTCAACATAGGCAGTGACAGGAAACCGCTCCTTTTCGAGCTTCTCCAGCAACTCGTCAAAGAATAGTTTTCACAAGGGAGGACCCAGAACAGAACCCTTGGCGCCCGGTATAAACTTTAATATTTCAAACCCCAGTTTTTGTTTTATAATAATTAACATTTCGACAGTCACACTGCAAAAGCCTGTAAGAACAAAAATTATAAATATTCAAGAGACGAAAACAACTACGTAATGTTTGTTTTATGAACTTTACATTTTCTGTTCAACTTTATTTGCTGGCATTAAACTGGTTTAAACTAAGTGATTAGTTCTACTCGTACATAATCCGCTGGTGTGTAGATCACTTTGTTCCGGAGCTTCTTGCGATTTCGCAGATTAATTGGTTTAAAAACATCCACCAACAGCGAAACTTGAGTTCTTTTTTCTCCTTGTGTTAAATTTGCCAATAATTTACATGAATTCTTTGTCTTTCATCTGTATAATTAGCTTTTGTCGAGCCAAGTTGATTTTGTAGTTCCCAGGAGGTTATTGTTTTGAAGGTCGTTCAATATTATAACCACTCTTAACATTCTCTTCTTTGCTTCCTGTAACAATTACTTAGAGGTATAAATAACGTAAAAAAAAATTCAATATAAGCATACTAGCAATCATTTTGCTTTCTTGTTGTTTCTTTACTTTCAAAGGTATTTGCTGTGGGACAGGTAAATGTCTCACATCAAGACATTGGGATGTTAATTTTTCTTATTCCCAACCATCAAGCTTATGAAACATTGAAAATTATAACTCAATGGTTTATTAGTTCCTAACAAGTAATATCAAAAATATGTGGTATGAGCACAAACTAAATATCTCTAACTGCTTTAGATGCAAAGTCCAATAAAAAGATTGTTTCTGATATATTCAATTGTATTGGTCAGTTTTATTTTTTAAACTGCGTAGAGAATTTAATTACCTTGAAATGTCGGTATGAAGGAAATAAAAATAAATATAGAAGAGAAAAATAGTTGGGGTGATCGGTCAAATAAGAAGGCAAAAATAAATTATAATATTTATTTTGACATTTGCCGACGTTTCGACCTGAAGTTCAGACCTTCATCAGGGCTAAGAAAAGAACCAGATAACAAGGTATGAGAAACATAAGTATTGTAGGTAAAAAAAAATTAATGTAAAATTAAGTTGTTAGAATAATGACAATAGTAAGAACTGAGAGATAAATGATAATAACCGTTACAAAGTGTGGAATGATGAAGCAAACCTAATCAAAAAAGGTGATATAAGTATTAAAATGGGAATCTTAGAATAAAACGTAAAACAGAAAACAGGAATATGAAGTTATATAAGAAATGAAAACTAAGTAAAATAAATAGTAAAATTAAGATATTGCGAATATAATAGTTAGATAGAAAATTAAGATATTGTAAAGTCTATCAAGATGTACAGACAACGTATACTATAATAAAGAGTTAAAACGTTATAATAAAGAGTTAAAATTCATTTTATTCTTTTAACATTTAAAACAACTCTTTTAACTCTTTATTATAGAATAGAATATAATAGAAAATTAGACTTTATTCTGGGACTAAGTCCCTTTAGAATAACCATGATGAGTTAATACAAAGTAAAGTACAAATCTGGCCAAAAAC